ACCTTCTGAGAGGAATTAAATCCGGGAAAATATTGGCAGGCAGTCACATTTAGCCCTATCCAAGACGGGAAACACAATGAAGATGTTTCAAAATATTTATTGTTTTAACTATAAAGAACATGACGCGATTGGAAGGTATTGTCACTGGTCCGGCTGTAATACAAGGTGTGTGTGGTGAATTGAACTAGCCGGAGATCTTTAATAATTGGTAAAACTATGTCGAGCATGTTGGTATTGTTGTTCTAATTCCTAACGGCTCACTATTATATTGAGGTACAATACACAAATACTTGATCATTGTTGGCTACGCAAATGCCATGGTCCAAAAACAAAGAACTTACGTAGTTTGTGAAGTTTTGCAAATTGGATTTTGATTGGTGACGTGTAAAAATAAGGTGGAATTTCGCCAAACTGTTTGTTCGTTCCTTTCAAATATTAATAAAACCTTAATGTGTACGTATAATGTTACACGGTACACCTCATAGACGCTTTTTTGGTGCAATCAATCCATAAATACCGTACATAAAAAAGATCGAGCGACGTCAGTGTAGCAGCTTCAAACCGTCACACCGAAATTCGAGAAATAATAGAAAACGACTTTAAAATAGATTTTAGACATCGTTTTTGAGCAGTAAAATCGTAGCTACAAAAAGTGGGCTAAATGATGTAATTACATAATTGCGTAATTGAGGTGTAAACTGCAGTACACATTTGTTGCTTTCCTGCAGTTATAATTGGCTTTTTATTAGTAAATTTACCATATAAACCAGTCATCTAATCAGCACCAGAACAGTTTATGGTGTACTTAAGAATGACTTAAGTACAAATTTAAGTACAACCCTTCTTTTGTCGTCCACGAACTGAGTCTTAAGTACAAATTTTTACTTAAGTCGCATGATTTAAGTTCCTACTTAAATATTTAAGTACGACTTTGGGAGTTAAACTTAGCGTGCACTTAAAGTTGCGTTAGCCTCCATATATGGTGCGTGTTGGAAGCGTAATTGTAATCGATACTTACTTAAGCCCCAAATTTACTTAAGAGTGGACTTAAATCAGGGAGATTTAAGTAAAAAGTTAAGACCAGTCCAAACCGCACTTAAGCTGTACTTAAGTCGAACTTAACGTAAAATCGGATTTTGTGATCACTAAAAATAGAGATTGAGGAACAGTACACATTTTCGAGGGTTTAAAAAAATTATAATATATCAATATTTACATGAACGAATTAATTACACATGTTCTAGCTTCCTGTCCCAATTTCAGGGCTTCTTTTTCACTGATGGCCTCGCGATGTCGACGAGACAAGGCCATCTCACTCTCTTTCCTCATCATATCAGCGATATCTGTATCTATAGGGTAGTCCATATTCCTAGATCTGCAGTAATTATGCAGGACCATACAACTAACTATGATATTACATGCGGTGTCTTCCTGATACATTATTGCACCACCTGTCTTCTTGCAGAGACACCTAAACCTCGATTTCAGGACACCAATGGCCCTTTCTACAGTACATCTGCACTTTTTGTGTGCAACGTTGTACTGTTTCTCTTTCGGTGTGAGATTTTCTTCAAGCAGTGGAACCATCATGATTTCTCGCTGGCCGTACCCCGAATCACCAAGAAGCCAACCCTTATAGTTTGGCCCTTGGGTCTTGACAAAATCTTCGATCAAGGTCTTAACTCCACTTAATTTCCAAATGGTTGAATCATGGACACTACCGGGCCAACGCACAACAGCGTCCAGAAATCGCTCATTGATGTCACATATAACCTGACAGTTAATAGCATGTCCCTCTTTTCTCCCCACATAAGCTTCTTCGCTCGTACTCGGAGGCTTTACTCGAATTACTGTTCCATCAATGGCACCAATCACTGCGGGAAAGCCTCCGCATACATAAAATCCTCGTTTTACCTCAGTGATCTCTCTACTGCTGGTCGGGAACTTGATGAATTCGTTACCCAATGCAGCTAATGCAGATGACACATTGACAATGCATTTGTGCACTGCACCACGTGACAGGTTAAGCGATGCCGTGTTTTGCAAAGATTTTAACGAATTGCCTGTCGCATAGTATCGAAGAGCAACCAAAAGTTGACACTCAATTGATAATCCAGCATTTGTTGACCTCACCAAGTCACTGTTTGATTTAAGTTTTTCAGCAAAGTAATAAAGTCCATGCTTATCTAGCCGATAATCGTCGATAAAATCCTCTTCAGTGCAGCTGTTTAGATAGTCTGTCACCATATCATGTCGATTGATCCTCGTAGCAGAGAGGGGGCGAGGGCGAGGTACATAATCCCGCCACCACAAGTATGTTGACATTGTTTATAAATAGGTAAATCTAGGGTGATTGGATGAGAGTTTATAATGAACACCATATATTATATTATGGAGCCTATGAATCTATCGTGATCTATCAAAAGTTCACAAACGTAGCTGTTAAACAAATATTACAAAATTTCCCAGTTAATTTGCAAGTAGAACTTATGTGAAGAGTGGTAGAACAAGATGGGAAGAGGGGTAGAACGGATGGGAATAGGGGTGCAATAAAATTTAGAGCAAAGATATTTAAACCGGGGACTGTATTTTAATTTGTAGTTCTAGTCCTTCGATCATCATTTCAGTCGCATTGTATTTTTATATTTGAACATGGCTACATCTGGAAAACAACCATCAGGAAAACAACCTCAACGAAAACGTTCCAGAAATTACACAACGACTGAAACTGAACTTCTCCTAGAACTAGCTGGGAAGAAGAAGAAAATTATCGATGGTAGGTTCAGCATGACAGTATCTGCAGAAAGAAAGAAGAAACTGTGGACTGACATAGCAAGAGAAGTGAACGGGGTAAATGGTCAAAATGACAGGACACCAAAACATCTCAAAAAGAAGTATCACAATTTGCTGAACACTGCTAAGACAAAGGAAAGACAGAACAAAGTGACAAGACGGAAAACAGGTGGCGGACCATCCGAAGAACAGCCTTTATCAATAGTCGAGCAGATGGCCCTGGAGAATGTCTCAGATGTACATGTTGAAGGGATTGACGGAGGATTCGATGCCAATAGAAGCATTGGGTCCGAAATTGGGTCCACGTTGAGCTCCATCTCAACTATTATTGCTCTTTCTCCCGATCGAGAAAGAGTTTCACAACTGAACAGGGACAAAAGGATTTCGCGGCGATTTTGGCCAAAAATCGCGATACCGCGAATTAAATTTCGCGGTATATTAAACTATACATAAAATTTGTCGCAAATAATGGGAAAAATCGCGATTCCGTACATGCCGCGATTTCCTTTTGTCCCTGCAACTGAATGGCCCAGATTTAGTTGGTACGATAGGAGAGGGACTACGTGCCGTTTATGGCTCTGTTCAGGTCGGTGTTAATGATGCATATATATTCGATGGAGACTTCTCCTCGGATGATGACCAGAGCACACTGCCTCCTGATTCACCATCAGATTTGTTTGACCCGTCTACTCCTAGGACACCAGCTGTAGTGCCCATCCCCACCCAGGCTACAGGGTCTGCAGCTTCAGTGACTCAAGCTGTAGAGCCCACCCCCATTCAGGCTGCTGAGCCTGGTCCGTCAACACAGGCCGCACAGCCTGCTCAACCGGTCACACCTGGACCAATAAGAAGTAACAGAACGGTAACCCGGGATTTGAGGAGGACGGAGTTTAAAGAAATCCTTCAACGAAAGGACAAGTTGAATGATCTCCTTTCGAACACGAACAGTATTTTGTTACAGATATTGAACGAGCTCAAGAAGAGCTAGAGGGCTTAACTTGTATTGTTTTATATTGCCTATAATTTATTGTACAATTTACTATTTCTAGATATAATTAATTGTCATGACTTGCTATTTTATGACTGCTATTTTATTCGACTACCTTACAATTATATGGGAGAAAACATCGGTAAACAACACGTAGCAAATAACTGGAAATGACATATTCTGTAATACTAATAGAATCTGCTTGGGTGTGCTCAATTTGGTTCCTACTTGCTATCACACCATTGGTTAGTGTGACCTGCGTTACCTCAGTCACGTGACAGTTAAGTACTCTGCATGATACCCGTTCGTGGACGACAGGTTTGTCCTAAATTTGTGTTTGCTTAAGTGTCTCTAGTTTCGTGGACAGCAGAAATTGTCGTACTTAAGCTAAGTGCGAACTTAGCTTAAGTTCAAAAGAGTTAAGTACAAGTTTCGTGGAGGAGGCCCTAATTCCTAACGGCTCACTATTATATTGAGGTACAATACACAAATACTTGATCATTGTTGGCTACGCAAATGCCATGGTCCAAAAACAAAGAACTTACGTAGTTTGTGAAGTTTTGCAAATTGGATTTTGATTGGTGACGTGTAAAAATAAGGTGGAATTTTGCCAAACTGTTTGTTCGTTCCTTTCAAATAAAACCTTGATGTGTACGTATAATGTTACACCTCATTGACCCTTTTTGGTGCAATCAACCCATAAATACCGTACATAAAAAAGATCGAGCGACGTCAGTGTAGCAGCTTCAAACCGTCACACCGAAATTCGAGAAATAATAGAAAACGACTTTAAAATAGATTTTAGACATCGTTTTTGAGCAGTAAAATCGTAGCTACAAAAAGTGGGCTAAATGATGTAATTACATAATTGCGTAATTGAGGTGTAAACTGCAGTACACATTTGTTGCTTTCCTGCAGTTATAATTGGCTTTTTATTAGTAAATTTACCATATAAACCAGTCATCTAATCAGCAAACTGATATCCCAGAATATTAAGCAGGTCCAATGTAAGATAGATAATTATGACGAAGTAGGTAGAGAGACCGCAGAGGATTCTCTCTCATTTTCAAACACTTATTCGACTGCGTTCACTAATAAGATCGAAACCTCTTCTGTTAACTACTTGTAAACTACCACGATATTACCTTTCCAAATAAAGAGTGGCGTCAATTTGTAACTTTGAATTATTTAATAATGAACTAATTAAAACGAATTTATAATAAGTTATATTGGTAAGACATAATCCTTAATCAATCATACAATGATATCATAGTATACAATTTGAATAACGAACATAAATTATAGCACAATTTAACCAAAAGCGTTGTAAATATTGTAAAAGTGAATAGAAAAACGGCGTAGGTGAAATTGAAAGCACCCTTAGAGTGGTGTCTAAGGTTCAATTCAATCTAAGACCAATTGAAAATGTCATGTAAGCGTAAAATTAACGGAAGAATAAAGTCATCTTAAACTAAATCATACATAATCGGCTTTCGATTAATAAATCGACCATATAAACCAGTCATCTAATGAGTAGGTAAACACTGTAGGTGGACCGATATCCCAGAATATTAAATATGTTCAATATAAGATAGAACTAAATACATCTTAAACTAAATCATGATTAAATCATACTTTCAACTCTAAAGTACTACGGATATTATATCATTTTTCACATGTCAAGCCCAATTTCAAACCCAACAACTTCAACATAAGTCTAGTACGGGTAGTATTGACAGGACACTGAATATAATATAATCCTGAGTCACACAGTTTTACGAGATCGTTCTGGAAAAAAAATGAACATGATAACCGATGATCATGATGATCATCAGCTGTGATAACTGATCATCAGCTATGATCATCTATAATCGGAGGGTTCTTACTTTCCTCTGACTCCGAGTTAGACAGTAAGAGTAAGGGCCACATTCCAAGAATACAGCCGAGACAGATACTGAAACACCGACCAAAAAACACCCACCTGGAAGATAAGGATTACTTTAAATATAACGGTTTCGGTTACACTTTCATTTTGGAAAGTTCAAAATAGGATTGAATCGAACTTTAATAAAGCATGATTGTATTAAAATATAGAAAGTGAACTTTTATGTTCAACCTGTGGGCTCGAGAAGTATCCCTCTGCTTTGGTGTCAGTACTGTGGATCTTCCTAATATCCGCTTCACATTTTGTTCCACAGTCCCTGTGTGGATTATCATTAACTTTAAGTGTTAATCGATCGTGTTTGAAATTTTTAGGAGGGGTATAGTAGCATTTAGCTGATTGGGGGTGGGAAGGGGGCAGAGGGTAGGCGGAATAGAGAACTAGAAGGTTCTGTTCAGCCAAATTAAGTTAAAGCTAAATAGTATTAGTCCGTGATTTGGACTTTCTAGCTAACAGACTACATAGCTAAACCCATTTTCTGCCAGGATGAATTTAGCTACAATCTCCACGTGTTGCGTTTGGAGATTCAGAACCCTCACCCATCCTCATCTTTCAGAGACTGGGGTTAGACATCTCTGCATCCCAATTTATATCTGAAAGCCATTAAGCCAACATAAACTGAGGTTATATTATTTGTCTCAAACTACAGCTTCATCATAAATTTGGGTAAAGCATGTTATGTGGTAGCCAGGCTGTTGGCCACACGCCAACACATCCCGGCCACACTGGACTTAAACCCAATGCAGCAGGTGGATGAGAAGTACAAGTTCCGAAGCGAGGCGGCCGGCGTGCCTACACCCCTAGTAACATAATATTGTCATTACTCAGTCATATTTCATAGTCATTCAATTCATCGATCCCTTTCTAAAAATAGGATCATCTTTTCATCGCGTTCTTTACTCTGTGCCTAAGTGCTAAGTATGATATTTCTTGTTTTTTGATCAAATTTATATATTATACTGTCGGCTATGCGGGATATGTCGGGTTGAGGAAACTTCACATATTGCATGATATTGTTGCCCTCTTAAGCTGCAGATGGGAAATCTTATCGACAAAGTCAAAGATTCTCCAGTGACACCAAAACATCTCAAGGCTGAAAAATGTCCGCATCTGAAAAACACATTTTTTGTGGATTCAAAATTTATAGAGTACATGGAAACACTCAACGATAACTTGTACCAGTTTGATCGCAAAGCAGTTTGGGCTAGACTATTAGCGATTCCGTTAGTGCGCCAGCTACAAGAAAATGTTAATAATGTGAATGAAATTCAGTCTGACGACGAATCTAAAATCCCAAAACTGGAACACTGGGCTTTTATCGCTCGTGCGAGTGGAACAGTAAACAGAAAGGAAAAAGAGGCCTACATCATAGCTCATTTAAATCCAGGTGACACTATCCCCACAGATGATGCCAATCCTAACTCCACATATCGAGAAAATAATTTCTCTATGTTCGCTGCACGAAAACGCGAACCAATGAAATTACTTTTTACCACGGATAAAAAAGCTGCAGCATTGTGTATTCAGTCTTCGAGAGCTCCCAAAGATGTTTGGGTTAACAAACCGCCGCATGGCAAAGAAAAGTACATACTTCAAGATGGTGAGCTGGTGAACCGCACTCTTATTGACGAGGAGTGGCAACAAATGGGAACAGCTACACCACTGAGGGAGCTAAATGAAAAAGTATACAAGATCAGCTACTTTGGTAAAACCTACGATGCTCTTAACAACAACTGCCAAAATTTTGCAGATCAACTTTTCACCCTGTCAGATCAAGAAGATATTGTTGGACCTTCTAACTTAGTAATCCGGAGATCATGGAGAAGAATGTTTCAAACTCTCATCGATTATCATGGAAAAACAATTAAGCGGATATTTCGTTTAACGGTTATGTTGGTAATAATGATACTGTCACTTGAGAACGGGTTATTCGATGTTGAATTTTGAAATTAAATTCATTGTGAATAATTTAACGCCAGTTCAGTGGGGGGGGGGGGGGGGTCGTCCTGAAAAACAGGACTCGTCGGCGGGGAGACGTGAAAAAACAGGACTAGAGTCTCATGACTCGTATGTTAATCTATTGAATATTGCCCATTTATCTTATTGATTCGAGTTTATCTTTGATTGAAGTTTTGGCGTTTCACTGCTTACAATATCAGGAAAATAACAGTAAACGTTAACAACTTTTAAAGATTTAATTATGTCTGAGCTTAATTCAATGCAGTTCGTTCCAATTCCATCTGGAATCGTTCTTTAAGACATTAACAACGTGAATTAAAATTGAGATATATATATATTCAATTTGTTTAATGAAATTTAGATTTTACAAATTTGTAAATTTAATTGTTTTGATCATTACTCTTTTAGAATGGAATGGATAACCAATATTTTCAAAGACGAGAGAAGCAGTCTTTATTATGTCGATTCGGAGTTCATGGATTTTATGGAAAAAATGGGAGACTGTTATGAATTTACTGGAATTGCTATATGGGCAAGAAAGAAGTTCATCTCGCCGAAAAAACCAGTCACACTATTTAATAAAATCTACGATTTAATATATTCTGATAAATGCCGGACTAAGGACCATTGGGCTTTCGTCGCACGTGGAACTGCAATCATTAATAGTCTGGAAAAGCATGCTTTTTTCATATCTCAATTTAATGATGAAGACTTCATCTCAAACGATGACACACCTATTCATGTAGAAGGACTAAAAGGTGCCAAACCTTTCCTAGCTCTGTTCACTGATGATAAGAAAACTGCAGCATTGAGTATTGTGCCTTCCTCTAACACAGACGTTTGGGTCAGAGAGAAAAACAATGTAGAAGATTACCAATCAGAAGGAAATACATTTGTTTACAAAGATGGGAAGTTGATCAGTTCGAACTTCATAAAAAATGAGTGGACTTTGTTGGACACACCTATGAAGTTAAGAGAGTTGAATGACTGCATTTATAAAACCCCATGTTCGGGCAAAAAATACGATGTAATCGAGAATAACAGCCAGCACTTTGTAGAAAAATTGTGGCTCATTTCCGTCGAATATAACAGGTATATATGACGCATTTAAATAAACATGTACAAAAATTGCCGGATATTCCCAATTTTGGACATTTTTGACTGACATTTTTGATATATTTTATTATGACGCTTTTTAAAATACATGAAACATTCATATGGTTGTTTTTTGAAAAACCTGACAAAAGGTTGTTTCCATCAGGTGTAAATACAAATTACATCAAATCTACAAGGAATACAAACAGATATTTCAAGTTGTTGTGCTATCACATCTAGACTGCAGCTTTCGTAAAAAACGCCAAGCCCCCCGAAAAGTGACCAGCACAGAACTATATAAGTTTATCTGGACGTTTTATTGCTACGTGAAGGCGACTTCCTCGACAGACGAGGCGGTATCTCCAATCTTGCTGATGTGTGCTGTTACTGATTACTGTTTTCAAGAAATCTTCTTGTCTGAGCCTCAACTCTTCACAGAAGAATTCAGGAACATTCTCAGGTATGTCCTTATGTCAATGTTTTTGTTTCCCGTCCAATTTGTATCGCTGATTCTGTTTTAGCCTAGGTTGAAAGCCAATAATCTTGAAACCTGGTTAGAGTTTAACGATCTACTTTTCTCAGGCGGTCTGAGAAAAACTGCATCATTGATCGTATATGCCGTGAAATTAAGATAATGGAATCTACCGAAGCTAAAAGAATTAGAGACCATGTCTTGAAGCCGCTGCTGGAGCACAACTTTAGTACAAGAGTACTAAACGCAGGCCTGGAAAACGACAAAGGAATATTTGAGCCCTCTGTCTTCAGCTTAAACCACGAATCAATCAACGAGAAATATGACAAGTACCTGCAGAGGCTAAGAGAACATGACAGCAGATTTTTCCTTGAAGACTACCATGTCCCTCCAACTCGTTCTATCGGAGACGCAACTTCTTCTAAACATTCAGAACTGTTACCGACGATTCCCAAAAACAGCGGGCTGCTGACGCAATTGGAGGCAAAAGAGGGCTTGAAATCCCTGGCTTCCAGTTCAACAGAGGATAGTCTAATAACTCTTAGAGCGAAAAAAGAAAGAGCCGACACCCTTGAAATGCTTACTTACAACTACAGGTTTCCTAGCGTTTTTGATAATGGTTACTGCTCTGACTAGCTTATAGGCAACGTAAACCCTGCTTTTATTGGTCGTTTATTTAATACAGAAAGATCTCATCTTAAATGAGTTTCTTTGACTTTTAAAAAAACTTTTCAGGACCAAGCCCAGTCAAGACCTACAAATGATCCTGACGAAAGTCATGTATAGAAATAAAGAAGACATCTTGAAGGTCATCTTGAACAAAGTATCAGATAAGTTTATAAAAGCGTACAGTGGACAAAATGCGGAGGAGAAACTGGATCAAGGATTAAAATTATTTCATAGGATCTTTGGACTGATGGTAATAAGTTTAGCCGATAAACGGGCTTCTGAAACTGCCATTAGGAACCTTGCTTTTAATGTTGGCTTCATATCTGCTACTTTTGCTATTTCGCTCGAGATTGTCCTAGATTCGCACGGAATTAGCGAATGGGCATTTCCCTGGATACTGGATGCCCTTGGTCTGCATTCATTCGTGGTGTGGAAAGTGATAGAGTCAATCATCATTCATGACAGAGGTTTGTTTCATATCATTTATTGTGTGAACTATAAATTGGGGGAGGGGGATGGATACAGGTTTAATGTTTATACATGTATAAACTCTTTGGATACGGATTTCTCCGGTTCCTAAATGGTATTTAAATAATAAACTTGGTATTTTCAGGTTTATCTCAAACTATCGTACACCACTTGAAAACAATTGAGGAGACCATGCTAGAAACCATGGTGTGGGCTAGAGATTCTCCACTCTACAACCAGTTAGCAGAATGTGAAACACCTCGACCCCCGAAATATGAAGAAATGCTGAGATCTGACCTCCGCCAGTCTCTGCAAGTGTTTTTCAGAAGGATCTATTATTTGGCCTCATTTAGGATCAGGAGATTGGCCGAAATATTAGATGTCTCTCCAGTTGAAATCTGGACCGTATTCGAGCACGCGATGACTGATCATTTGCACCTCTTTCAAGATCGACATATTGATCAAATCATGCTATCTTCTACTTATCTGATATTAAAAGCGAAGAATCTGAAGATAACCTTTCGCCATATAATCGAATGCTACCGACAGCAGCCCCACGTCCAGAACAAACAATACGTGTACAGAAACGTGTCCCTACGGACCAGTCCACTACCCCAAATATTGATGTGTTCCTGCAAAAGCAGTGAAGTAGCATCAGATCATAGTGATATAATTGAGTTTTACAACAATGTATTCATCAGACACATGTCTACAATTATCAAAGAAAATGAAGCCAATTGTGAAACTTATGACTTTATTAGGTCACCTATACCTCCCGCATACCTCTCATCTCCTGGAAACATTTATCAGAGTGAAGTTTTGCTCAGTAAAAAATCTTTCATTGATCCTTATTTTTTTGGGGAGATTCCTTCCAGTTTTCCTTCAGCTTTCCTAACTCCTTGTAACTATGAGCAGGAAACCTGGCGGCAGAGTTAAGAGAAAAGGTGTTGTGATGGATAGACACTTAAAGTTTGGTTCCCCAGCAACACAATTTTCTAGATTACATGACCGATAAGAAGTTTGTTAAGTCCATCTTTGTAACGGTTTTAATATTACTACATGGCACATTTTAGGATTGAATTAATATTCTTTGCTCATTGTAGCCATATATTTTAGATTTTCATCATCATCATGACATAAAATCCCTGAACAAATAATCAGTTCTGAGTACACTCATCACTATTAAATTCTGCTGATTGTGATTGTGTTTTAGCACTCTATTATTATTTTAAATGGTTTTATCTGTATTCTTACTGTTATAAATCTAAAGATGAGACATACCTGCGGTAGCAATGCCAGCTACATCTGATACCAGATTACCCATAGCAGCAGCAGCTAACGTGGAGAATCCTGATAAAAGTTGAGTCAGTTAAACGAGCAAAGAGGGTCGTCATGGTAACATAATTCTGATCCGAAAACCTGGTACTCAAATGTGGAGATAAAGACAAAAAGAATAAATTTGAGCCCATTTCGCTTGTTTGATCGACCTTCAACCACTGCACTTTTACTTACCTAAAGCTGAACCTAGAGTCATGTCGATATATTCACCAGCACACAGCATAATAGTGTTGTCCAGAAATCCAAACCCAAGAAACGGAATCCTGAAATGTGCAACAGTTTACGGGGAGGTTTGATTATTGATCGGGACATGCGTTACCTAAAAGAAACCACTTTACCATTAAATTTCAAATTTTACAATTGTACATTGTGCCGGTTGAAATTGTTATGTCGGGAAAACAAGGACGCAATATAAAATCTAGACGACTTACCCGGCATAAGCTGCCTCCTGAGCTAAAAGTTTTCTTGTCATCTCAGAGTTGCCATTCTTTTGATCGGTCACGTGAGATAACGCCTCAGCTAAGTGCTGCTGCTCGCTTATACTCAACCCACTTACAAAACTTATAGCTGAAGTTTCGTCGCAGATAGTCGGTCGAAGGACTGATATTGAGCGATATTGCCTGTTTGGTTAGGAAATAGATGTGATAAGTTGATGTATTCTACTAGTTATATTCAACTGCGGGCTTAACAACAGCAACAATGCTCGAGGTTAACTTAAGTCTAAAATAGACGTTAATGATCGTTGAAATGTTCAATAATTAACCTCAGAGATGTAAAATTATTCGCTTACCAAGAATTTCGTATAAGTCTTGCGTTGAAGCAGCGCCTTACTGCATGGTAACTATTCATATACACTGCTGAGTGAGACAGAGAAGTTAGCAACAGTCGGAATGCAGTATGAGCATGCAACACGGCAATGGGACGTGTTCATATCGTGAGGTTGTTAGACAAATTGTTTGCATAATTTCCACATTCCATTCTCCAAAAAAACACTAAATAAGGCCCCGGCCACATTGACTGTCCATAAAGCAAGAATTCGTTAAAAGACGAAATCGTGAAATCTATAATAGAGCGTCTTATACGCGCGTGCTGCGCCATCATATCAACTATTTGACCTCAAAAACTAGTAATAAATCCTAAAAAATTAAGTAAAACGTCACGAAGTCTGTACGTGACTTGAAGTACGTGACTTGAAGGTACTAAAACTGTAAACAAATGTAATATTAAACTCAACTAACCCAACCTGAGTTCAAATTGATGCTTAAATGATCTTGCCTGTATAACATTTGTAATAAATGCAATAGGGGATTTTTCGGCCGCACCCTTGACCCTTAATTGCTATGGTTTTGCGGTACTTGGAATTTTTGTATTCCGTCGAACAGTGGCGTAACGTTGCCTGTTGGCGCCCCCTCCCCTTTTGGTGCCCCTCCCTAAAATTGAACAAATTAGGTGATTTTAGAGGATACGCCGGTAAAATCTCTAAAAAAGTGTGTATCTAGAGCAAAACGTACTTTAGTTAAGTTTTCGAAATTGTCCCACATTCAAACGACGATTTGGTGCCCCCCTAACAGCAGGGCCCTTCGTTACGCCACTGCCAAGGAAGGTCGTAGAGACTTTTCCTATACACCCAAATGTGCCTGATAGCCATATTTATTACAACCTATGAAGCAACATATACCTTAAAATGCTTATTTACGGAATAATGGCCGAAAATGCTTTTGGCTTGACGAGGGAATGACACGCATTATCATACGATGAGAAAATCTGATATGTGACTGCATGAAAAAGAATATGGGGTCATTCTGAATAGGGAACCATCAACCAACCACTGCGGTATTGAGCTAAATTAAACTGTGGCCAACAGATCCAGGGATTACAGACCAATATCCAGTGAAATCAATTATTATAATAATCTGTTTTCGCTCTTTTGAGTGGGTCGATCATATAATTGATGTTTTGGGACACAGTGAGACTCTCACTGTGTCCCAAGAAAGCATTTATAATTATAAAGTGGGGTACTGGTCGGTTGTCGGTCGACAATCTGGTCCGGACCCAGTACGGAATTATTTTAGGTCCGGTATTCCTGGTATCGTGGTTTCATGGTATGAATGAATTAAAAGTTTTAAGTTGAATTTTGGTGATCACATTTTGGCGAAATTGGTGCCAAGGAAAACTTTGATTTGAAAACAACAATTTGGTTCGGTTCAGAGGCACCATTTAAAGATTTAAGAAGATTTTGCGAAAAGTGAGATTCCGCACTTGCCTGAAAATACTTAACGTGCGGCAGGAGTGCAGCAAATTTGGCGAATGGTACAGCGAGTCTGGGCCTTGCTGGTGTGGGCCTAGCTGAGGTCTTCAAAATTTGCTCAAAAACTTGCTGACGTAATTTATGAAAATATGAACCGGTTTTCGGCCATAATTCCGAAAATAAGCATTTTGAAGTATATGTTGCTTCATAAGTTGTATATAAATGTGGTATATTTTGGTGTATCAGGTACATTTTGGTGTATCAGAAAAGTCTCTACCACCTTCCTGGGCCGAAATACAAAAATTCGAGAGACTGACAGAAAACCTAGAAAAGGGTGTGGCCGAAAAACCCTATTGCATTTAGTAAACAAATTGAATACAGGCCAAATGTTTTAAGCATCATCTAGAGAGGTGATAACCGTCGAGAAATCGCTTTAAAACGAAAAGCTAACGAGTTTCCCTTTCGTCTCGGACAGCTGATATTTAACAATGTTATTATCTAAAAGCAATAAACATTACAAAGTTACAATACATTTGAAACATAACAAGATTTTAAACTGCCTCAAAATAGCAGGAAAAGCGATAAAAACCTCTGACTTAAACGCAAACATTAAACACTACAAACTCGAATTATCTGATCTGAAAGAAAACTATAGAAAGTGATCAAACGGCAAACCGAACATCTGAAAACAAACAAAATAAAAGTTCAATCTAAAAAGAAAACAGTCTCGATGATATTCCTCAAGTTGTGATTAGACACAATGGACTTAGTGGACAGAGTGGTGTTGGTAAATGGAGATCTGCAGTTGCCAGCACAGAGCCACTCTGTAATATTAGCTCGCTCGTATGTGTGTCCATCTGTCATTACCACAGGATCTGGAAATATTGTCATTGACAATGTGTTTTAAACACTTGTAATATTCTGAGTATGATGTTTAATTGTTTAAAACACTCATGATATTCTGAGTATGCTTCATTCATTAAAATCGCAAAGAACTGGAAGACAGGAAGACATAATTTGCTGAATAGACGTGGTAATTGTTGTGACTGTAAAAATCCATATTATCGCTTAAAAAGACGTGCAAAATGAGTTTTGATGCATCATATAATTTCTTAAATACTCATTTTAAGAGCTATTTAAGTATTGTACAAATCACCTAAAAACAAACTTATTATAAAACAAGTTACTTATTCACGTTCACAATAAGCTCAAAACAAGGAACATAATTTTGTGAAGGAATTTACCTTTTTAACACCGATACACAAAGTTTGACACATTAGGTAATACAAAAAATACTAGACGCACAATCTGTGATGAGAACACCAAACTTGCAATCAAATTATTGAACTTGACATGAAGTACTTCTCATCAATACAAACGAAACAACACCGCAATTACTAAATTGGGTTTCAAATGTATAGCACACTGCTCTATATTATATCACTGCTCTACTATTGCTGTAAAGTAGGTCTCTACAAGACGAGAGCAACTGAACAGTGATATACAAACTGTATCAGTGTAATAAAGACGAAACAGCAATATCATTAGAATTAGATAAATATAGCCCCTAATATTGGACATTATAGACTGGACATACACGAGGGTCATTTGTGGGGCCATATCATTGTTTCACTCTATAATGAGTCAGTAAGTTCACAACAAACCGATTAAATATTGCAACACAAAGACGTAATTACAGAGCATGACTCTTTTTAATAAGATTTTGCTAGAGAAGATGTCGGGAAATACTCCAAATTAATATTCTACAATATTGTTGGCGGTATCTGGATTCTGGATGAACCCTCTTCATTAATATCAAGTAATATAATGAAAAGGAAGATCGAAACTGAAAATATTAGTTCATGACAGAGAAATGACAATGAAGGTACTGCTAGTGTTTACATATCTGCAACATTCGAACAGCTGATAAGGAAAGAAAGTGAATTAATGTAGAACGTTCTGTGACGTAATAACCAGTAACTCCGGTGACGTCAGAAGAAAGTTTACCACAACATTGCAAACAAACACGCCACACAAACACGTCACACAAGCACAAGCATAAGCACGTCTTAATAGAGAGTGTGTGAGACTAAAATGCTGGTATAACAGACTAAACAAAGCTGCAGATACTGCGGGGTAAATATTGCATTGTAAACCCCGGTTCAGCTATTGTTTTATGTTTGCCGCTGTGGTAATAAGCACCTCGGCAGCTATACACACTCTGACTCATTACATGAATATATTATCTTGCAGTTACTCACATTCTGTTTTATCTACTTTTGTTCTGGTTGAGCACTATGATATTGTAAAAGGTTCCCACAAGATACACTGTGCTTTGTAACCCCTATGGTGGGCAAATGGACAGTGCTATTAGACTGAAAATCAGTATGGTTATTAAAAGATCCAAGGAAGGATGGATGAGTGAAACATAGTGATAACTTATCATCTGTAGAATTATGTCAGACCTTTTCCGGGTGTAGCTACTATGAAGTCATACAAGTAATCCTGATCTCTATTTCTCTATTTGGAAATCTCCAGAGTCAGAGTGTATTCGTCAGTAATCCTACTACGCATGTTTGATCAAGGTGCACTAGTAAATAATAAGACAATGAACTGGACATGTCCATGTTTAATGATGTACATTGAAAATAGAGAAAAGTCTGGGACAAAAACTTAAACTATATTAATATTACATTAGTAGTTTATGTCCATATTGAAAGGTTATGATATTTATACAAATTTACTATCATAAAACTACGATGAACGAGCTGGAAATCAAACATAACAAGTAAATTATATCGATATCTACTGCAGAAAACAATTACCTAAATACTAAATAAAACTTTGAGTTGACCTCTAGAGAAGGTTCTAGAATCAATATAATATTTCATATTACGTAATAATGTATTGCTATACAGCATTCTGTGTGGTCTTATATATTACTAGTGTTACCCGTGCCTACGGCCAGGACTTCACTATCGTAGTTGAAATGCAAAAGTATAAACCCGCCTATTATATTCGATAACACGCATTATATTGTCGTATGAACTCTATCACTATAGTCCAAACAGACAGCTATAATATTACGTAATAATGTATTGCAGCTGTACAGCATGGTGTGTGATCTTATATATCATTATATAACTAGTGTAACCCGTGCCTACGTTGGTACGTTGATCTGTTACTGCGAGACTGGAGAGTTTGGGAATTGCTGTCAGAGTGGGTTGATTTTAGATATTTCAGTTAGTTCAGCAGTTTAGCTTTTTTTGTTTTTTGGAATGGTACTTGTTCAGGAGTAACTACAGTGCTTTGTCAACCGAGCTTATGTTTTTCGTATTAAAGTACTAAGATTGTATCTGTGTTGTTTCTTTTCAATTCGCTCTAGCTACTTTCTCGATACTACCTCGGCCCTCGATAGTCACTCTATATATAATTATCTCAGTCCACTTAAAAATGGAAAGCGGTTCAAGACGGGAGTGATGAGGTGTAATAGTCGTGGTACAGGGTGTACGGACCCTGTGATCATGGAATGTGGTGCCTAAAAATGACTTAATTATTCATGCGAAAAAACTGATTTATATGCGATTATGTTTTAAAATACTATTGGATACGTGTGAGGGCACTCCGAATAGAATTGCTCACCTAATGCGGGTTTTGACTCAGCGGGTAAATAATCCTACCCTTTTTAACTGCGGCAGTAAAATCCCGGCCGAAGGCCGGGTGATACTAGTAATATATATGATTATGTTGTTTTTTTGATATGTCGTGACAGTCTGTGGAGTAGTAGCAAGAAGGTATCGTATACATTTTAATTTGTTTTCTTGATTATTTATTAATGATTCAAATTATGTATTTTATGTAGGGTCGGCACCAATGTAATTATGGTTTTACCACCGTGTTTTGGTTCAGCCGAAATAAATTTTACTATGTTTACATAATGTTTCTCACTCCAGCTGCAGTCTGGTAGTGTTGAGTCTCAAGAATATTTTTCTAGCTCTCATTTTCCATGTTTTTGCCTAACAGGAGATATTGTGGTCTTTTCTAAATATAACTGTAATACATTGATGTAAAGTTTATTTGAATTTTGAAATTTAAAAACATTGGTTTGTGTAGTGATGAATTCAGATCAAGAGGGATGCGATTAATCTTGAACCATTGATCCTTTTTATTTTATTTGCACCAATTCATTAACAAATTATTCAGCTGAGTTTAAATACATAATTAGACTGAGAAAAAGTATCATAAACCATTTACCTAACTAGAATCTATTACATTTCAAACAGGCTATGAATCTACCCTCCACATTACGTAAAAGAATTGAGGAAACTATCGGTAAACAAATTCTGGAGAAATGTTGGCAGAAAGATGGTACTCGAGTACTAATAATGATGCCACCCATACCAGAATCAAAGTATATTGATAGACTCCCTCAGAATGAAGTCCTTGAGGGTATGAATGTCCAAGAAAAAGAACACCAGGATGCTTATGTAGCAGAAGTAATATTGTATCGGTGTTTTGAGGAAGTAAAGGGAAACTATCTGGTTATTCATCAGTTAGAATACACTCATATGCAGTATTCAGCTTTTCTACCAAAACATTTGTGTGACAAGATGCGTTGTAAGAAAAGAGCACAGGATCATTTATGTCACAAACGACCGGACGATTTTTGTTTGTTTGGGGACCAGCTTTTGGTACACTGGTTAATGTTTACTATAATATTGAAATATTACATTAGAATTAGATAAATAAATAAAAAGATAGAACATACCACTATATCCAAAAATTGAAACACTGTACCGTAGCTCACAACACAAAAAGTTAAACTACTGGCAAAGTGTCCTCAGAAAAAAAAAAAACCCTAAATATACCTAGCCTTGGTGAGACCTGCTTCGCGATTGCTATTCAGCGATGTGTGCTCCACAAGTCATCACATACCTGAGTTACAATCACGGTTGCAGTTTTTTAACTCATAATTAAAAGTTCCTCGTTATTAGCCGTAATCAACAAATACACGCAACAGCCATAAATAAGAGCCATACACACATTTAAATCAAAGTAATTATGTAGATATCAAAAACACCGAATGTTACACCTTAACCTTATCTACACTGAAAATCTTGCCGTCTCTAATATAATGATACTTTGTTGGCTCATCAGTGATCATTTCCTTTACTTTGACAACAAGTTTCTGATGAGCTGCTCTCTCCTCTTTGCTTCTGTCAGGTGTGATGTACCATGTGTGGTACGCTGTACATTTAGATTTCTTCAGATTTCTTGCTCGAGCAAGAACCATTTTTACTGATTCCGCGCAAGCCAATGTCACTTTTATTGGTCTCGGTTTACCACTGCCTGAAGTTGTTTTAGTCCCGATAGAATTTGCTGCCACAACTTTAGGATCACACCCTGAGGATTCCCAAATCAATTCGATCACTTCTTCTGCCACTAAGTGTGGATCAGGGGAATAATTCTCCGGTACACCGTAGATAATGAAATTCTTACTACGGATGTCGTCTTCAACTACGGTTTTCACAGCTGTTTTTATACTGTTGATCGACGGAGTACTTGTAGTTGTCTCGCAGTTCTTCTTCACGATATCGCTCCACGCTGTCTTCATCTCGGTATGAACAGTTGTTTTAAAAGAGTCGAGTTGCTCCTGTTGCTGTTTAATCTGGTCTTTCTGATAGTTCAGCTGATCTGATTTAAGTTTGTCTATCGTACTGGCTGCACATTTACAAAGTTCAAGATTACTAGTCATTAGCTTAGAAAGATTTTCAACTGCAGTAGCCAAGGGATCTTTATTTACAGCCATTAATCTCGCATGATTCAGTTCTGTAACGCTTTGTGCTTTTGACATCTTCAAAATCTCATTCATCGCTGACGATAGCTCCTTTTCAAATCTGTTCAGATGTTCGACGGAAAAATCCATTTTACAAAAGCCAAGGCGTACAGCACGACGTGTCGGTGTAACAGCAAGTTGAGATAACACTACCGATAAGAGAGCAATTAAAATGTTGCAAAAGCTAGAATAAAAGATTGTAACTTGAAAAATAAATTGAAGGAGAATGTGATTTCGTAGTAGTAGGATATTGTTTCGTAGCGATATTTGAGGTTAAAGGTTTAGCATTTCAAGGTACAGAAGTCGACAACATAAAGTATGAAGGTTGTTGCAATAGCGCACGAATGCAGAGAAAAAGGATGAACAACCTCATGAAATCTATAGATCCTTCAGTGACAATATACGAGTTTACATTCTTTCCTAACATTTCAACGGAGGAAGTGGACGAACAATATCTTTCTGACGAAACAGTTCTTTTCAGCGATGATTTAGAGAACTTGGTATGGATTATCGACTGCTGTGAAGCATTTACGCCAGTACATAAGATTTGTTTGAAACTATTACGATACAAACTAAGCTGCTCTTTGCTAGGTCTATGGTGCATGAAACAAGACAATAAATGGGATTTAGCTGACTGTAGCTTGTCTAAATGCTTGAAAGATACTGATGAAAAACTGAAACGAGCACTTGTTACAAGGAAATCGGTCGATGAAGCGAAACAAAACGAAAGCAAGAGAAAGAAGGAAGGGAAAGAAAAGAAATATCCTACAAATGCGGAAATGGTCGAAGCTCCAGATCTTTTTAAAGATTATCTAAAGATTAGCTGTCTAACAAAAGATCAGCTAGATGTATTTAACAGTAACGAGAGATTCTTGTGGGTAGAAGGTCCGGCCGGATCTGGCAAGACTATCGCAATGCTGGGTAAAGTTATCCAACTTGCCCTCACTACACCTCCGGATAAACCAATTCTTTTGATGATAACGAGGCATATTCTCAACTCAACAGCAGAAATACTGAACAACATTAGAGAGGATTTGACATGCGAGATTATTACGTTTGCTAACCGTGTTGGATATAGCAATTATCCTGAAACGCTAGATAATGCAACCATGTTAGTGTTACAAATACTGTCCGACAGTACCAGCAAAATTATATTGCTCGATACGATCAATGCCGCAAAAGCTTTAGTTACAACTACTAAACAAAGAAACACCTACAACTTTATGAAGATATTTGACTACATTTTCTTAGACGATTATCAGCAACTGATAGATAACACGCTTTCAATTTACAAAGATATTCTATCCTTCGGCATATGCCCTATTCTTGAGCACAGTTCCAAAAACGACACAAGTATCTGGATAGTATGTGATGAATCTCAAACTTGGTGCAGCAGATATTTCAATTATATTGACCCTGAAAATGGTTAACCAATAGTTTTCAGCGACGGGCTTAAAGGTTATTTCGGAAACTTAAAACAGTTATCCATCAATCTTAGGAATACGTACGAAGTTTCCTCGGTGTTATCAATAATCATAAAACACTACAAGAAAATTGATTTTGAATTTGCAGGAGCAATCAAATGGCCACGGCCAGAAACAGGGCATTTCCTTCGAGGTCCTAAACCTGTTATCTACCATCTGGAAAATAATGTTAGGGCTGCTTGGAGACATATCCTTTCCACAGAAGTGGTAAAACTAAAGGGGGCAGATAGTTGTCTGAAAAACAAAGATATTGCAGTAGTAGTTTACGGTGTTTTTAGACAATATGAAGATGATGCAGATGATGTTCAACGAATTAAAAGTGTATTAGAAAGTCTAGGTGCAGGATACGATAAAATACCAGTCCTTTCAACAGACAGTTCTTTTTCAGCAGAGTGGCCAGCTGTTATCTTTTTTTGCAAATACGTTTCATTTACCGGTCTCTGTAATTTCCCTCAAGACATGTTTAAAGTTCAGAATGAGAAGAATTTGAAATCTACAGTCGGTTCAATTATTCCGGAACTCTATTTGGCAATCTCCAGAGCCAGAGTTTATTCTTCAGTGATCCTGCTAAGTATGTCTGATTCTAGTAAACATACTAGTAAATATGACAGTGAACTTTTAGAGGAATTGAAACAACGTCATGACGTTTGTAGGGTAATTGAGATCAATAACCGTAGTTGGGTTGGATGACTGTTAAAATTTACTCTTGATTTCATGCATAAAAACATTTTAATATATTGGAAATGATTTTTTGTTTCGGAATGACACCATTGATTATAATTCATAAACAGCTGTAAAACTATTTTGTATATAATATTCAACGTTTTTTTTAATTGGACATGTCAACTTTAAGTTCTGCATCTGAGTGAGTTTTTGTCAGATAAAATTATTTGAGATCACCGTTATCATCCTATATCCATTTTTGGAAAGTCGTTATAGTTACCTAGTTACCATAGTTACCATAGTTACCATAGTTACCATAGTTACCATAGTTACCATAGTTACCATAGTTACCATGGTTACCATATTTACCATAGTTACCATAATTACCAGAAACATATAAAACATCTTTAAAATGCAACGTTCAATCATCTAATTATTACGTTAATACTTTAATAGTGACCTGTCATTATTTCCATGGATATTGGACACAGAAACTCGTTAGGAATGCCGTCGAAAGCACGTAGCAACGATATAGATTGCTTCAACCGTGTCTTTTTCTCCTCGTCACAAACTATCGAGTTCATTAGTGTGTCCAAATCTGAAAAAGAGTTGGACGATCATATCGGTCATATCGGTCATATCGATCATATCGGTCATATCGGTCATTGTATCATCTCATGATCACCGATCAGAATGAGGCTGGAGATTACTTAAGTAGAATTATTTAACAAGACTAATGCTTTCATTTTAGCAATCTTGTTGTACACTCGCAAGTCTGAATAATTGAGAAAGAAGCGATTGTGTGCAATGGCAGAAGTCACGTGGAGCTGTAATCGTTGAGATTGTTAAATATTTCTTTCGTTACATTTAGCTGATATTCCCCCTACTTCCTTTTTGCTTACGGCTGAAAAGAAGGAAATAAGTTGAACAAACCAGCTGAAATTTAGAGATCATGCTAAAAAGACAAGTTAATTTGTCGGAAATTAGATGTAAATTTGCAACAGTATTTACTAATTCTAAAGGCTATGTAGTTAAACCTTAGTTTATCTGCTCAATTTTATGTACAGAGAGTACCATAATCTGGTGAATAAAAGCGTTCATAATCATTACTTTCTTGGGAGGGAGACTTGAAAGTCCGTGGTGATAGTCACGTGATATCCAGTATACACGTGATAGTTATTAGTCACGTGATATCCAGTATCCACGTGATAGTTATTAGTCACGTGATAGTCACGTTGGTAACTCATGTAGCGAGGATTGTTGGTCGTGAGTCGTCAGGTATGTAACCAGAAAGTTGAATATTATTGTTTATTAAATTTTTTTAATTAATTAATTAACAATTATATTTCCTGGCACTTTGGAGCCACCCCCAATTATTGTATGGACCATTACTTATTATACACAACTATTCGTCTAATATAAAGTAACCTAAAGTAAGTAAGTCTTGCTTGTCAACATTTAATGTGGTCGTTTAGGTTAGGGATAATGAAGGCGAACTCACGGACTGTTACTCTTTTATTAGTTTTAATGAACAAAATATGTATATTAATATATTAATATACATATTTTGTTCATTAAAACTATATATAATATTCATGTATATTAATATATTCATCAATATAATATCTGGTAAGATACTTCTCAAATGTAACATTAACATTGTGTCTACTTTAGTTCGGTAACTTCTTGGTTCCTCCTCTGAGATCATAGTCTAGTACACCACGACATAATCTAGTACACCACAACATAGTCTAGCACACCACGACATAGTCTAGCACACCACGACATAATCTAGTACACCACAACATAGTCTAGTACACCACGACATAGTCTAGCACACCACGACATAGTCTAGTACACCACGACATAATCTAGTACACCACAACATAGTCTAGCACACCACGACATAGTCTAGTACACCACGACATAGTCTAGCACACCACGACATAGTCTAGTACACCATGACATAGTCTAGTACACCACGACAAAGTCTACATAGTCTAGTACACCATGACATAGTCTAGTACACCACGACATAGTCTAACACACCACAGCATAGTCTAGCGCACCACAACATAGTCTAGTACACCGACATAGTCTAGCGCACCACGCCATAGTCTAGTACACCAAGACATAGTCTAGTACACCACGACATAGTCTAACACACCACAGCATAGTCTAGCACACCACGACATAGTCTAGTACACCACGACATAGTCTAGCACACCAAGACATAGTCTAGTACACCACGACATAGTCTAGTACACCACGACATAGTCTAACACACCACAGCATAGTCTAGTACACCACGACATAGTCTAGTACACCACGACATAGTCTAGCGCACCACGCTATAGTCTAGTACACCAAGACATAGTCTAGTACACCACGACATAGTCTACATAGTCTAGTACACCACGACATAGTCTAGTATTCCACGTGACGAATCTAATGTCACGCTGATATTATATATTAATCCTGGTGATGCTGGGTGGAGTGTTGAGTACACAGAGAATTTTAATATTCAGATCCCCGATAGAGTTCTCGGATCAGCGCTAATTTTGGGAACCTTGATAGGTCTCTTGGGGAACATTTCAGCGGTGTTATACTTCTGGCCCAGAAGACACAAGACCATTCATGATATTCAATATCTCGTGATAACAACCGTAGATTTCTTCACCGTTTCTTTATGTTTTCCAATGATAGCCTCTCTCCTCAATGATCGATTCCCGATGCTCTTTAGTAGAGATGTGTTTTGCACAGCCTGGACCTTGGTTAACAAGTTTACAAGGATTATGTCCATGTTTTTAGCGACAGTGATTTGTGTGACTCGTACTGTGGCCATGACATGTCCCCACCGTACGATCCAACGTTGTTGGGTCATCAGGGGCCCTGATTCAGGGCTATAGCTGCTGGATATGCCGCATTTATCATAGCAACAGATGTGATAGACCTCTCAACAAAATGGTCATACGGTGCTTATGCGGCCACTAGTTCTTGTTGTGGACTTAATTTCAGTGATAAAACACCAGTCGTCTACCGGTCTACCAGTATTTTGTTATAGTGTTGGGGGGGTCCAAGGGGAACTTTGGGGAGTTTTGGGGAACTTTTTTTTGGGGAACTTCAGGAAACCTGGGGGACTTTCCCAAAGTTCCCCAAAAAATTATCAATGAAACAAATAATTTTGGGGAATTTTGGGGAACTTTTTTTTGGGGAACTTCAGAAAGTTCCCCAAAATTCCCCAAAGTTCCCCAAAGTTCCCCAAAAAAATTACCATGCCAAAAAAATTATCATGCTGCAAGTATCAACAAGTAAGTTAAGATTATACCTTATAATAACATACATGTTAACATTAATGGGTATTAATGTATATTAATGTATATTAGAGAAATTTTGAATAATTTTGAATAATTTTGAATAATTTTGAATAATTTTGAATAATTTTGAATAATTTTGAATAATTTTGAATAATTTTGAATAATTTTGGGGAATTTTGGGGAACTTAAGGGAGTTTTGGGGAACTTTTTTTTGGGTAACTTCAGAAATCTTGGGGGACTTTCCCAAAGTTCCCCAAAGTTCCCCTTGGACCCCCCCCCCCCCCCCCCCAGTGTTTTCATGTGGCATCGCTCTTTTCTTGACATCATTGATAACATTTGCTTGTTTTGGATCAGTAATCGCTTTCTACTGACCCGCCTTATTTTTGGTAACGACGACGACCGTAAATTTCGCCGGGTTTCGGTCACCATCACCATTTTCACTACTGTTTTTCTCATTAGCAATATTTCGTGCTTAATTTCTCAGTTGCTCTATTTTGTTCATCCGACGCTTCTCGATGGTGAAATATTCCAGTATTATGAAGGGATCGTGCTGTTTGACGTGTCAGTCTTTCTAAACGTAATACTCAACCCAGTGGTGTATTTGATGAGAATGCAAGAGTATCAGACCTGGATACTCGATACTCTTAAAATTCCTGGCAAGTGGCGAACTGTGGTGAACTGATGACGTCACGTGATTAATAACGTCACAACATGACGTCACGTGACTAATAACGTCACGTGATCGGTTATTAATAAACTGGATACTTAATACTCTTAGAAATATTGGCAAGTGGCCAACCGTGACGAACTGATTACGTCACGTGATTAACTGATGAACAGGAAACTCAGTTCAAGCAAAACTTTCAACTCAAGAAACTAGAAATGAACATTTGAAGGACTTGCATCTGATAAACATTTTCCAAATGAGAGACGTTATAAACCTAAACATTAATATAAGCATACGAATGAAATGTGTGATCTTTAGAGTGTGTTATAATTTTATCATAACGATTTTCATTTAATTTCGGTTTTAAACAAACTGCCTTTTATTTTATTGTACTTATTACAGATTACTCCAAGCTTTAAATAAACTTTATTATTGATATAAAACTAACCCATATTTGCGAGATCTTTTCCAACAAGTTCAGTGTCTGCATGGCCCGGTAATAACCGACCCAACCAGTTGTTTACCTGTGAGAGTGGACTAAGTACATGTTCATCAACTTATATACTGCAAAGTGATTTAGCGTCACTTTCTACTCACAAGACGTTATATTATCACAAAAAAAGACAATTTAATGCCCGGACACGGCATACAGTTAACAATACCATACAGTTTTACTATTACTTCAATAATTTTAGGACAGATAATTTAATAACAGACGATTGGAAGCCCCTCGTAAGGACTAATTTATTGGACTCTATTGGACTAATTTATTACAAACATCATAATCAGTTTAAAAATAAAAACCCCGCTAAAAACCTGTTCGGAAGACCAATCAGTCAGTATCTCTTGAGAAGCAGTAGGAATAACGTTAATAGATCTGACTTTACCAGAGCAAACATTCCACAGCTTCACAGTCTTGTCTGAGCTACACGTAACTAACTTATCCTCTGTGGTAATTGGGTGGAAGAGCTAAATAAGCTTACTGTCAACCCCAGCTTCAAGAAAAACAATTCATATCAAAATATTCAATAATTAAATCAATAGCACAAATTATTAAACAAATTACAATATTTACCAAATAAAGAGATAGAATAGATAAAACTGGAGTGACAGATAGATTGGTGAATCTTATCCCCAGTTTCCACACTCCATATCACCACTGTTTTATCATACGACCCTGGGTATAACACATCTTATTATCAAATAACAAAGATATTGAATAACAGACTAAATGCTAACTTATTCAGCGATGAATAATTCAGCAGTTAACTAATTAACCAATAATGAAACTGAAGCAATTAAGTAATAAGTTAACAATTATTACCAGTAAAAAGAACGAGTTCACTGTCGCCTAACAAGTGAAACTTGCAACAAAGCACCTGGCCCGTGTGTCCCGTGAGAGTCTTGTGCGAAGTGAGCACGTAGTTATCTACATACCACAACTTTACCAGGTAATCTGCCCCTGATAACACGTTATTTCTGTTAACTATTATTACATGCGTTAAATGATTACATTTATTCATACGAATTAATTTATTACTACAAACAATTCTAGTGTTTAATCATACTTGATATTTTCGTTTTTCAAGCGAATATCAAGTGACTGTACAAAATCAGATGGATTAATTTTAGCAGCTGAAGCAAACCTATAACCAGTTAAACTATTTCAATTATCATCAATGTCTTTAACATACATAAAAGTAAATTAGTTTTCGGTATAACAGCGACTAAATATGCACCTTTTCCACGAAATATTAATGAAATGAGTGAATTGGGTGACTCTAGCAAGTTGGAAAACGAGGTGCCCATCTTTTCCTCTTTCTGTATTCCTGTCATTGTTCTTTTGGTACAGATTTTACTATAACAGAGTTGTGACGTGTGCACCAGTCTCATTTCCGAAGCTCTAATGAGCCCCTCTACCATTCAAACCATGGTTTTGTGAGTGACATTTATCTTTAAGATATTAGCCCAATCGGGATTCACTCGCTACCTCAGGACCAGTGGACAGAAGATAAAATTGACTAACCAGCTGCGCCACATATTAGTGGATCATGATGTTTTGATACACAACACTCTATGATTCTCAGTCAATGATTCTCAGTTTTCTATAAAATTGTGAGAAAGTTCAGACTACGTCAGAATTTTGAAAGGGAATAACATTGATCATATAACTGCAGTCTTTTGGTGATTGGTGGGATGAAATTTCAAATTGAGACGATCCTCTTTGTAACCTCCTTCCCATGTATGATATAGATTTGGAAAATTTATATTGTTAATATAGAATTTTCTATAAAAATGTGAGAAAGTGGATTAGGATGGAAATGTAGGACAGAATAATGGTTTTTATCCTTGTACCATTTTACTGTAGTCATATGGTGATTGGTGGGTCCGGGATGAAATTTCAAATTGAGACGATGCCCATCAGCCCTCATAGATTTGAAATTTTTGATAAAGGAAATTAATATTACAGGGTGTTATAATTTGCTTTTTGAGATTTTGCCTTTGGGCCGTGTTTGTTTTTTTCTCTAGATGGAGAACACGGACGATGATGACGCTGAACCTTGGAAGAGTTTCTTCATGTTCGTCGCCCCGATCAACATTCCTCTGTGTATCCTAGTTTTAGCAGTCTGTTCCACAGTCCTGACCTACTACTGGAGAAACCGCGGAACCCTCACAAACACACTGTTTCTCCTGATAACAGCAGCTGACTTGATCACGTGTGTTGGTCACCTGATCCTGATGATGTGTTGCGTTCTGATGTCACGTGACATTATACCACTACCTATCTCTGCTAAGGTATGTGCAGTGATACACACCCTTCTGTCACTACTCGGCTACGCCTCATCGATTTTCCTGAACATGATACTTGCTGTTTTAAGGACTGTTAAGATATCCTTCCCTTTCCACCAAGTCAAAGTTGGAACTCTGATGATAGCAGTAACTCTTCTTGTGGGTGTTTTAGTTGTATTGTCTGTGTTTGATGTATGGTGCATGTTTTTCAATATGTATTGTGTGCCGTGGCTTTTTCTCTGGGATCATGTGGAGATGTCTTTTGTTGGCCATCATCTACTGGAATTCATTAGTCACTTTATACACAGTCTTAACTTGAAAAGTAGGGAGATGATACGAAGTGTTCTGGTAGGGTGGATATACTTAGCACCGATAGGGGTCGTCATGATCTGCCTCGTGACCCAATTCATTGTTACGTGGCACAGAGCACGTGCACGTGACCCTGACCATCCAGTGGTCACTGATTGGTCACGTGTCAATACCACAGTTTCCATCCTCTCTGCTGTTTTCTTGGTCTGTAACTCCGGAATAGCAATCATTCAGATCTGCTACCGAATGTACGGAGATGATGTATTTCCTGGTTCCTTTGCCTGGGCAGTTTGCAAGTTGATGATAAGCACGACACTACCTCTACTGAACGCACTTCTGACACCGCTTATAATATTAGCTAGAAGCAGGGAGCTACGAAGGAATGTCATGATGATGATCAGACGAGTTTTAAGATTCCCACCACCAGCGAACTAAAAGACTGGAAACCTCGGACTAGGATACTCTCACGGACAATGGAATGTTTTCAGGGACACGCAGTGACGTCATGTTGTATTTGATGACGTCATGTAGTACTTCAAAAACTCAGCTTCTACATATTCTATTCTATATACAAATGTATATTTGTATGCAGAACCACTAGGATGGGAAGTATTGGGACATCACCAGGATACAGCAAACAATACGAACTTGATTATGGATTCACATTAATTAGTGAAACAAGTTTCAAAACCAAATGTTAATAAAAGCGAACAATTTCTGATTCGTGTTTTTAGTTTATTCTTAAATATAACCACTTTAACCTTATTGATTTACGATATTTGACCTGTGAAATATTCTAATCATTTTAAAAATTTTTCAAAAGGTTATCTTTTTTATATCATGATAATATCTCCCCACTAGCAAATTCCACAATTTAAATCTACCCGAGCTCTTAACGTTTAATAAAGAAAAATTAAAAGTAATAATAAAGCGGAGCTATTAATGTATAATAAATAAATAATATTAAAATAAATAAAGAGTCCAAAGTTGTATCCTAAGCGGTGTTAGATGCCGGACTCCGACTACCATGTTTTCAATATTAGTTAACAATTAGATAACGTGTGAGATACTGTGCTACTTCAAAATTTACACTGGGTATGATCTGCTAACTGTGACTAAGTTACTGCTTATCTCTCTCAGGTACTGGACTGGTCCCTGCACTTAACAATGCAGCATTGTTCAGCAGCTTTGTTCAGCAGGTTTGTTCAGCAGGTTTGTTTAGCCCCTTAGCTCATTGGTTATCACAGTGTGATAAATAAAAAGGTTTTGTTTCACTATATTAGACATAATGTGTAGACAAAATATGTTTGTATCCATCACAAGAGCAATTCATAATCGGCTGACTCATTTAAACTGAATTTCTGAAGAAAAACAGCATGGAAACTACTAATTTTAAACGAACTAGGTCTTACTACCGTTAAACAAGATGAGATATGAAGTAGTTTAGTAGCAAAGATAACAGTGATAAATCACACAAAATGAAGTTCGACAAATTCACTTCGTTCGTGCCATCCTTTATCCTAGTCACTGACCGCGGCAAGCGGGGCTGGATACAAACAAATACTTCATCTTTCCATTATTAACTCAGTAATCATATTTACATAATACTAAGCGGCGAGTGTATATTCTAAAGAATAGTTATATAACATAATTAGGATGATTATTTGCGCCAAAATCAAGTTAACATAGGGGTAATAAGTAAACCTGCTGTCTGCAAACTTTTCTAGATTTTCTTTTCTCATCATAAAGTAGAGTAGAACGAGAGGAAACAAATAAACTGAGCACGGAAACTAAAACCACGTACTTGAGGCTTTTAGGAGTGCCTATGAGTAGCCAAAAAAGCACAGGAACTAATTACATGAGTATATATTATATAATTATATATAATAACACGGGCGATTAAGTAATTAAACTTACAGGGCAAATAGGAGGAGAGATAGCGACATGAGAGTAATCAACAAGGCTGAGTGTGCTAGATGAATAACAAGGGATACAACGAGAAATATCAAATATATATAATAATATGTAATATTATGAAAATGTAGAGTGCGTCAACAGCACAACCCACTTCAGTTGACAGATACACAGTGCAGTAGAGGACACTGTGCAGTAGAGGACACTGTGCAGTATAGGACACTGTGCAGTAGAGGACACTGTGCAGTATAGGACACTGTGCAGTATAGGACACTGTGCAGTAGAGGACACTGTGCAGTAGAGGACACTGTGCAGTAGAGGACACTGTGCAGTAGAGGACACTGTGCAGTAGAGGACACTGTGCAGTAGAGGACACTGTGCAGTAGAGGACACTGTCTCAACTCAATCTTAAACAATAATCTCAATAAAGAGATAATCTCAATAAATTGCAGGCTAATGCCTGCAGAAAATAACGGCAGGGGTAGGGGAAGGAGACGTCGTGGTAGAACGACTTTTAGTTCAACAGTTAGAGGACGTAATCAACGTCTCGGTCTTTCAGTGCCATTCTAATTTCGACGAGGAGTGTAAACGACATGATTAAAGTTAAATACTATTGAATACGTGAGGGCACTCCGAATAGAATTTTCTCACCTAATGCGGGTTTTGACTCAGCGGGTAAATACTCCTACCCTTTTTAACTGCGGCAGTGAAATCCCGGCCGAAGGCCGGGTTACACTAGTATTGTAATAAAATGAATGTAGAGTGAATATTTGCACGATGTTTTAGCGGGGAAAACAAGTTGATATAAAGTGTTTGAGCAGGTTTCTCTTGGGGGAGGGGGGCTCGAGGCTTCTCTATAACTTAAACAGAAGTCGTTTAACTTAATGAAGAGAACTGTAACTACCTACCAACAGTGCAGAGCAGGTTCCGTTCCCCCTCGAGAGTGATGTCACACCCGTTCACCCCCATTTGATGCGCATCGTAGTGACTATGTACTGGTTTTGGGGATGTCGTGTCGTAGAGGAATATTGTACCACTGGTGGCTGTAGCAACTACCAGTGAGTTGTCGTAACTTATACACACTCCAGACAACATTCCTGAGGGTAAGTAACTTATACACACTACGCAACATTGCATTCCTGAGGGTAAGTAACTTATATACGCTCCAGACAACATTCCTGAGGGTAAGTAACTTATACACACTACGCAACATTGCATTCCTGAGGGTAAGTAACTTATACACACTCCGGACTACATTCCTGAGGGTAAGTAACTTATACACACTCCGGACAACATTCCTGAGGGTAAGTAACTTATATACACTCCGGAAAACATTCCTGAGGGTAAGTAACTTATACACACTCCGGACAACATTCCTAAGTTGAATAGTTCACGTGGGAACGGAGCTCAAATAGTTATAAATCAAGAGGCTTGCATATAATGAACATATTGACACGGGTGCAGAGTTGAGTCTGTACGGAACCTAGTAGTTTCAGATCCTTGTTTAACTTGCCGTACAGCAAGGTCATCCACTACTTTAGCCCGGCGAGGCACATAACTCCCTCTACAACCCCATATCAAATGTTTCATATATACTAGCCAAGTTCACAAGATATATCCTTGTGTTTGAGAAGAGCTCGTTAGAACTGCTTCCTTTCCTATGTTCGTCTTGATGTGATATGAGATTAATAAAGTACCAGTCTAATTTCATCACCCTAATTAGTGTTGAAAATATGAATTACTTTAACAACTTGATCCGTTCAATATATAATAATATCTAATATCGTATAATAGTTTTGGAGGTTATTATGCTACGTAACGATTAAATGACAATGATTTTGTGGAAGATTTGGACAACTAAACGAATGATGTGAGTTATAATCTTACCTGAATCACTCTCAGTAAGTTTAAGGTATCTGTCAACCTCTGGATTAGACAGTATGTTAGTTATACAGATGGTCTGGTCACTAGAACCGCTGATAAGCAGTGAACTGTCCTTACTGACGCACAGGCACCGCACTGGTCCTTTGTGGATCATCAGTTTCTCTTTCACTTTATCTGAGATAATATCAGTTTTGGATTCTCTTCCCTTATATCTGAGATCATATCAGTTCCTATTTCGATGTATCGGAAATAAAATAAGTTTTTGTTTCCAAATACATAGTACCCAATGTCCGGCCCAATACACTCGTTTGGAACGGTTACATAAAATAACTCATAAAACACTAGCACAGGTAAATACGAATATGTTGGTATATTCACCAACTTGTATATTTCACACTATACGAATATCTAAATAACACTCACTCTCTTTCTCAAAATGAAATATCCAATTTTAAACATAACGTGTCAGTCAGTATGTTTTAGATAAGTTAGGTACTGCTGTAATGTACTGTAATGTACTGTAATGTACTGGCATGTACTGTAATGTACTGTAATGTACTGTAGGGCCTGTCGTGATATCATGGATCGCTTAGGTTCCACCAGGATCTGGTAGTCCTCATAATTCTGCGGCCTCTGTGTTTCGTCATCTCGCACAACTCTTTAAGAATCTTGTGGATTTGGCATGTGAAAATTTGCAGCCTTCCAGACATTGATTGGGTTAACGAGGTGTCGTACGTCACCTCAAGATCGGGTGACAGGGGGCTGACCAGGCCAGAACCCAATTGATTGGGTCTTAGGTCACGTGATTATGAGCCTGAGGTCACGTGACTATGACGTCACCAGACCTTCCTCTCCGTTTCCCGCTCATTGGACCAGGTGAGCTTGCATGCATGTGAATGTGGGTGTAAGTATAGCTGTACTGTAGTTTATACCTAATTAAACCCCTATAGAAACCGAAAATTTATTTTCTGGCAGAAAGCTAGAAATTTACCAAAATATCGTCATTGTTTTAAATTTATTTTGATGACCATTCCTGACCTAAAATCGCACGAGAAATCGATTAAACTTGGTTTCAGAACTCAACAATGCTTCCTTATGTCTTAAAATCCATGTTTTATCAATACAATCAACATCTCGATCATGTAGTTAAACTTATTACTTAACGGATTCAAGTATAGTTACGCGGTAGACAAACTAAAACAAAATTAGGTTTATAACCTGCCAGGACGTGCGCCGAGTTAAACTTGTCGAAGGTAATATTTTACGAGTATCACCCGTTAAAGACAAAACACCAGTTTAATTGTCCTTTTGTCTGAACCATATGGTTAAGTGCAAGCTGTATACAATACGTCAAAAAATCATATCAACGAATCGTATCAAAGTGAATGGGAGTGAGTATTACAAACCTCGGGTCAGAAAACTTCCCAAGGACCGAGAATCTTTTGTTCAATTCATCCTGGAAGTCGGCGTACGGTGTATTGTTGACTTTACAATTACGGATCTTCTTCATGGTTGCATGAAGTTTCTTCAGTTTTCTAAAAGTAAAAGATGAATGAATAAAAACCTCCGAAATAAGTGTTACATCATAAACAAACAAAGTCCGTAATTTGCTGATACGTGTTCTATGCTCACACTCGCTCCCTCAACTTCTGTCTTAATCTACGGATATCGAACGAATTGTAACAAAAAGAATAAAAAATTCACTGTAAAGTTGCAAGTAATAATATATCTAATAGCTTGATCATATATTCAGCGATAATATTTACAAGGGAAATTGAAACTACATACTTGAAGATGTTGGCTTTACTGTTAAGAGATATCAATAATTCCGATTCAGCATAAAATTGAACAAGTTCCTCAGCCACCAAGGTCAGAATTCTGTTAATCTGTACCTTCGGTTGCTGGTCACTTCTAAGAAGTAATAATTGAAGCACTCTCCTAGTCGAAGGAATCGTTTGAGGTAACTCAAGTGGCTCTCCAATAAGGGAGGAAAACTTCATTTTTGAATGGAAAATTGTAACGAATTGAAAATGTAACGATTAAAATAATGCTTGCATTTCTTGCGTAATTTAGCAGCCTTTTTTAGCGTAATCTTGATTAAAACTGCTGCCATTGGTCGATATATTCTATCAGTAGAATAAGCTGTGGCAATTGGCCACATATTGTTAACTAATGCACCCTACTAACGCGTGTCTTACTCCGCAAAACCATCCAAAAGCTATACACTAATCCTACCTAATCTTACACTCAGCTCTAATGGCTATTCTACACTCAAACTAGAACATTCTAAAAGATCGATTATTACGCTGAAACCCTGCTGTGTACAGCTTATTGGCCACTGTGTATGTGCTAGTAGTCATATATGTGTGAAAAGATGCCGATAATACTTCCAGATTAATTACGAAAATTGAAATAACAGACACTTAAAAAAAGCTGCCCAACTGAAATTGCACAAATTGCAATACAACTGCCACATAACACAAGGTTTTTATACATATAAGTTTATTTAACGGGTGATACTCGTAAAATATTTGTTCAAATATTACCTTCGACGAGTTTAACTCGGCGCAGGTCCTGGTAGGTTATAAACCTACAATTTTGTTTTAGTTTGTCTACCGCGTAACTATACTTGAATCCGTTAAGTAATAAGTTTAACTACATGATCGAGATGTTGATTGTATTGATAAAACATGGATTTTAAGACATAAGGAAGCATTGTTGAGTTCTGAAACCAAGTTTAATCGATTTCTCGTGCGATTTTAGGTCAGGAATGGTCATCAAAATAAATTTAAAACAATGACGATATTTTGGTAAATTTCTAGCTTTCTGCCAGAAAATAAATTTTCGGTTTCTATAGGGGTTTAATTAGGTATAAACTACAGTACAGCTATACTTACACCCACATTCACATGCATGCAAGCTCACCTGGTCCAATGAGCGGGAAACGGAGAGGAAGGTCTGGTGACGTCATAGTCACGTGACCTCAGGCTCATAATCACGTGACCTAAGACCCAATCAATTGGGTTCTGGCCTGGTCAGCCCCCTGTCACCCGATCTTGAGGTGACGTACGACACCTCGTTAACCCAATCAATGTCTGGAAGGCTGCAAATTTTCACATGCCAAATCCACAAGATTCTTAAAGAGTTGTGCGAGATGACGAAACATAGAGGCCGCAGAATTATGAGGACTACCAGATCCTGGTGGAACCTAAGCGATCCATGATATCACGACAGGCCCTAAATGTACTGTAATGTACTGTAATGTACTGTAATGTACTGGCATGTACTGGCATGTACTAGCATGTACTGGACTACTGGAATGTACTGTAAAATTCAAATAACACAATTAAATAAAACTAACCAGCCCCCACATCATACAGCACGATATTGTGGTCTGTACTAGCTATGATGAGGTGGTTATCAGTAAAACACAGCGCTGTTACTGGATACTTGTGGGTTGATAGGACCTGAACTCTGTCCGGTCTCAGTAGAGTTGTGGTTCCATCTGAGTGGCCTGCAAATGATGAAAATCCGCTTAAATTCACAAAATCAATAAAAATAGTAAGCAGATTATAAGTCATGACTAAATTGTTAATATCAATAGCTATGCGATAGAGATTTTAAACTGAAAAAAAAGATACTTCGATACAATCAAAATGAAAGATTTGCAAAGTTATCATCAATGTTATATCAAGTTAACAGCAACAACTGACCCACTGACCGGCGGCGACCAACCCGTTAGTACTAATAGCACAAGAGTAGACTTGTTTCTCAGATTTCTCGCTCTGTAGTAGACTTAACGACAGCATTTTACAGTCAAATATAGCTGCTATCTGATGCTTTTATTTTTACATCTGATGAAATGAGTGCATAATTACTCTCAAATTACTCTCTCTATATTATAAGTACTTAACATTATTCAAATTACTTGTCAATAAAGTTTGGTGCGTCATAAGTGAGTGTCATTAGCTTGACAAAGTAGTATGGCCCGGATAGATTTAACAAATTATGCTTCTATGGGGGGGGTGTCATGTCCGTCTATGTCCGTCTATGTCCTGTCCTTTTTGGATTCTATGAGACAACGGACGTGTTTTTTGGGACATTGGCGGACACGGACGGACATTGGCGGACTCGGACGGACATTGGCGGACTCGGACGGACATTGGCGGACTCGGACGGACATTGGTGGACATTAGCGGCAAATTTTGAGGGCTGAAGAGTACTGAAGAGTACTGAAGAGTACTGAGGAGGATGGCTGAGAAGGATGGCTGAGGAGGATGGCTGAGGAGGATGACTGAGGAGGATGACTGAGGAGGATGACTGAGAGGGAGGAGAAGGATCAGGAAGACCCAGGAGGAGGAGGACCCAGAAGGAGGACCTAGGAGGAGGAGGAGGAGAACTGAGGAGGATGACTGAGGAGGAGGAGGACTCAGGAGGAGGACTGAGGAGGACTGAGGAGGACTGAGAAGGAGGAGGACTGAGGAGGATGGCTGAGGAGGATGGCTGAGGAGGATGACTGAGAGGGAGGAGGAGGAGGAAGAGGAGGAAGAGGACTGAGGAGGAGGAGGAGAAGGACTGAGGAGGAGAAGGAGGACCCAGGAGGAGGACCCAGGAGGAGGAGGACCCAGGAGGAGGACCCAGGAAAAGGCCCCAGGAGGAGGAGGAGGACTGGGGAGGAGGAGAACTGTTGAGGACTGATGAGGAGGACTGAGGACGAGGAGGAGGAGTAGGAGGAGGACTGAGGAGGGGAGGAGGAAGAGGACTGGGGAGGAGCAGGAAGACCCAGGAGGACCCAAGAGGAGGAGGAGGAGGACCCAGGAGGAGGAGGATGACTGAGGAGGACTGAGGAGGAGGACTGACGATGACTGAGAAGGAGGAGGACTGAGGAGTACTGAGGAGGATGGCTGAGGAGGATGGCTGGGGAGGATGGCTGGGGAGGATGGCTGAGGAGGATGACTGAGGAGGATGACTGAGAGGGAGGAGGAGGAGGACTCAGGAGGAGGACTCAGAAGGAAGAGGAGGAGGACTCAGGAGGAGGACTCAGGAGGAGGACTTAGGAGAAATGAGAAGGAGGACTGAGGAGAACTGAGGAGGAGGAGGAGGAGGAGGACTGAATAGGAGGAAGAGGGCAAGGAGGGGGACTGGGAGAGGACTGGGGAGGAGGAGGACTGATGAGAAGGATGAGGAGGAGGACCCAGGAGGAGGAGGACTGAGGACCGAGGAGGAAAAGGAGGAGGATGAAGAGGAGGAAGAGGACCCAGGAGGAGGAGGATTGAGGAGGAGGACTGAGGAGGATGGCTGAGGAGGATGACTGAGAGGGAAGAGGAGGAGGAGGAGGAGGAGGACTCAGGAGGAGGAGGAGGACTCAGGAGGACTGAGAAGGAGGAGGAGGAGGAGGAGGACTGAATAGGAGGAGGAGGAGGGGGACTGGGGGAGGACTGAGGAGGAGGATGAGGAGGAGGACTGAGGAGGACTGAGGACTGAGGAGGAAGAGGAGGAGGATGAAGAGGAGGAGGAGGACCCAGGAGGAGGACCCAGGAGGAGGACTCAGGAGGAGGAGGAGGACTGGGGAGGAGAAGGACTGTTGAGGACTGATGAGGAGGACTGTGGACGAGGAGGAGGAGTAGGAGGAGGACTGAGGAGGGGAGGAGGAAGAGGACTGAGGAAGATCAGGAAGACCCAGGAGGAGGAGGAGGAGGACCCAGGAGGAGGAGGATGACTGAGGAGGACTGAGGAGGAGGACTGACGATGACTGAGAAGGAGGAGGACTGAGGAGTACTGAGGAGGATGGCTGAGGAGGATGGCTGGGGAGGATGGCTGAGGAGGATGACTGAGGAGGATGACTGAGAGGGAGGAGGAGGAGGACTCAGGAGGTGGACTCAGAAGGAAGAGGAGGAGGACTCAGGAGGAGGACTCAGGAGGAGGACTTAGGAGAAATGAGAAGGAGGACTAAGGAGAACTGAGGAGGAGGAGGAAGAGGAGGACTGAATAGGAGGAGGACAAGGAGGGGGACTGGGAGAGGACTGGGGAGGAGGAGGACTGATGAGAAGGATGAGGAGGAGGACCCAGGAGGAGGAGCACTGAGGACCGAGGAGGAAGAGGAGGAGGATGAAGAGGAGGAGGAGGACCCAGGAGGAGGAGGACTGAGGAGGAGGACTGAGGAGGATTGCTGAGGAGGATGACTGAGAGGGAAGAGGAGGAGGAGGAGGAGGAGGAGGACTGAGGAGGAGGAGGAGGACTGAGGAGGACTGAGAAGGAGGAGGAGGACTGAATAGGAGGAGGAGGAGGGGGACTGGGGGAGGACTGAGGAGGAAGATGGAGGACTGAGGAGAAGGATGAGGAGGAGGACTGAGGAGGACTGAGGACTGAGGAGGAAGAGGAGGAGGATTAAGAGGAGGAGGAGGACCCAAGAGGAGGACCCAGGAGGAGGACTCAGGAGGAGGAGGAGGACTGGGGAGGAGAAGGACTGTTGAGGACTGATGAGGAGGACTGTGAACGAGGAGGAGGAGTAGGAGGAGGACTGAGGAGGGGAGGAGGAAGAGGACTGAGGAAGATCAGGAAGACCCAGGGGGAGGAGGAGGAAGAGTAGGAGGAGGAAGCATCTAAATGTTATTTCCATTTTTGTCCGTTTTTGTCCATTTTTGTCCGTTTATGTCCGCTCTATTTTTTGTCCGTTTTGAAAATATAGGGTACCGAACGGACAAAAAACATGATCCCCCTATAACAGCAAAAATTGAACATTTTATTTAGCAATTTAGGTGTCCATTAATGTCCGCCTATGTCCTTCTATGTCCGCCTATGTCCTTCTATGTCCGCCTATGTCCTTCTATGTCCGTCTATGTCCGCCTATGTCCGCCTATGTCCGCCTATGTCCTGTCCTTTTTGGATTCTATGAGACAAGCGGACATAGACGGACGTGACACCCCCCCCTTCTATAATATTGTACATATTATGCATATTGCTTATCAAACTGTAGGTTGAGTGTTGAATGTTGAATGTTAAGACACAGTGTTTGATACAGAGTGCTTGATACACAGTGCTTATTATACACAATACTCATTACTCATACAGTACTTAAACTGCAGAGTTAGAAGAATAAAATCTGGTAGTTATTTTAAGCAAGCTGTGAATTTCGAATTTCCTGATGTAATTTACTCATTGACAATAATCGGTAAAATAACAATAATTCAAAGATCAAAATTTGGACAGCATAAAATAATTGTTTTCAAAATTCTATGTATTTGAAAAATCCCATTTAGTCAGATAGAATAACAAATTTAATTTGCAAACAGATAGAATTTAAGTCACATGGTATTTACACTGTACAATGTGTCATTATTACTCAAAACAGTGTATAGTACTTCTGAGTTCTGTGAACTTTTACAATTTCTATGAGAATATCCGCTTCTGGATAACATACAACACAGTGCAGAGAAATAAAAAGAATCCCAGATATGTCAAAATTGTATCAGTCATAGCTCTTCGTCCAAACTTGGTTACCAATCTGTGGGAGCTGATAAGGACAGAAGACAAAGTCTGATATTCGGAATCTACTTCTTTAATTTCAGATGAAGATGTTACAAGATTTTTTACAGTGTCTTCCTGCTGACGAACCATTGATGCTAACATTTCTGTATTTCTTTGCATACGATTAGTTATATCTTCAGCAACTTTTGTGACATCTTTTGAAGCTCTTTTTCTAACGGTTCCTCCAGACAACAAGGCTTCTTTTTCTTCCTTGTCTCTGATTTCATTTTGAACATTAAGAGCATTTCTGAGCTGTTGCTGAAGTGCCTCTAGTTCTTCTAGATGCAACATATGTTGCTGTTGAAGGAAGTCTTGTGCTTCAGAAGAAGGCTGTTCTTTGATCTTTATTTTCAAAACATTGAGGTTGGATCTTATTTTCTGTATCAACGGAAATGGAAAAGTTTCTGCTCCATTCTTTATTTCATCAATTTTCAGCCGCACATTAATTTCATGTTGAAAGAGGCCTTGGAGAATAAGCTGAGCATCGTCTTTCAATGATTCCATTCTGAAAATGAGTATAGTTTTAACTTTTATGTATTTCTAAGAAAGTTAACTATTTTATGGATGTGCTTGACTAAAAGACATTATATATAAATATAAAAGCAACTTATTTCTACCTGGGAAAATCTACAAAAGTGTGTACTGTGTCTGACATTTAATCCCAAGGATAAATCAAAGGTCATCCTAGTAATTAACTTCATTTTAAGATATTGCACGGGTCATCATATTATATGGAATAATAACCAAGATTATGTGGAATATAATCTGAAACGATGACGCTAAGATGATGAAGTGATCAAGCAATTTCTTTATCTGTTTAGCAAAATTGATTGGGCAATCATGTGATGGCCAAACACAATGCATTACAAATTGACTCAACCCAATTTGATGTTGGCAACTCATTGAACAACATCTGACTTAATATGCATTTAGTATTAAACAATTCAGTGAGTTATCTTTTCATGTACGCGTACGCTGTACATTGTAGTTAGTAAATGCAAACCAAACTTTTTCGACCAGCAGCGCGCGTGAGCCAGTGTTGCAAGGTAAAAATTGTCTATATTTTGTACATTTTTCAGTGTAAATTAATTTATTAATTTATCACTTGAACACGTATCACAAATTATTTTATTATAATAAAAACCACTTCTGTGAAATGGTTATTTTGACTTTAAATATTTGAACTAAATATGAATCAATTGTGGGTATAAAATAAAATTTGTTTTACTAAAAATTTGTTTTACTAAAATATACATAATATTAAAGTAACATTTATTACTAGCAAAACTGCACGTTTTGCTTACTGGCGTATCCCCTAAAATCATCTAATTTGTTCAATTTTAGGGAGCGGCGCCAAAAGGGGAGGGGCACCACCAGGGGGCGCTTTTTCAGCGGGGTGCCAACAGGCAACGGTACACCACTGCCCAACCCCCCCCCCCCCCCCAGTGGCGAAACTTTGCTTGTTGGCGCCCCCCCGCTCAGTGACGAAAAGCGCCCCCCTAAAATTTTTTGTCCCTAAAAAAAAAAAAAAAAAAAAAAGTCGGGTACTTTTTTTCTCGCCCCCCTACAGCTTTTTGCGCCCCCTGAAGCAAAAAAGGGTACCCCAAATATTTTTTTCGCGTCGGCCGAGCGCTAAATTGGACAGGGAAATACACAAACAAGGCGTTTTTCAGTGAAAGGGCCTAAAATTCAGGAAAATTGTGCCCCCCTTATACGGCGCCCCCCCCCCCCCCCCCCCCCCCCGCACAGCGGGGTCTGCGGGGCCCTAACTTACGCCACTGCCCCCCCCCCCTCCTCTTCTTCAAGTAGAAAGATAAAATTGAACAAATTAGGTGATTTTAGAGGATATGCCAGCAAAATGTCTAAAAGTATAAACATGTATTTCTAGAGCAAAACACGCAATTTTGCTAGTACTTAAGTTAAGTTTTGCCCCCAAGGTGGCGTTGGATAACAAGACATATAATTTAGCATGCTGACCTAGTGGTACAATTGAAACTATGATTATTCTGGTTCCCGACATAGATAGTAGGGCGCTACTTAAACCAAAAGCAGTTGGCAAAAGAAACAAGTTGCCTGTTGGAGCTTTACTATCACCCGATAAACCACGTTTGGGGCACTAAACCAGGCCAAAAACCAGCCAGACACTAAGGTAGATTGGACAAGTTGGTTGTCAGAAGGATCCAATGTTTTGCAATTGATATATCAATTAATTATTAAAAAGGCTCGATTAAAGAATTGTCACTACTATCAACTGTAAATCAGTACGACACTCATCATAAAAGTTAAGTCGAACAAAAAATTTACAGAAGATATTCACAGGAAGAAGAGGATACAAAAAGAAAATGCACATTCTTGCAAGAGAATAAAACCAACTTATTATGTACTAAATGGAATCAAGAATATTATTGACTATATTTGATAACGATGAATTGTAAATTTCGATCAATTTATATTTTTTCGGTCTCCAATTATTGAACTGCGGAAGCTGGTTGCCTCAACAATGTTGACTATGCATGGTATGACTGAATTGTAAACACGTGATAATTGAACGAAAAATAAATGATGAACATGATTCAAAAACTGTAAACCACCAAATGAATTATCGCTTAAATTTAAACAAGTATTTAAACAAAAACCATCATGTGCCGTTAAGCAGCAGGGCGCGGCTCATCTGGGCCACAGCAATTCGGCGAAAATGGGTTCGAAAAAGCCACTATTGGCACTCGAGTCCTTGATCTTTCCGATGGTTCACTGGGGCTTTTGAGCTGCCGTCCTTCAGCTTCTGTAAACTGAAATTACTACCAATCCAAGTTGAGGCAATCAGCCGACGCGCGGCTTTTATGGTTATATATGATATGTTTAATCTGTAATAAAGATCAAAATTCAAATTTGTTTCTCTAAAAAAAATTTTTTTCTCTATACAAACAAAATACTGCAGCTGCAGCCGAGTTGACAAAGTAAAAAGTTTGTTATAAATAAAAACATGAGTAACTCGTGATATTGATTCACGATGTCAATCCTTCGCATCTTATACGTGGTTGCATACGTGGTTGCGAGAAGCATTATTGGATGCGCGCGCGACCCAGTAGTGCATCGCGCTACAACTCGTGATAGTATGATCTGATGTATGAAATTCTTAAAAACCTTTTTTGTTTTGATTGTTATTAATAAATACAACAATTTAAAACTTGTTTTCCTAAAACTTTTTTCCTAAAACTTGTTTTCCTAAATGAGTCTCTTATTCATTAAAAATGTAATGTAATCATGGATTGAAATTATGTCAGGCTACAACAACTACTACAAAGGTAACAATGGGATTCAAAAGTCAAATCATTTCACATTTGATTTGATATTGCTCTATCCAGAGCCCTTGAGCTTGCAGTGGCGCCCGCAATGGCTTACTGGGCCGCGCTCAGCCTGGCATTCCGCCGAATCTCTATTTTTTATGTTTATGAACATAATAGCCTGTGGTCCCCAGGTAAGCAGTGGCGCGAAAGCACATGGTTAGGTGAAGATTTGATATAATGATTTAGCAGCCCAGTAGTTGGATCAATTATAGCACGATGCACTACTAGGCCGCGCCGTGCATCCAATAATATTAATGCTAATTGCAATCATTTCATTAAATCGACAAAATGCACTACTGGGCCACACCGGCACACCGAGCTACAAAAGATTGACATCGTCAATCTAACGAAAAGTGTTATTGTGTGCGAGGCACGACTCGGCTCAGTAGTGCATTGCATTGCGCTACAAGACAAAAACATTTAAAAATTAAACTGTGCATAAAAACTAAAAAGCTTGTGTGTTTATAACCTACCATACAAAACGCGCGCTGAGTTGGACTTGCGCTCGTCGCAACGGTTTTTAAAATATTTGAAAAAATTATTTCATTTGCATTTTAAACAACTTTTGCTACAAAATTTACTACAATCAGAGAAAAAAATTGTGCAGACTTTTAAAATAAATATTTCGCAATGATGGTTATCAATGATCAGTAAAAATTAATTTTTTTTAGACGAATTAATCTTTAGCTTAAAAAATGTAGTTCCTATCTTTCCACATTGTCATCACTCACCCTTATTGCTTATAAATATACCGTTGTGGTTTTTTAAAAGGGCGAAACCTTTGAGATGATGGCTGTAAAAGTTTTTTAAATGACTTTTGCATTTTGTGTGTGACATTCGCCATTCCAAAAAAACTACGACGATATGTTGGCAGCATACTGCACGTAGATAAAGTACGTTATATGTGACATTGGACCACTGTAATCAAACGCCCAATTTATAACATTCGGCGTTCTTTGAAATCTCGAAAATAACATCCGCCCTTTGAAAATCTAATCTAAGCACGATAGAGCTTCAAACTGTTGGGGATATTGTAAACCTCTATTATACCTATGTTTTAAGCCATAGTGAAATTTGACATTCGCCCTTCAATATCTCTATTTCCTCTTAATATAAGTGGGAAAATATTATTGCTCACTAATTATAGGGGCCGGTTAATAATTGCTGCAAAGTGACGAAAATGTGCTTGTCAAACCAAAATATTTAGCCATGATACCAAGCAATTTCGTTTTTCAGCCTCGAAAATCAGTTTATATTATTAAAGGCAAAGTAACCAAGCATCACATCCAAGATCTTCGTCAATAACTAAGTTATTTATTTCTATTCACTAAACAGTAGAGCCAGCTCTCAAAAATCAGAGGCGAATACGTGGGGACCTTTAAAGTAACAAGTGGTTTGACTGATTATGGATCGTTGATGTTTTTATGGTCTTAATGTGGTATCAAACAGTAGATGCAGTAAAAGTAGCAATAAAATGAAGAAAGTCCACAGTTCTTTTCTTCCGGAGAGGGTGAGACCATATTGGTATTCGATTTCTGATTATTATCCTAGGAATATGATTATTATATCTCAATTTGGCTTTAGGTAGGGTGCCCCGCTAAAAGAACTGGATTCTTCCAGGAAGCATCCTGTGCACAGAGCTTGGTCTACATATATATTAAATTATTAACCATTCATTCTGTATGTGCACGAAAATTTATTTCAATCAATATTGGAACAAACTCCCCTCGGATGTCAAGAACTGTGGGACAGTGTTAAGGTTCAAAATAAGATTAGAGGCTTTCAAAAAAGAGACTGTTTTAAACGGATCTGTAAATGATAGTCATTTTTGGTATGTTTCGGACGAAGTATTAGGAAAGATTGAGGGATTAAATTATGTTACTAATAAAGAGAAGCACAATGAATATCTTATATGTACTCCTCATGTTGCTAAAAAACGCTTTATCAACTTATATAGTAGTGGAAAGTAAAAATAAATAAATAAATAAATAAAGTCAATTTTTACAGCACAGCAATATATATCTAAATATGATCCCAGGGGGGACTCCCAACCCACCGCTTCGGCGGGTAGTTGATGCACCTTTCACAAGCAAGAGCCACTTTGGTCTACTTGCTGTGAGGTGTCTCAGCTACATGGGTTGGGGGTCCCCCCTTTTTTTTTTTTTTTTTATATATATCTAAATATCAGATCCTCTGTAATCATAATGTATAAAAAAAGGAGCTTTTCTCTGTGCTGAAGGATGAATCAAGGCAGATCATGGTTCTGTTAGCAGGCCACCCTAGTTATGGACAATACATATATATAAAATAATTAAACTATAATTTTAAAATTGTGTCAAGATTGAACTAAAACATAACTCAGGGTAAAATAGACGTATTCCCTTCGTCAAATTAACTATTTACAATACCAAACTTAAACGAACTCCGGGTAAAATAAACGTAATCCCTTTGTCAAACTTGCTATTTACAATAAGTTAATAAATTAATACGGTTGAAAATTATTTCATATTCAATAACAATGTAGCATCAATATAATTGATACAAATGAGGAGCATACATAGCAGTGAGAATTGCACATAACAGGAGGACTGGAGGTATGGAGCAATAATGATTGACAGTGCACCTTTCCACTGATGTTCCTAATTTCCTGTAATAGCTTAATAGGCATGGAAATACTTTGTAAGTATGTAAATTAGATTCATTTCAACTTGGTTGTTTAGGCCAATGGATTTTTGATAATTTTTAAACTGATGTGTGATGATGTTTGTGTCATTATATTTTGATTTGATTTGATTTGATTTTAGAATTAGCAGATCCGGTCTTAATCTTGTTTCAAGCGACAGATGTAGTAGAAGTTTAACTAAAATCAAGAATATCCAGAAGTCTTTTCTCCTGGAGCGAGTTATTCCATATTGGAACAAACTCCCTCTGGACGTCAAGAACTCTGTGACAGTTCTAGGCTTTAAAATTAAATTAGAAGGATTTAAGAAAGATATGATTTCTAAAAGTATTACAAATGATTGCTTTTTTTTGGAATGTTTCTAATGAAGTTTTAGTAAGAATTGAGGGAGCCAGTTATGTCAGTAATAAAGAGAAACATAACGATTATATCTGGTTTCATCCTTATGTGGCAAAGAAGCGATTTATAAATCTTTATTCCATTGGGAAGTTTGATTATGTTTTAAAAATAGGATATTTTGTAGACATGTGTGATGATGTGATGTCATAAATATTACTTTACTTAACTTTACTTTGTAAAGAAGTAAAACTGTATTGTTAAAAATTTTGAGAAATAAATGGATTCTCAAAGAATAACGTGGTGTGGTTTAGATCACATCCCATGTCAAACCTGGCACTGAACCCTTGTTCATGGATTCTCCTGGGCTGGTAGACATTAAATAAAGTCTAAGGCTGGAATGAGGAATCTCACTTATCCTATTACTTGTTCCTTCTTTCCTCCCGCCTGGCCTTAACTTCCTTAATACAATACTTTATTAAATGTTTTAAAATGTTCATGCAAATTTACAATTTACTAGGCATCACCACAAATATGGTGAATGACAAGAAGCAAGTCAGAGTCTGGTGTGATGGGTGTTACGACATCATGCACTTTGGTCATGCTAACCAGCTGCGACAAGCTAAAGCTATGGGGGATTACCTCATTGTCGGAGTGCACACTGATGAAGAAGTCCGCCGAAATAAAGGTTAGCAATAGTTTAGTACTATGCTTACAGAACATGATACAGAACATTTACAGAACATGTAGCGTAATGTCTTTCTTGTGCTGATTACCATAGAAGATTTGCTCGGAACATGTCCAGACTTGTACCACATTACATTAAAAGTATTTTAGTTTCAGAGAGTTGTTTTCATCAGGATACCTAGTACTTTAAAACCTATGTGTAACACTGTTCTATCAGGTCCTCCAGTGTTAACAGAGCAGGAAAGGTACAAAATGGTGAGGAGTGTTAAGTGGGTAGATGAAGTGGTGGAAGGATCACCCTATACTACAGAACTTGAGACAATGGAGAAGTATGGAGCAGAGTTCTGTGTCCATGGGGATGATATCACACTCAGCGCTGATGGTACTGACACTTATCAGATCGTGAAAGATGCTGGCAAATATAAAGGTAAGGAAGTGATAAAATAACATTGTCATTTCTTCTCATTCATTTTCTATCGCTTATTGTGCTTCTCAACTGTCATGTGTGCAAAACATTTTCTTTGAAATAATAACCTTTATTTGTTAACGTACTTTTCCCTCTATTATTTTATGTAATTACATTGTAGAGTGTAAACGAACCCAGGGGGTGAGCACTACTGATCTGGTAGGGAGAATGTTGTTGATGACAAGAGCTAACAACCTGTCTCAGTCTTCTGATACTGGCCTTCCTTCACAGGTTCGTTCCTTATCTGATAAAAACAAGATTTTGGGGACTTTTATTCAATCTAGCTAACATTGTTATTCATATCAATGATCAATTTGATCATTATGAACTCTACTCTATCATGTTGATTATGTTAATATTATGTAGAATATTATGTCGAAATAAGTTTTTGAAATAACCTCATATAATGAAATCTAGTCATCACTGACTATAAATTTCTATATTTTCACCTTCATTAAAACCTCAGGACGAGTTTGTCAGCCCTTACACGAAAGCGTGTAATCTGCTACAAACCAACAGTAAGATAACACAGTTCAGTAGTCCTAGCAACGAGCCTAAACCTGGAGATAAGGTTAGATATGGTTCAAAACTTAACATTTTAAAGTAATAGTATTAAAGTGTTCCGGTTACTATAGTGGTCATGAAATTGTCATTGATTATTTAAAATTTTGATCGACACATATGATCGCCGTTTATTATTGTATTGAGTATAATCCCGTTTAGTGAGTAAAATAACTGCAGTGCGTAAATACTGTAGTGCCACATTCAATTACTGAGTTGCATTAGGGAGGGAAATTTGTTACATTCTCTGCAAAACTACACTAGCCTGTACAGAATACTTAACTGGATCGCATAGATCACGGATGTATGAACTTGCGTGTTTGAATAAGCACCGTGGGGAAATGTTTTACGCACGCACATGTACATATACAAGGCATTTCCTAGTGTGCCTCTTGCTAAGTGTGTGTACCAGTGTGCTGTGTTTATTCTCGGTTTACCTCTTGTTACATTGCTCTGAGTATCTTTATCTCTGTTTAATTTTATTACATTTTGAAATTAGATACCGTGGTTCACTTGTTGTTATTTAAACTTTTTTTCTTTTCTTTTTTAAACTTAAGCATCAACGACACGTTTCACGTTAAATTTTAGAATTTTGCGTCGAATTGATGGCTTGGTAATAAAAGTGTTAACTTCACAAATCACACTGCCTTCCTTCAGATAGTCTACACAGCCGGAGCATTCGACTTGCTTCACCCTGGACTTGTAGATTTCCTAGAGGCAGCTAAAAAGGAGGGATCTTATCTGATTGTGGGACTGTATGAGGACGATGTTGTTAACGAGTACAAGGGCTCCCAGTACCCCGTACAGATATTACAGGAGAGGGTTCTCTCTGTCCTAGCTAACAGGTTCCTTATTTTATTTCGAAGTTCCTGTTATTCTGAACATAATAACAGCATGATCGGAATTTGATTTATTTTATAGGAAATTCCTATAACTGTTATTATCTGTGCCTTAAATATACCAAATTTATCTAGTACTTCGGATTTGTGTTTAAATAATGGGCTATAATGGATGCTATTAATATCAACTAATACAATTTATCCAACTTAAAACCAAGTTCCATTAACTCAGACACGTGAATGAAGTGCTAATTGGAGCACCGTACCCGCTGACGGAAGAAGTTCTGGATCACTTCAAGATAGATGTGGTGGTTCAGGGTATGGTACATGAGGGAGACCATGACTCTGACCACTACGCTGTAGCTCGACAGAGGGGCATCTTCAAGGTGGGTTCTCCTCTTTGACTGTAGATAGGAGCTTTATCATTAACGGTGGATGATAGTACTGTTGTTTTAACTAGATTGTTTATTTTCAGCAGGGTTTACATTGCTTCCGACTAAAACCTCTAGATCCTTGTCTACTTTGCATTTTATTTGAGTAACTTTGTAGTTGGGAACATTACTTCAACTTGAAATTGGCAGAAGGTTTTATAACAAACTCACTCATCAATAGGAGATTGATAGCGGAAACTGCCTTAAAACCGAGGACTTGGTGATGAGAATTATCCGAAACAGAAAACTATTCATGGACAGAAATAGACAGAAACAGATAAAAGAGCTAAACAACATCAATAGAATGGTAACTGAAACATGTTATTATTCCTTTAGCTTTGAATACTGTTACATTTTATAATCGTCGGCCTTTAAACTCTGTAATAATTGTTGGAAGGTTCTTAAATTCCATGCGATTAAAAGTTCAATCATCTTACCATTCGTGAAATTCGTGATCATCATCATCTTACCATTCGTTGAATTCGTGAATACCTGGAAAGCTGCCAAGGCCTCCTCGCCAAAACTAGAATTCTATAACTTAATTAAACATGATTTCGAACCAGAGGCATACCTACGAATTATCAAAATACCGGATGTTCGAAAAAGTCTGACAAGGTTTCGTATCAGCTGCCACAACCTCTACATCGAAAGGGGCAGATATGAAACCCCCCTTGTACCAAGAGAAGAACGTTGGTGCACCTACTGCTTTTTCAGCAAAGGGCTAAAGCCTATTGAGGACGAAAGTCACGTATTGATTGACTGTTTGCTCTACTCCTCAGTTAGGGAAAAATTCAATTTCCATCCCCTAAACATTACTGACCTAGTCGGTTTGCTCTCCAACAAAACTCTAGATCCTACCACACTCACTGCCACAGCAAGAGCAATCCATTCAATTCTCTCTGTGAACGAAAATTATACAGCCTATTATAAGAGCCCAGATTTCCACTCAAATACTGGCAAGTGCATAATGCTATAGGACCTTAAAATAAGATTGAACCATACAAACTCGATTTATCTATTTTTCTAAAACTAGCATTATATAACATTTCTAAATTATCCCTACACACTTGTAAATAATTAGAATTGTGTAACTTAAATTATTTCAGAATTACAACTATTGTGTACTCAATAAAGTAATTATCACTTTTGTATCCTTGTATCCTTGTATCCTTGTATCCTCTTACCAGGCGGAAAAAGAAAAGGAAGAAAAAGAAGAACATGATGACGGTGAAAGGGCTGGGAGCTCGGGAAGCGCTGTGAGCAGTTAATTGTTAACACTGTTAATTGCTAATTGTTAACACTGTTGTTAAATATGTTGTGATTTTTAGTGATCGAAATATTAATGGTAAATTAGTTTAGCGTTCGAGTCAAATTTTTGATCTTGTTATTTGCCAGATACAATATAGCCAAGGAAAATGTTGTAATGAAACTTGAAAGCCAAGCGAACTAATTCAGGGATCGGCTGGGTCGGTCCCCCTTATGATTTTGCTGTAAACTATATCATGTATGTTAACAATATGCGCACTGCCATCGCAATTATTCTGAAGCTTTTTTCATGTTTACAGGCATTTCACTTCAAAACGAGCTTGTAAAAACATATCAAATATAATTTCATGCTTTGCTCAGATGCATACATCATCTTTTGTAATATTCTGTACATGTACACGTTATATTCATTTCTTTCTCACATGCCTGTATACGTTTGCTTTTTATAAACTTATTTTGTCGACTTTTCAACTTTAAGCGTTGTCGATCTTTCTCTTTTCTATCTTTATGAAATGTGAATTTAAATATATATAAACCGTAAACTGTCTGATTGTTTGGAAATTAAATTATGAATTGGGTACCATAAAAATTACGGTCTAGACATGATTTGTATTTAATGAAAGTTTACATGCGAGGATATTAAAATTTAAATGTGATTTAAGTTATGTTACAATAAATAGCATGATCCTAGTGATCTACTAGAGTGGGAATTTTTTAATACAACTGTTAATTCTTGTAAATAAATACACCGGATTTGATTGATAATTGTATTTTGTAGTTAACTGTTGTACTCTTGATTTAAATAATTATGATAATGTTTACTGATACAATGTTGTTTAGTTAATGCGGTCGTTATCGTATAATTAGTTTGTCGTGTGAATTTGATGATCGAATGTGTGATTCAAGATATGGTTCCTTTATTTACAATATTATTGAATTGGCTGCAATTGATTTGGTTTTTTTGAATAATAAATCGTTGTCTTGTGTTTAAATCGTTTTTAATTATATCACCTTTGTGATTTCTAAAACTGCTGCTAGAAAATGGCATTTTAAGCTAGATTTTCAGCAATGACCGTTCCAATATAAATAGATAAGGTTATAGCTATCTACGCTATCTATTAATAGATAAGAGTAAAGACTTAGCTATCTAAGCTTTACGCATCTTGTTTCAACTGTAACTTAACGTATTAAATTAATGTAGATAAGATGGCTGGATTCTATACGTGTGGTCCCAATGAGGCTCTCATCGTCTCTGGTAAGTTAAAAACTTTATTTGTTAATGTCACCTGGGCAAGGTTGTTATTTCAAGCAGTATAGAACTGAACTTAATAAACTTGATAAACTTCCGTCCAGTTTACTTAAACTAACCCTCCCTCCCTCCCTCCCTCCCTCTCTCTCGCTCTCTCCCTCCCCCCCTCCCTCCCTCCCTCCCTCCCTCCCTCCCAACTAACCCTCCCTCTCTCCCAGGTTGCTGTCATGCTAAACCCAAGATGGTTGTGGGAGGACGTCTCCTAGTGTTCCCCTGTGTCCAGAAGATAGGCCGATTACCACTCAATGTTATCACTACTAAGATCAGGACTAACCAGGTCTTTACTCAACTCGGAGTACCTATTAACGTTACTGGAACCGCTCAGGTTAGTTATACTTTCATACCTGACCTTTTGTCTTCTTGTGAAGATGTGATCTGTTTGATATAATTATGCTTCATTGCTTTATTTTTTTTGAACTCAAGAGTACACACGACTATTCAATTGTTCTACAATTTGGTTTACATCGTTTGGCGCGGGCCACAGCATAGTTGTAAATATGTCGTAACTTATTAGAAACTCTAATTACGACAAATATACTTATTCCTAATACAATTAATACATTACAATCAATACATTACAATCACTCAAATTATATTCGGGAAGTAGAAACAATTTAACTCAATGAAATCAAAACCAAGCACTGTCAAAAATATCCCAATTCTGTTGAAGTTTCTCCACCGAACACTTCATCAACAGTGGCCTGGCTCGCTCAGAACCAGGAACAAACTCAAGACATCTTCCTGAAGGGATATGGATTATCTTCTTAGAAGTATCATCATAGACAAACCTTTGAGAATCATACGCAGTCTCCACACCAACCGGCGTCACGTGACACATATACATCTTAATCTCCCCACTCTCCTCGTGTGGGGAGGCTGTGTCCCAGCATTCCCCGTCCAGGTTCCCGCTCCTCACATCCTGATTATTTGTAAACCCTACTGTGTGGGTATCCAGCAGCTCCAGCGGGGTGCCTCTACAGGAGTACAGTTCCAACTTCCTGTCCAGAACTTCTAGACACGTGTTAGGGTCGTGCAGTGAGCGGACCTCACCAACGTGGTCAAACTGGTCACGTTCCCACGAGATGTAGGAAGCGTACACTTCGTTCAAATACCATTTGTAGCTTTTACACTGCTGTTCTACTGGGTTGAACGAGTTTCTGATTTCATTTGATATGGTTTTTATCTTAGCATGATCCTTTATCAAAGAAGAAACTTTGAACAGCAATTTCTCCTTATCCACCTCATTATCTACAAAGTTCAATATCTCAGCTACACTCTCGTGAATAACCACATGGAACATGTCCCATTTGCCCCTAAAGTACCTGTTCAAGGACACATCATTCCCATTAGGATGCAGAACCTGACTGCAGGGTGAAACCCACACCCCCTCCCCGCACATCCAGGCTCTGAAGCTCAGTCTGTTGTTCTCCACACCCCAGGAACTGTTCACTATACTGACAGGATAATACTCTAATAATGTGCTCCTATAGGCTGCTAACCCTCCCCCCATCACACCTGGACTGGGTATAGGCTCCCACCGTTTCCGCTCTGTCTTATCTTTTACTCTACGGTAGTTAATTAAAGACAGGTGATTGTGTCCCTTGCGGGGCTGCACGATGTAGGGTTCCACCAGCTTGCTGCCCTGTGTGGAGTAGTCTGCTTCATACATCATGTGGATAAGAGGAACAGCAATACTACCAGGTTTGTTGGTAATGATGTTGAGGAGGGGTTCCAGCCAGAAGTCATTGACCTCCATGTGAGAGTCCAGGATCACAACTACATCTCCCCTCGCTTCTTGTATTCCTGGGGTGGAATAACGTTAGTGTAATGTTGGGTATGTTAGTGATGTAGGAGTACATTGGCAGCTATCAATTATCACATAACTACTTAGAACTTGCGAATGTTTTATCACTTACAAAAAAAGTGCACATGTCTTTAAAATGTTTACCTCTCATCCTAGAATTTGCTATTCCTAACCGCTCAGAATTAGTCAGGTGCTTAATTGGCATTCTTTGTTCTCGAGCATAGGCCCTGACTTCCTCAGTAATATTAAAGCTGCTTCTATCATCAATAAGTAGTATCTCCTTCAAATACCTTAACGGTGTCCGGTGCATTATGACGGTCAGGGTTCTCAACAAAAGTACTGATAGTTCGTTATGATACGCTAAAACAATGGAAACTTCCATCTTGTAATCTTTATCTAGATAACTTGAACATTTTATGTCGTGCAGAGGTTTTGACTGGGGGAGGAGTCTGCGACCATCTCGGTGCCAGTGAACATTTAAATCTCTGTAATATTGACCTGAAAGCTCCTTTATTTGATCTGCTGATAAGTTTGTTAGACGTTCTCTAAACTCGACCTCTTTAGAGAACCGGCTCTTTAGAGACGTGTTATCGTCCACAAAGTAGTCTGATTGGCTGTGCGAACATGATGACTTGGTTTCGGAGAATATTGTGGGAGTAGTGAGGAAAACTTGTGTAACAGAAGATAGTAGAGATAAGAATGTTGTTATGATAAGGGTTGCTGCTACACAGAGAACCGAAATAGTTGTGATCAAGCGAGCAAGTTTCCTGAGAGGGAACATCTTCGTTATCTCTTGTTATCTCTAAACTGATTAGCCACGTGTTCACGACTGATTATGCTACTGATGATGGTTGATGGTTAGACAATTTGGCTGCTGAAAAATCAAATTGAGAGTGACCTGTCCTTAAACCCGAGGTACAGCGACAAAACGGCGCAACTAAGAGATGTATATAACAACTGTAAAACAGTACAAATTTACAGATAATATGTAGGGGGTATTAAATATTAGTAATAATAGAGGTGGAGGGAGACTCTAACACACCTTCCTGTGAGGTGTGTATAGTGCATAGTAAAGTTATTACTAAAATGTACTGCAGATCAGGTGGCTCTACACTTTACTGTCAACAGTTAACACGTGATGTGAATGTAACACATGATCTGACTGATACAGACGATATTGCAATTGGTCTTTCCTTTGGTCGATTAAAGAGAACAAATTACCCTAATTTACCTCGGTTGCTAGTGGACTGATTGTGGTTGCTATGATGGCCATGGCAGCGTACAAAATTCAGGAGTCTCCATCAAACCTTAGAACTACCAATATATTTTTACAGAATAAAGTTTAGAAAAATGGATAAAAAGTTATTTAAAAAATACATCCTAGCACGACTCAAAGGCACAAAAGTTACATTAATATTTCTCCGGATATGTTTAAGCCATTCAGGAGAGATTCAGTATGGACGTATAAAATTTATGGAATTTTATATCAGTTCAGAATTTATGAAAAAAAATATTAAAAATATCATTAAATCTAAGTTTAACCAGAATAACCTTCGAATAAAGCATATAAAAGAAGAAAAGTGAGCACTCTTGGTCTCTTCAGCCATAGAAAGAACAGAAAACGAACGATTTTCTCTTTAATAACTGATTCGCAATTGCTCTGTACCGCCTGTAATAGCAGTCTATCCGAGTGGCATTTACCACTCTATTCTATGTGGCATATTTATCTAATATCACCTGTTATTGTTGAACAATCTTTACTGACGTGTAGAGGATCTGATCCCCTCATGTAACTTTCAACATATGCTATTTAACGGAAAAGCTATCTTGGCTCTGATCTCTTTTCGTGGTCACTAATCACCGCCTATAAATGATAAAGACAGGTTAATTTACGGAATTGTCATATTAATCTGAACTCCCCAATGTTCAGATCAGATCTAACGTCTTACTTATCTTCAGATCAAGATCCACTCAAAGGAGAAGAAGAGTCTGATGGCTGCTGCTGAACTGTTTATGAACAGATCTACCGAACAAATCAAGCTTATCTGCGGTGAGACACTCGAGGGACATCAGCGTGCTATCATGGGGACCATGACTGTGGAGGATATTTACAAGAACAGGGCTGCTTTTTCCGAGCAAGTGTTGCAGGTCAGTACGTAGTAGAGTCAATAGGATACTCCCCGGACTGAGATAATGTCAGTTGTACGCAGGGTGAACAGTTTCATTAACAGTTCAACTTGTGTCCCTATTATTGGAATCATGATATTGTGTAATGTTGGGCAAATTAGTCGAGAAAATTTGTATTTTACTCGACCTCTATACTAATCAAAGACGTATCTTTGAACTTTGTTAATATATGTCGTTTATGCACATGACAGTGTTAAAACTAGATTTAGATAACTTGAACTGATAACACTGAATTCTTATACTAAGAAATAACCCTAGGTTGCGTCCACTGATCTGATGTCGATGGGTATCCGAGTTATTTCGTACACAATTAACGAGGTGACAGACGAACAAGGGTACCTCAAAGCTCTTGGTAAACCTCGTACAGCTGAGGTCAAACGTGATGCTGATATTGGTAACGCTGAGGCCAAGAGGGACGCTGGTATTGAGGTAAGTTTTAGTTGTATTATGTGTATCGTATAATTTATATTATATAATTTATATTATATAATTTATATTATATAATATATACTAAATGATTACATATTATTGAATTTGTTTTTGACTGATACAAGTAGATATAATACCAAGTCATAGGCAATTATTTTAGTTTTAACTTCAATTTCGACTCAATTGTTGGTTTTAGCTAAATCAGTTATTGAACTTTTGTTACTGGAGACAGTTACTTATTGAGACTGAAAAACTTAAAATCCATCGACTGAGTTACAATTAATTAAGTGAAATATCTTTATCTGGCTACACGTTTTCGATTCAGTTCGTACACTCATAAAACACTGAAAACTGCATATTCGACATGACGTACAAGTTTAACATGTAAAACTATTTATATTTGCCTGGTGTATGTACCAATGCAAGACTGCTAAACCGATTACTCGAATTGACTAGAATTGTTGTTACACTGTTATGTAATATGTATACTATTGTGTTGTCACCTTACAAAGCCTCCTGAGTTGAGGAAGTAGAGAAACAGAATGTAAAACATGTAGAAACAGAATGTAAAACATGTAGAAACAGAATGTAAAACATGTAGAAACAGAATGTAAAACATGTAGAAAAGTAGAAACAGGGCCGGGAGAGGGTGTAACTTCAGTGTGAAGTGTGAACTTGAGGGCCAATATAAAGTTATAAAGCTATGTAACTATACCTGGTTTCGTGAAACTAAGTTTCTGGCCCAGGTGTTTAGTGGTGATCTAATGCTGCCCCTTACACACCGCCTCCCTCACTCGCATTCCACAAGTTAATTGAATTTATAGCTGAGTGTACCAGTGTGTTTTGTGTAACCTAAAACCAAAACACCCCTCTGTAAGATCACAGGAATGTGAATCCTTCTGTTTTAGTTCCGGCGAGACTTTTAACATTTCTTTCGGTAAAAGTTCCCAAAGTTGAGGGAACGTGGTATTTAGTATTTACTGTACAGTAAACCTGAATAATGAGGAGTTAAAGCGACATAATCAGATAGAATAGATAACGTTCATGACAATAATAAACAATGATAAAGCAGACTCTAATAATGTTAACATTCTTACGTCTTTTAAAAAAAGAGCAGTTGAGATGACGACAAAGATATAATACTGGATCTTTCTAGAAGTTTTATTGTTTTCATTCATTGTCTGATTTACGAATGCTGTGGGCTTACGTATTCGACATATTTACAAGATTGTACAGATCACAATATTTTTGAGGATTACATGTCGACGAATTATTAGATCTAATCTTTAAAATTGTGAGCCCAGATTCCAGTGTAATACATACGACGTACATTATACGTCTGTCGTCTATTATAGATCTAAATAGAATGTACTAGATTGTTGTACACTCCCACGCCGAATAGTCTAATAATTCCAGTTTAGTGTGTGGTTAGTGTCACGCACAGACTACAAAACAAAATTCGTAGCAGGGTCTAATAATTGCAGCGTGTAGTTAGTGCCCGAATCCTGAATAGAATTGGTAGCTGGGGTTTCTTTTGTTGGTAGCTGTGGGAGACAGTGTGGATACGTTCTGGGCTTTTGTTGGACGTCTGGATCAATGTAATTATACTGTTCTCGTATTTATCAGCTTAGTAATACTATTAGCTATTATTATACGTAACTTTAGTAAGTTCTACTCAGTAATCCTGTTATTATTAACTTTAGTATTTAGTAAGTTATACTCTACACACTACTGATACTAAGGACAATATTACCAGTTTGCAATGTGTACAGTATACATCGGGTATAGTAAGCAGTGTTTCTAGGCACTTCTAGTATTATATAATAATATGACCGAGGAGTCCTCACTCTCCTCGCGTCTTAAGATGGCGATTCTCTTGTCGCATACATCACTCGTCTCTTTACAAAACGAATTAACTATGACTAATAAAGTATGTTAGAACGAAAGATATAGAACGGGCCCCTCATGCCGTAACTACCCAATATAATCTATATCATAATCCGAAAAACGCTGTTGGAAACGCGCACGTGCAAATATAAAGCATGGTCCTGACACCACCTCTCCCTAGGAAGCAGCAGCTAACGAGAGAGCGATGCAGGCTGTCTACTCCAACAAGATCACCACAGCTAAGGCTCAAAGGGACTACCTGCTGAAGAAGGCCACCTACGATCAAGAGACTTTCACCAAGAAGGCTCAGTCAGACCTGGCTTACGAGCTGCAGTCCGCTAAAACCCAACAGAGGATTAAGGAGGAACTGATGGAGATCAAGGTTAGTTCATTATTATAACTAGTATATAATCATTGTTAGTATGATTAGTTACTTTCTTTGCTCGTATATTTATACACACTTCTAATCCCTGAAGTGTCTCCTGTAGTGCTGCACATTCTTAAATTACATTCACTACCGTTTTTAATGTTGTCACGTGGCAGCTTGGCGCGGTAATGTGATCAGATCATAATGCAGCCTTGTACTCGATATAGACGATGAGGGTGAGGAGGCAGTTGCTGAAAATGAGGAATCTTGTTCCTAGCCGTTGGGGGGGGGGGGGGGGGCAACCCCAGACGATATAATGTATTTTGTCAAAAAATAATATCCTGCGCAGGAAACTGTATAAAAACTGTTCCTAGCCTTTGGGGGGGGGGGGGGGGGGGGCAACCCCAGACGATATAATGTATTTTGTCAAAAAATAATATCCTGCGCAGAAAACTGTATAAAAATCGAGCTTTTCAAATGTTTCTGCCCAAGCAACATCACGTGACGTACCTCACACGTTATAACCGATAAATAATCACCCAGGTTATTGAGAGGAAGAAGCAGATTTCAATCCAGGAGCAGGAAATCACGAGGAAGCAGAGGGAACTGGACGCTCAGGTCATCAAACCTGCCGAGGCTGAACGATACAAGATCGAGAAACTGGCTGAGGCTGAAAAGTGAGTTTCTTGGCCCTAGTAGTTACTGAGACACAACAAAGAAGGGATATAACAAAGGGGCTTTAAGCTATTAAATATTAGTTTGATCCAGGGGCTGAGGGAGTAAGATAGATAAACAGTTTTTAAATAGTTAACTGATGTTTTGTTTCTTAAAAGAGGAAGTTTCTAATGGGAAGGGCACCAGGTCATATAATAAAAACTGTTCTTACATAATTACTAATTAATCATGCATCAATTAACAACTATAATCCTTTGTAGGTTTAATGTTTTATAAAAACAATCAGCTTTGTAAAGATCAATTTTATTAATTAACTAAATATTCACAGGAACAAGAGAATTATTGAGGCTGAAGCTCAAGCAGAGGCTATTCGTCTTAAGGCTGAAGCTCAAGCGTACGCTATTGAAGCTAAAGCGAAGGCCGAGGCTGAGCAGATGGCAAAGAAAGCTGATGCCTGGAATGAGTATAAGGATGCTGCTATGGTGGACATGATCTTGCAGCAGCTGCCTAAGGTATGTTCCTTCTTGTTTATTCGTAACAATGATGATATTGTAAAGTCATACTCCGCTACTTGATGGTAGAACCACAGTTACGCTAGCCCATATAAACGTCACCACGTGTCATGACGTCACACCACGTGTCATGACGTCACACCACCACGTGACCAATCTCCCCCCAGATAGCAGCTGAGGTGGCAGCACCGCTCCAGAACGTCAGCAAGGTGACCCTGGTATCAGGACCTAACGGAGAAGTCGGAGCTGCTAAACTTACAGGAGAAGTTCTGGAGATCGTACGGAGACTTCCTAAGGTTATTGAGGAGATAACTGGCGTCGACATGAGCAAGGTACAGGCTATTTATAGATCACCGTATAATAGTATAACACCGTAATACTATCGCATAACACTGCTTTAATATATAATTTGTTCTTGAGTAATGTGTGTTTCCTCACGCGTCACGTGTTCATAGTGATGTTTATGAGTTGTGGTTAAATACCGCTTTACCTTAAGTAATGAAACACTGAAAATATTTTAGGTATTATGATAACAATTCCAAACCTGAACTTTAGTGTTTTTACTTCTGTACACTGTACAGCGACTTTAATTTGGTATCCATTTCAGGCTATGAAAATCTCAATGTCAAAATAAGTAAGAGAATGTTCGGTATTTGCTGATCGTTTATTTAAGCTTGATCGCTTCCAGCTGTAAAATACCCCTGCTAATAATTGAAATTGCGCTTGATTCTAATTGCAATGTGTGATTTTGCTGTGTATGAATGTAGATTTAACATTAAAACTGCCAGCTGCCTAAATAATGCTTGATGATTACGTATATCTTACCTTCTATATCTGTATACTTGACTGGGTTTTATAGAGTACCTGTTAAGGGCTTGACAATCTGTTTTATGTTCAAAGTAGTTGTGACTCATAAAGCCCCTGAACGCTTGTGTATTTTTTGCGTGTTTCGCAGTAACTTAGAAGGTTGACTCTGGAATAAAGATAAAATCATATTTAGTTTGTCCTTTCATTCCTATCGTGTTTCCTCGATAGACACACTACTTAACACCCTGCTTGTTTTACACACTGTAGCTCTAGCTCTTGTATATGCACGAGTTTGTTATCTATATGCATCACGTGGTACACTACGTGTAAAACTTCCGTGTGGATATCTTATATTGTGTAATTGTGCATGGAAATATCGCTGCTTTCTTAACTTTTCTCTTTCATGTTGTCTCATCATGCCACAAAGATGTTCTCATTTAGAGTTGAAAATGAGGTGACATGTACTACTTTACTATCTAAATGTTTAAATCGTGCGTCTTCTAAGCATGTTCTAAAACTGCAAAAGTGTTCAACTAATGCTGTACAAGAAGAGTAAAACATCAGCATTCAGCAATAGCTGGTGAAAAAAGTCTTTTAATTCTACTAAAACTTAAATTCTCCAAACCGTTTAAAACATTCCATGTTGCACTATCTATAGTTATAGGAATACAGGGAACCTTGAACACTGAACAGTGTATGAAATGATGTAAGGTAATTATAAGAAGCCTTGTAACTGATTCAGTCCAGTGAGATTTACACCTGTCAGCACCTTCTCCGACCTGCTAGTGGGGTTAGTTGCACACAGGGCTCTGTTCTAGGACACTGGGTATTACTCAGAGAGGGCCACTTAATTGTTGAACAGACTCAGTCTATCTCAGAAAATGTAACAGTATGATTGATAGAGAGTTAAGGTATAAGATATCCCGGGTTTCCCCCAATTCAAGCAGTAAACCAATTCAGCTGACAGATAATCTGGATCAGAGCGAGTACGCGCCCTCACCCAGCCCGCCTCCTCCCCGGCCACGTAAGCTTGCCCCACGGCCCCCAATGGTTCTGCCACCCCTGGTGGTAGCTCCACCTGTAGTGGCACCAACCGCCCCTGAACGTGCACCGAGCACTGCCAGTAGTGATGGTCCCGGACTGTTCCCTTTGTGGAACCTTAGGGGACCCCAGGGATAGACTCACAGGTTACTACAGGAAACTACTCCGCTATAAGTACTATAAGCTCACTTTAAATAGCCCCCCCCCCCCCCTTCCTAGATATCACAAACTTTAATATACTTACTCTGACTTGGCAGTCTCAACCTCACCATTAGTTTTCTTCATCCCGCCCTTATGCCCAGAGTTCTCCACATTCTTTAGATTTAGACCTTCCAACCTACTGGTTTTCACATTCGCCGAACCGGAAATTATTTTACGAATAAAGTAAAATAATAAGTCACAAATTATTGTTTTACCTTCCCTTCTCACATTTAGGAATCGCTGAAATCTAACTCAAATATTTTTGAGAAATCACTTCTTCAGGCTGTGAAGTGTCGATCACTTTAGCGCAAATTATAACATATTTGATCGATCGATTTCTAAAGCATGTAGCACGACTGAAGCTGTATTATCCTCGAAGCACTTCTCATCACTGAACATTGATATTATGGGACATGTTCTAATTTCTATTTGTCCTATTTATCTTTTACGTAATGTATATAATGCTGAATTTTATTATTTCCTATCCACTATAATAATTCATAGTTATCTATATTATAATATTAATATTTCAGGCTATGAGGATTTGAGGAAGTGGACAACTCTACCGACACGAAAATAAACTACTTTATAATATAAGCAAATTTTAGAATAGTTTTTTTGAAATGTAGCCTCTATTGAATTGGTTGAATATTAGAGGATGTTGAGATGATTTTCTTTTGGGATTGCAATTTGATTCTGTCACATTCCAGAACTCTGAACGCAACAAATTTTCAATAAATTTAACAAAAATATCTTTAGTCGGTGTTAAATTCCAGCTTGATTGAAATGTTTAATTATTAATTTCAGTACATTATAGTCTATTTTAATACATCCATTACACAAGTTACCGGTTAAATTTACTTTCCAAATAAAAAGTTAATTAATATCAAGTTGGAAAAATACTTAATCAAAAGGAAAAAGCTGTGGTAATGAACAGAAATTGTAAAGAAGGACTAATTTTAAATGTTTATTATATTATTCCGACAGAACACACATTGCAACCTAATGGTATGTGTACAACTTGTGAAATACATAGAATTCCTTTGTGACGTGTGTTATTCTAACTATGACGAACTTGAGTGCTAGATTAGACCATACTGGTGCAAAGAGTGGACTACAAATTCTTGGTGGTAGAATGGTCCCTTCCCGTGCTCAAGTTCTTCAGTTCTGTAGTTTAAAAATGCTTAAATACTTGCAGTGCCGTTTTTGTTTTATGAGAGTTTGTATTAAGTTTTTTTTGTAGTATCTTTACAGCAAGTGAATGTACGTATAGCTGATTGCTATGATGTATTATATTAGCTTGCCGAATGCATAGACCTTTTATGCTGCTTGTAATGTTCAGTTATAGCCCTGAAAATTTTAAGTTCGATAATACAATGTTATCTCTTGTACAATTGCTTTATTGCATATTTTCAATTTACTTTGAACGTAGATACTAGATAGTTTCGATCAAATTATTGTTATTTAGGAACGCTATGATAGCATGCATCTATTTTATCGATCCCATCAAAGAAAATTGATGGATTTGTGATCGATCATGTTACATGTACATTATGTGTATTATGGATATTGATAGCAATCTTTAGTCAGTAATGTCTTGGTCTCACATATGGTTAATGTTTCAAGATATTCAGATTTTACTCATAGGTCATATGTGTAACATAAAAATTGTTTTACAAATAGAAATGCTGGATATTTTGCGATCAATAGTCTTATCTGACTTCCTTCTGTGATTAAATTTTGCGTATTACTTTTCATAAAGACAAAAAGTATTTAGAGACATCGGCATTGTTCTAAAAGTCAAAACTAAACATTTACTTTCAAGTTATCTACGACCTACGTGGCATGCACACTCAAAAATGTCATAACGATTTCTATTTTAACTTGATATTGATGTTTCATTGAGCTCTGAATATTTCACTAATGCTTCCAGAAGGCTCGTAGCTAAATACTAATCCACTATTACTGAATATTCATCCAGCATCAAAACAAATACCCTTTCACAAGTTTCAGTTCCTCTTTTGGCGGTTTACTCACCGAAATGGAAAGCGCTGAAAATATAACTTGTAGGCGCTAACGTGGCCGTCATCAATCTGTAAGGGCGCGCGCACTTTCACGCGAGCTCATGTCGCGGTTTTCGAGACTTGTGTGTCACTGTTTCTAGGTACCGTCAAAAACAACAAAACCATGACTTAACGAGATGTAATTTGATAGTTCATAATCGTATTTAACCTGGAGGTGAATAAACGGACAGTGGGTTTTCAATGTCATTAGTCGTAATTATATTATAAGGGGTCGTTCACATTTAATACTAGCTAGCCGACTCTGATACTTCTAATTCAGTCGCCAAGGAATAATAAGTAATAACAATAACACAGTTGAACTCCTGTTAAAGCTAGCAGAACTGACCGGTTACCGTATCTTGTACCTGTCAAATGTTAAAGCACGAAGGTAAATGTCAAAATTATTCTTACCTGGGGACCTCAGGCTATTATGTTCATAAATAGAGATTAGGCGGAATGACAGGCTGAGCGCGGCCCAGTAAAATTATTCAATCGGACACCTGTTACCCAACGATTAAAACGGCCCTTGGCAAAATTGCACGTGCGTACTGCTTCCATCCATGACAGCGCAGCGTGCATTTTTTTCCTACTCTTGCCGAAGGCAAAAATATCGTAGGGAATAAGTAATCGGGTTTAAGGATATATGAGGTGGCCCGATGGACCTGCGGTGACGACAAAAGTCTGCTCCTTCGCAATATAGACCACTCCCCTTTACTGGGCCGCGCTCAGCCTGTCATTCCGCCAAATCTTTATTTATTTATTATTATTATGTTAATGAACATAATAGCCTGGGGTCCTCAGGTAACACTCCCCTATAATTATAAGTGTATAGGAAGCTTCTGTTATGCTGCGCGCGACGCTAGCCATGTACTGTCATGTGTTAATTAATTACAGTGAAATTCCTCCTTCCACCTTCGCAAAGTTATTTTCCGCGATTTTCTGGATTCATTTATTGTTGATGCGCAGCGCTGCAATGGTCAAATAAACTGTTAATTTTTACCATGCACGAATCCCACTCATTTATTTAAAAAAATTGTATGTAAATATGATAACTGGGGACCTCAGGCTATCATGTTCATTTGCATTAACATATATAATAGAGAATTCGGCGGAATGACAGGCTGAGCGCGGCCCAGTAAGTAAATATGGTGCACTTTTTCCCATTCACACTTTTCACTCAAAAGAATTGATGCCATGGCCAATGGCCATAATGGTACAAGTTGCAAGTACATGGTAGGAAAAATTTATCGTGCGTGGTTAAATGGTTTGGTTTAACCGCGGCGAAATTCTTGTTAGCCTTTGTTTGCACGCAATCGGTCAGTGCTATTTAAATCTTTTCTCTTTTGTTAAGCATTAAGACATAAAATAAACAACACTACATTAATGGAACAAAGTGAAATCCTGATCGCCATCGAATCGTCTTCCTCGGTGTTGCCATTATGGGAGGAGGAACTATCAGTGGCGTAACGACCGCCCGGCCCCCGCTACCCCTGCTAGCAGAATTGACGCGAATATAGGACAATACATATCATTCTAATCAATAACAATCATGATAGTGATACTAGTCTTTTACTTGTATTTGCTTCTAATCTATTTATTATCATTCGATATTTGTTCCTCCAGTTGGAAACTCTAATCTTTTGTGTCGGTTAATTTGGTGACGGTTCAGATTGGTCCATGGCTCAGTGGTTGATGACTTGGTGTAAGCTATAGCTGTGATAGAAACACTCATCTCATAACAATGCATAACAATTTAACTCAGTTCAAAAAAAGCTTTGTTCACGTTCCTATTCCTGACTAAGAAAGCGCATGTGTGCGCATACCTGACACAAGAGTCATGGATCGGGAAGTTGTCTAAAATATTAAAATTTCAAATATCAAAAGTCGAATTATAGATTATTTATAGATTATAAATTTATAGATTCGTCCGGGTTTTTGAGTTGTTATATTTTCTATCACATCCCGATAAAACACATCCCGATAAAACACCATGTTAAGTCTAACTAGATAATGTTTTGTACCGTAGAAACATTCAAGCCCACCATTCAAGCCCACAAGATTAAGAAAAACTACCATACCCGAAGACAGCTGTACTCGGCAATAAAGATTCAATAAATTTCATGTGGCTAATTCACTAACTATAACCACCGCCTTATCCCGAAATACTAGTTATCGACCCGAACGCAACCCAAAAAGAATTACAGCATGTGATCGATGTAATTTATCGAAACCTATATTTGATATTACAATTCGTAAGCTGTGAATGAATGGGAAAAGCGAGTGACCGATTTCATTCTCGGTATCATTTTGCATTTGAAAACGGTCAATCAAATGAATATCATTTCCTTTTGTTTGGGAAAGAGAGACAATGGCAGCGCTCCACTTTACCCATGATTATGGGTTTTGGTCAAATGTTGTCATACGTTGTATGACCCGCCGCGCACGAGTGCGCGGCTCCCCCTGTATCGTCAGGACGATAGCAGATAGTGAAACGACCGGCCGTGGGGGTCGCAACGTGATACAAGTATTATTCGGATATATCTTTGGTTCCTTGAATGAGATCATTCTGAAAATTGGCGACGACCTTCCAATAGGGCTTTCACAACTGTCTGAAAAATTTGGTGGATATCGGAGTTGATATAGTAATAAAAATGGGGCAAAATACGCTGCTTTTAGCTGTAACATAATGTTTATATGGTTGGATATGCTTTAAATTTTTCGGACACTTTCCTTGTAAGTCTATAAGCTTACCTATTTTTGTTGCAATCGGAGGTCGGGAAGGATACCCAATATTTATTTTTTTGAAGAAAATTGTGCTGGCCGAAATTAGCGCTAAAAAACCATCCTACAGCACGCGCGGCTCACTGTCGATGGCGCACTACCTAGTAATAGGTCTCACTCCCAAAGATCGAGGGTACAACTAAACATGCAAGGAGGGAGAAACTGGAACAATTCCAAATTCTTGGAAAATTTGTTTTAAGGAATGGATTCTAGCAATGAGGTGATGTAAATTTGGACTACAAAGGGCAAACTGTGTCCTGCTAATTTACGATCCCACGGCATAAAAGAGTAATCAGTAATGTTATCTGAATTTTATAAATGCTAGGCTTCTGAACTTCTGATGAATCCTGACGTCATGCAATATGTTTTTTTAAAGACCTTTAATTAAAACACCAAAACTTTAAATTTTATCAAATTACAAATGTCCTAATATATACGTCTCTTATTAAGTTAAAAGAGTCAGGGTCAGGGTCAGGGTCAGGGTCAGGGTCAGGGTCAGGGTCAGGGTCAGGGTCAGGGTCAGGGTCAGGGTCAGGGTCAGGGTCAGGGTCAGGGTCAGGGTCAGGGTCAGGGTCAGGGTCAGGGTCAGGGTCAGGGTCAGGGTCAGGGTCAGGGTCAGGGTCAATAAATGAGGTTGCAACGTAATATGTGATTCCTTAGGAATCATGGGCCAAGTTTCACTTGGAAATAATGATAAGTTATTAAACTTATCTTGGTTATAATTTTGATTCGATTAGAAACATAAAATGTTCCATGAAAAAAGTGATTACACGCTATGTTTATGTACTTTAGCAACGTACTCAGGGCGTACTTGCATATATAATACTTCACACCCAAAACAAGGTGGGATTTCACGGAGAAAGAAGGAGGATTAATCCTTTTATCATCCTAGTAATTCTATTTATATGGGTTAATCGTTCAACTAATTGGAATAGAATATTCGAATACCTGTTTGGCAAAATAAACTTGTGATGAACTAAATACGAACACTGCACGCTGTTCGACCTCTACAAAGTCAAAAAATTCGAATACATGAATGAAGCCCGTTATTGCAAAATCAATTTGGCATTTATCAATTTGAATTATAAAATACACAATATATTGATTGGATTATATCGGCATAAAACAGAAACATTATATCATTAGAAGTCGAATGCTATATTCTCACGGTCACCAGCACGAGGAACAAACGAGGGGCACTTACTGGATCCTGTGCAATCTTCTGGTCTAAACTACAAGTTATGCATGAAATGTGAAGCTTATCTAATGCTAGTATTACCAATATAGTAATATAGTAATATTACGTGCTTACTCATACTGCTTAACGTAGACGAAATTAAAAAGATGCTTCAATGTAAAATTTTAAGTAGTCTTTAAAATAGCTGTGATCGAAAGTAGGCTTCAGGTACCAAACTGTGGTAACCATAGTAACCAAACTGTGGTAACCATAGTAACCAAACTGTGGTTAAAATAGATTTTTGAAATTGCTACATTGATATACTATTATCGGAGGTAACTAAACTCCTGTATTAAAGTTAGTCCGTGAAAGCACAATTACAATTCAGCGAAACTAAAAGTGTTTGTCAATTCCATGTCCATAAGCTGCACTTGCGACAGCTTCCCGTCCTTATAGTTTATCTGTCCCCTCAAATGGAGACAGATAGCAGATATGATAGTTTTTATCAATTGTAAATTCTGCACACCGACTGACATCTAGCGTTATCAACCACTACACTCCTGTCCTGGGGAGCTACGCGGCGTTAAAATACTGCCCATTAAAATAGCGTTAAAATACTGCTCATTAAGATAGCGTTAAAATACTGCCCATTAAGATAGCGTTAAAATACTGCTCATTAAGATAGCGTTAAAATACTGCCCATTAAAATAGCGTTAAAATACTGCCCATTAAGATAGCGTTAAAATACTGCCCATTAAAATAGCGTTAAAATACTGCCCATTAAAATAGCGTTAAAATACTGCCCATTAAAATAGCGTTAAAATACTGCCCATTAAAATAGCGTTAAAATACTGCCCATTAAGATAGCGTTAAAATACTGCCCATTAAAATAGCGTTAAAATACTGCCCATTAAGATAGCGTTAAAATACTGCTCATTAAGATAGCGTTAAAATACTGCTCATTAAGATAGCGTTAAAATACTGCTAATTAAGATAGCGTTAAAATACTGCCCATTAAAATAGCGTTAAAATGCTGCTACAATGTAGGTTTACAATCTACCAGGACGCGCGCCGAGTTGGACTCGTCGACGGTCCTGGAACAGATATTTTACGAGTATCACCCGTTAAGTTATGCCACATTGTCGCATCCGACAGTTTGTGATGGCCAGCACAACTGGCCATCGCAGAAAACAGTTCGATAACTAGCGCTGGATAGTTGTTGACAATAGTTTTCGACAACTAGCGCTGGATAGCGACAACTAGCGCTGATGGCGACAACTAGCACTGGATTGCGACAATTATCGAAAATTTATATTTTGCGCTGGATATCTTTTACCAATACCAGCGACAACTAGCGCTGGATGGCGACAACTAGCGCTGGATAGCGCTAGTTGTCGACATCCAGCGCTAGTTGTCGCAATTACACTATCGCAAAAGAAATATTAGCAATATATAACAGCTGTTAGTGTTAGAGAATCACTAAACGTTAGTGCAGTCAAATAAATGAACTGCGATAATGCATTTGACAATCAGTCACTGCAATTTATTCTGCAACTTATTAAGCCAAACTTAGGCTTATCTTGCCTACACATTTTTTAACGAAATTCCTTGCGCACCGCGTATTAAAATTACTTGGATTTCTACCGCTTTGATAAAATGACTACAAGAAGATGGGGAGATAATATTGTTGATTTATATAATATCGATTAGTTATTCTTTAGTGTAGATTAACTTTATTTTTATATATTTTACTAAGTGTAAGGGATCAACCATACGTTATTGATATTGTTGAAATATTTAATGATAAATTGATATAATAATAAATGATTGTAATATTTTCATTGAGGCACATGCCACCCCATCGCGGGTTTACTACTACCCTTATATTTATTAATATTATGAAGTTTTTATTTTGCGCTAATACTTTCTGAACTTTGGGAAAAGTCAATTTAATTTTTAGTTGTTATGTTTTTTCTTCGTACTGAATTATCGAATATATAATAGGTTACTTAACGAACCTGGACAAGGACCGGAGTTGCAATTTTGCGCTTCTGTCAAACTTCCCTCACAATCAGCACCACCATTAGCTGGGGCTGGGTTGTTACAGCTTCTTTCCCTGGTCTGTTGTCCTTGGCCTTCTCCACAAGAAGTTGAGCACTCTGACCATTCTCCAAACGCACTCAATCCTCCATCAACTAAGTTGAAAAGCTGTGTCATATATCAAATATAACAGATTTTATTTTGCGCTAATACTTTCTGAACTTTGGAAAAAGTCAATTTAATTTTTAGTTGTTATGTTTTTTCTTCGTACTGAATTATCGAATATATAATAGGTTACTTAACGAACCTGGACAAGGACCGGAGTTGCAATTTTGCGCTTCTGTCAAACTTCCCTCACAATCAGCACCACCATTAGCTGGGGCTGGGTTGTTACAGCTTCTTTCCCTGGTCTGTTGTCCTTGGCCTTCTCCACAAGAAGTTGAGCACTCTGACCATTCTCCAAACGCACTCAATCCTCCATCAACTAATCCTCCATCAACTAAGTTGAAAAGCTGTGTTATATATCAAATATAACAGATTTTATTTTGCGCTAATACTTTCTGAACTTTGAGAAAAGTCAATTTAATTTTTAGTTGTTATGTTTTTTCTTCGTACTGAATTATCGAATATAATAGGTTACTTAACGAACCTGGACAAGGACCGGAGTTGCAATTTTGCGCTTCTGTCAAACTTCCCTCACAATCAGCACCACCATTATCTGGGGCTGGGTTGTTACAGCTTCTTTCCCTGGTCTGTTGTCCTTCTCCACAAGAAGTTGAGCACTCTGACCATTCTCCAAACGCACTCAATCCTCCATCAACTAAGTTGAAAAGCTGTGTCATATCAAATATAACAGATTTTATTTTGCGCTAATACTTTCTGAACTTTGGAAAAAGTCAATTTAATATTTAGTTGTTATGTTTTTTCTTCATACTGAATTATCGAAATATAATAGGTTAATTAACGAACCTGGACAAGGACCGGAGTTGCAATTTTGCGCTTCTGTCAAACTTCCCTCACAATCAGCACCACCATTAGCTGGGGCTGGGTTGTTACAGCTTCTTTCCCTGGTCTGTTGTCCTTGGCCTTCTCCACAAGAAGTTGAGCACTCTGACCATTCTCCAAACGCACTCAATCCTCCATCAACTAATCCTCCATCAACTAAGTTGAAAAGCTGTGTTATATATAAAATATAACAGATTTTATTTTGCGCTAATTGCTAATACTTTCTGAACTTTGAGAAAAGTCAATTTAATTTTTAGTCGTTATGTTTTTTTCTTCGTACTGAATTATCGAATATAATAGGTTACTTAACCAACCTGGACAAGGACCGGAGTTGCAATTTTGCGCTTCTGTCAAACTTCCCTCACAATCAGCACCACCATTAGCTGGGGCTGGGTTATTACAGCTTCTTTCCCTGGTCTGTTGTCCTTGGCCTTCTCCACAAGAAGTTGAGCACTCTGACCATTCTCCAAACGCACTCAATCCTCCATCAACTAATCCTCCATCAACTAAGTTGAAAAGCTGTGTTATGTATCAAATATAACAGATTTTATTTTGCGCTAATACTTTCTGAACTTTGGGAAAAGTCAATTTAATTTTTAGTTGTTATGTTTTTTGTGTGAGAGTCTCTAAGTTTCGATGGAGAATGTTAGGACATATCTTAAGAGGACAGGAAGACTCACCAGCATACACCTCTATGTTATTTGCTATAAATTCTGATATTTTTATGGAAGGGAGACGGGGTAGACCATGTTTAAACTTATTAGATGTTATTAGAAAAGACTTGACTAGTAGAAATCTTGATATTAGACTTAAGAATTTGACTGATTTCGAAGACCTTAGATTTTTAGCTTTAGATAGGGAGGAGTGGAAGAAGTTAGAAGATGGTTGATGTTTTTGTTTTCTTTTTTATGCGTTTTGATATCTATAAGGTGCCTAGGATGCTCTTTTAAAGAGATATTTCGTACTTTGAAAGATTTACTACTACTACTATGTTTTTTCTTCGTACTTGGTACTGAATTATCGAATATAATTATAATACTAATAGGTTACTTAACCAACCTGGACAAGGACCGGAGTTGCAATTTTGCGCTTCTGTCAAACTTCCCTCACAATCAGCACCACCATTAGCTGGGGCTGGGTTATTACAGCTTCTTTCCCTGGTCTGTTGTCCTTGGCCTTCTCCACAAGAAGTTGAGCACTCTGACCATTCTCCAAACGCACTCAATCCTCCATCAACTAATCCTCCATCAACTAAGTTGAAAAGCTGTGTTATATATCAAATATAACAGATTTTATTTTGCGCTAATACTTTCTGAACTTTGGGAAAAGTCAATTTAATTTTTAGTTGTTATGTTTTTTTCTTCGTACTGAATTATCGAATATAATAGGTTACTTAACGAACCTGGACAAGGACCGGAGTTGCAATTTTGCGCTTCTGTCAAACTTCCCTCACAATCAGCACCACCATTAGCTGGGGCTGGGTTATTACAGCTTCTTTCCCTGGTCTGTTGTCCTTGGCCTTCTCCACAAGAAGTTGAGCACTCTGACCATTCTCCAAACGCACTCAATCCTCCATCAACTAATCCTCCATCAACTAAGTTGAAAAGCTGTGTTATATATCAAATATAACAGAATTTATTTTGCGCTAATACTTTCTGAACTTTGAGAAAAGTCAATTTAATTTTTAGTTGTTATGTTTTTTCTTCGTACTGAATTATCGAATATAATAGGTTACTTAACGAACCTGGACAAGGACCGGAGTTGCAATTTTGCGATTCTGTCAAACTTCCCTCACAATCAGCACCACCATTATCTGGGGCTGGGTTGTTACAGCTTCTTTCCCTGGTCTGTTGTCCTTCTCCACAAGAAGTTGAGCACTCTGACCATTCTCCAAACGCACTCAATCCTCCATCAACTAAGTTGAAAAACTGTGTTATATGGACACGTTCATTGAAGTTTGAGGAACTGGAAATTGGTAAATTTCTAAAAAAGCGTTTTTGACGATAGTGGTTTAATTTTAACATATATTAATCTAGCGTGTTCATAAGTTCTGAACATTAGCCACGTGACCCATACTCCCATATGCACTGCTCAAAAATAAAATGTATTTCTTTTAGGCACTATTATGTAAAAAATGTCACATTTTTGTGACATTGTTTACCATAGCTGCCCAATTAGCATTTTTTGGTCTAAAATATAGTAGATTAGGTCAATCTAACAATTATGATACAATTTAGGCCTAAAGGGCAGTGATCGAACGGCTTTAAGGCAACATTTCGTAAACTTTGTCACACTCAGAATACGAGACCTATTTTCTACTGTGAAGTGTCCTCAAAACCCTTTCAACTCATTATTTGATAGTTCTTCTGCCAATCATAGCCCTAAAATATGTTGTTTTGAAAAGTTAACAAATACATGCGCTTGGCTATTGGGAAATGATGTAAATTCTGTCACATTATATGGAATTTGAAATTCTGGGTGAATTTCCGAAATCATTTATATCTGATTTTGGTTTGGAAGGCGGGAAAACTATATATGATCGAGGACGATACACGGATACAGTTGATTGAAGTATAGGACAGTTGATGTAAACATCGTCACAAAATGATACGAAATCGTAAATGGACACGTTCATGTTGAAGTTTAAGGATATTGGTAAACAAAAAAATAGCGTGTTCAGAAGTTCTGGACATTAGCCACGTGAACCATACTTCCATATACACGGCTCAGAAATTCAAATACAATTTATTGTTTTTAGGCACTATAATGTAAAAAATGTCACATTTTTGTGACTGTGTTAACCATAGCTGCCCAATTAGCATTTTTTGTTTAAAATAATATAGTAGATTAGGTCATTCTAACAATTATGATACAACATTTGGCTAAAGGGCAGGTATCGAACGGTTTTAAGGCAATATTTCGTAAACTTTGTCACACTCAGAATACGATACCTCTTTTCTACTGTGAGGTGTCCTCAAAACCCTTTCAACTCATTATTTGATGGTTTTTTTACCAATCATAGCCCTAAAATATGTTGTTTTGAAAAGTTAGCAAATACATGCACTTATTGGGAAATGATGTAAATTCTGTCACATTATATGGAAGTTAAAATTTTGGGTGAATTGCCGAAATCATTTATATCTGATTTTGGTTTGGAAGGCGGGAAAACTGTATATAAGGACGATGCACAGATAGAGCTGATTCAAGTTAAGGGCAGTTGATGTAAAAATTGTCACAATAATAATAAGGGCAGTTGATATGAAAGAAAATCTATCTAACTAATGCAATGGCTGATGTGACGAAATTTACATTTCTTGACCCTATTTTGAAGAAACATGCCTCGATTAGAATTCAATATTCTTCCAGGAATTATCAGTAGGTTATTATTCAGCAGAACTCAAGTTTGACAATTCTGAGTTTGATTATACTAAGTTACCGAAATGTGACGAAATTCACTTTTCCTGCCCCAAAAGTATAATTTCAATGTGATGAAAAATGGGCATGGGTTTCTATATTTCCTTTATCTCTGAATTAATCATTTCGAACTATAATTAGGACTGTTGATGTGAAAGAAAATGTATCTACATTTTACAATGACGTATGTTACGAAATTTACATTTCTTGACCCTATTTTGAAGAACCATACCCCGATTAGAATTCGATATTCTTCCAGGAATTATTGGTAGGTTATTTTTCAGAAAATCAGAACCCAAGTTTAACAATACTGAGTTTGATATCACTAATTTACCGAAATGTGACGAAATTTAGTTTTCCTGCCCCAACAGTATAATTTCAATGTGATGAAAAATGGGCATGGGTTTCTATATTTCCTGTATAAATCCATTCCGACTATAATAAGGGCATTTGATATGGAAGAAAATATATCTAACTAATGCAATGGCTGATGTGACGAAATTTACATTTCTTGCCCCTATTTTGAAGAATCATACCTCAATTAGTATATACTGTTACTTTATCACCATCAATATGTCGATAAATTAGTTATTTTGCCAACACGGAGCAAATAAAGTTATAATATTTTTTTTGTGACGAAATTTACAAATTTTTACCCTGTTTAGGTGTTGAAATTTATCCAATGTTAACATATCACTGCCATATAATAATTTATATGACCGGCGTATGGTTGAAATATTGTCAATTGATCCATAGTACGTAATATAGGGTGTTTAAGTTGGTATACTAATATTTACTCAATTTCACACATGTTGAGATATCATACAAATTTATGTGACTAAATTTACCTATTTCTGCCTTCTGTATTTGTATTTGCCTATAACAATGAAATATGTGAACAATTCCAAACACATTCAGCTCACAAAATAATGTTAGACTATTCGGCATTTCTTGTCAGGATGTCATAAACATCCCTCATATAAATTTCTTAAATGTGTGACGGAGTTTACATGGTGCTACCATTTAAGAAAAAAAGTCGCTGAATATGTAGATAATAGTCATATACAGCCATTCTATGAATTGGAAATTCGAAAATTTGGTCAAACACGGCAACAAGGGGTCCATATAAACTCCGTCACGTTTTTATAGTGTGACAAAGTTTACAACTCACTGCCGGCCGCATTTTAGCGATATCTTATCGTCTGATAAAGATATCGTTATGCGACAAACTTTATCTAGAGGATGAAACGATTATCTTAGGGTTAGAGGGTTTATATAGTTTCATAGTGTGACACATTTTACATCATCGTGCCATTCAGTAGGGTCACTAATATTTACCAATATCCTCAAACTTCAATGAACGTGTCCATATATCAATTGGTCCGTAATCAACCGTTCACATCTTCGGAGTTATTATTTACCTCCAGATCTTGTAAAGTTTACACTGAAATGCAGGACCGAGGTGGTCGAATACAAAATTGTTTTTAAAAAGCATGTATTACTGGTATGATGCTTAAAGCATGGAATATTTATTGCACGATACCCCATTTGAGGAAGATGATCACCTGTGATATGATCATCAAATTTCGTATTTGTTGTTTTTACACAACTTTCATTATCAACCGCGGTGACAACAACACTGATCAGGATCTAAAGACATTTTGACATTTTGACATTTTGACTGCTTAACGACTGCCTTTTTTGCTTATAGTTATTGTACGAAAAATAATTTACCAATTATCTGCTAAAGTTTTAAAAATGCAAAAAAAAAACGATGAAAAATATTGGATTTTTGATGGTTTTGAATTGTATGTTGTAGGTTTATAACCTACGTACCAGGACGCACGCTGAGTTGGACTCGTCGACCCTCCGGTACTATTTGAAACAAATGTTTTACGAGTATCACCCGTTAAGTTTTGAATGCCTTCGAACGTTCATTTTAATGTCCGTTCATAATTATGTCCGTTCATTTAATGTCCGGTCAAATATGGTCTGATAAGGTATATCAAGATTTAAAGTGGACAGTTAGAATTAGGTCAAGGTAACGCTAAATTTGATCGATGATTATACGGAATTTCGAACTTTTTGGGAATGATTTTTGAAGAAACAAATATTGTCATCATTGGTTTAACGGTTAGAAATTATCGCCGATAACCGATAATGAGTTTTTCACAAATTATCGCCGATAATATCGGTTGCAAACCCTATTAATAATTGATACAAATTCGGGGAATTTAGTACTCATATTAGTAATACTTATATTTATTATGAATACTTTCATGTTGGTCAAACGTAGTTTTATATATGATTGCGTTTATTGCATTTGGTATTGTGAGATGGCGGGAGCTATATTGGACTAATATAATAGCTGTAAGGTGTTATTTCAGAATTTTAGGTTTTAGGGTAAAATTTATAAGTAATTTTATCAATACTCAACCTGGGCAATTATCTTCATCTGAACCATCTTCACAATCTGCTGAACCATCACAAAAAGAATTGTCCTCAATACATTGCACTCCATCCGCACAACGTGCCTTCCCTTCCTCACATTCTGCTCCTGGGGGATTAGTTGATGTTTGTAATTATATTTAAAGAATATAGAATTATGGATTATTATAAAATTATTATAAAAAAAGTATGGGAAAAGCGAGCGACCGATTTCAGTTTCGTATCATTTTGCATATTTTGCAGACGGTCAATCAAATTAATATCATTTCCTTTTGGTTGGGAAAGAGAGACACTGGCAGCGGTCCACTCTACCCATGATTATGGGTTTTGGTCAAATTCGTTTCTCTTATAATGATACAATTCACCTGTTACAACAACTTCAGCTACATTTATGTTCCCTATACTCTTGCTGAGCTTTACAGTGTCCCCGTCAGTGTCACAGATCAGTGTGTAGATCTGGTCTGCCTGCTCTAGTCCGTATGTTAGTTGGAGTGTCCCGCAAGAGCTCTGTTTTACCTCTCCTTGGTACACTGACACATCTACTTCGTTATGACCATCCACACACATCTTAAAATTAGCATCATTCTCTGCACACCATTGACTTTCAGGACGGTTTTGGTACCAGTTGGTATAAAATTGGTGGTAGATAAGGACCTTGTGGATAAAGTAGGTTCCATCAAACTCTAACTTTATCCAGCCTGCTCCGTTATCAGTGACAGTAGCTGCTACAGTTGAGAGGTCTTTATCGATTGCATGTGTTGCTGCAAATTGTTCCTCGTTGAGATAAAGTGTTTTTCCTTGTGTAACCTTTGTGGGGGTTAACTCTGCGACTGCCGACTTTAGCTTTAGACCTGAAGTATCACAATTAAAATACTGCACATTTACCTATTTGATACAAAAAACAAATTCGGAGAATTTAGTACTTATATTACTTATATTTATTATGAATACTTTTATGTTGGTCAAACGTATTTTTATATATGATTGCGTTTATTGCATTCGGTTTTATGAATTGACTTTCACTCAATAAACGTAAGCTAATTCACTAACTACCACCCTTATCCCGAAATACTAGGTGTCGACCCGAACGCAACCCAAAGAGATTTTTACAGCATGTGATTGATTTAATTCATCGAAACTTATTACAATTCGTAAGCTGTGAATGAATGAGAAAATCGAGCGACCAATTTCATTCTCGTATCATTTTGCATATTTTGCAGACGGTCAATCAAATTAATATCATTTCCTTTTGGTTGGGAAAGAGATACACTGGCAGCGGTCCACTCTACCCATGATTATGGGTTTTGGTCAAATTTGTTTCTCTTTAATACAATTCACCTGTTACAACAACTTCAGCTACATTTATGTTCCCTATACTCTTGCTGAGCTTTACAGTGTCCCCGTCAGTGTCACAGATCAGTGTGTAGATCTGGTCTGCCTGCTCTAGTCCGTATGTTAGTTGGAGTGTCCCGCAGGAGCTCTGTTTTACCTCTCCTTGGTACACTGACACATCTACTTCGTTATGACCATCCACACACATCTTAAAATTAGCATCATTCTCTGCACACCATTGACTTTCAGGACGGTTTTGGTACCAGTCGGTATAAAATTGGTGGTAGATAAGGACCTTGTGGATAAAGTAGGTTCCATCAAACTCTAACTTTATCCAGCCTGCTCCGTTATCAGTGACAGTAGCTGCTACAGTTGAGAGGTCTTTATCGATTGCATGTGTTGCTGCAAATTGTTCCTCGTTGAGATAAAGTGTTTTTCCTTGTGTAACCTTTGTGGGGGTCAACTCTGCGACTGCCGACTTTAGCTTTAGACCTGAAGTATCACAATTAAAATACTGCACATTTACCTATTTGATACAAAAAACAAATTCGGAGAATTTAGTACTTATATTACTTATATTTATTATGAATACTTTTATGTTGGTCAAACGTATTTTTATATATGATTGCGTTTATTGCATTCGGTTTTATGAATTGACTTTCACTCAATGAACGTCAGCTAATTCACTAACTACCACCCTTATCCCGAAATACTAGGTGTCGACCCAAACGCAACCCAAAGAGATTTTTATAGCATGCGATTGATTTAATTATTCGAAACTTATTACAATTCGTAAGCCGTGAATGAATGAGAAAATCGAGCGACCGATTTCATTCTCGTATCATTTTGCATATTTTGCAGACGGTCAATCAAATTAATATCATTTCCTTTTGGTTGGGAAAGAGAGACACTGGCAGTGGTCCACTCTACCCATGATTATGAATTTTGGTCAAATTTGTTTCTCTTTAATACAATTCACCTGTTACAACAACTTCAGCTACATTTATGTTCCCTATACTCTTGCTGAGCTTTACAGTGTCCCCGTCAGTGTCACAGATCAGTGTGTAGATCTGGTCTGCCTGCTCTAGTCCGTATGTTAGTTGGAGTGTCCCGCAGGAGCTCTGTTTTACCTCTCCTTGGTACACTGACACATCTACATCGTTATGACCATCCACACACATCTTAAAATTAGCTTCATTCTCTGCACACCATTGACTTTCAGGACGGTTTTGGTACCAGTCGGTATAAAATTGGTGGTAGATAAGGACCTTGTGGATAAAGTAGGTTCCATCAAACTCTAACTTTATCCAGCCTGCTCCGTTATCAGTGACAGTAGCTGCTACAGTTGAGAGGTCTTTATCGATTGCATGTGTTGCTGCAAATTGTTCCTCGTTGAGATAAAGTGTTTTTCCTTGTGTAACCTTTGTGGGGGTTAACTCTGCGACTGCCGACTTTAGCTTTAGACCTGAAGTATCACAATTAAAATACTGCACATTTACCTATTTGATACAAATTCGGAGAATTTAGTACTTATATTACTTATATTTATTATGAATACTTTTATGTTGGTCAAACGTATTTTATATATGATTGCGTTTATTGCATTCGGTTTTATGAAATGACTCTCACTCAATAAACGTCAGCTGATTCACTAACTACCACCCTTATCCCGAAATACTAGGTGTCGACCCGAACGCAACCCAAAGAGATTTTTACAGCATGTGATTGATTTAATTCATCGAAACTTATTACAATTCGTAAGCTGTGAATGAATGAGAAAATCGAGCGACCAATTTCATTCTCGTATCATTTTGCATATTTTGCAGACGGTCAATCAAATTAATATCATTTCCTTTTGGTTGGGAAAGAGATACACTGGCAGCGGTCCACTCTACCCATGATTATGGGTTTTGGTCAAATTTGTTTCTCTTTAATACAATTCACCTGTTACAACAACTTCAGCTACATTTATGTTCCCTATACTCTTGCTGAGCTTTACAGTGTCCCCGTCAGTGTCACAGATCAGTGTGTAGATCTGGTCTGCCTGCTCTAGTCCGTATGTTAGTTGGAGTGTCCCGCAGGAGCTCTGTTTTACCTCTCCTTGGTACACTGACACATCTACATCGTTATGACCATCCACACACATCTTAAAATTAGCTTCATTCTCTGCACACCATTGACTTTCAGGACGGTTTTGGTACCAGTCGGTATAAAATTGGTGGTAGATAAGGACCTTGTGGATAAAGTAGGTTCCATCAAACTCTAACTTTATCCAGCCTGCTCCGTTATCAGTGACAGTAGCTGCTACAGTTGAGAGGTCTTTATCGATTGCATGTGTTGCTGCAAATTGTTCCTCGTTGAGATAAAGTGTTTTTCCTTGTGTAACCTTTGTGGGGGTCAACTCTGCGACTGCCGACTTTAGCTTTAGACCTGAAGTATCACAATTAAAATACTGCACATTTACCTATTTGATACAAAAAACAAATTCGGAGAATTTAGTACTTATATTACTTATATTTATTATGAATACTTTTATGTTGGTCAAACGTATTTTTATATATGATTGCGTTTATTGCATTCGGTTTTATGAATTGACTTTCACTCAATGAACGTCAGCTAATTCACTAACTACCACCCTTATCCCGAAATACTAGGTGTCGACCCGAACGCAACCCAAAGAGATTTTTATAGCATGCGATTGATTTAATTATTCGAAACTTATTACAATTCGTAAGCCGTGAATGAATGAGAAAATCGAGCGACCGATTTCATTCTCGTATCATTTTGCATATTTTGCAGACGGTCAATCAAATTAATATCATTTCCTTTTGGTTGGGAAAGAGAGACACTGGCAGTGGTCCACTCTACCCATGATTATGAATTTTGGTCAAATTTGTTTCTCTTTAATACAATTCACCTGTTACAACAACTTCAGCTACATTTATGTTCCCTATACTCTTGCTGAGCTTTACAGTGTCCCCGTCAGTGTCACAGATCAGTGTGTAGATCTGGTCTGCCTGCTCTAGTCCGTATGTTAGTTGGAGTGTCCCGCAGGAGCTCTGTTTTACCTCTCCTTGGTACACTGACACATCTACATCGTTATGACCATCCACACACATCTTAAAATTAGCTTCATTCTCTGCACACCATTGACTTTCAGGACGGTTTTGGTACCAGTCGGTATAAAATTGGTGGTAGATAAGGACCTTGTGGATAAAGTAGGTTCCATCAAACTCTAACTTTATCCAGCCTGCTCCGTTATCAGTGACAGTAGCTGCTACAGTTGAGAGGTCTTTATCGATTGCATGTGTTGCTGCAAATTGTTCCTCGTTGAGATAAAGTGTTTTTCCTTGTGTAACCTTTGTGGGGGTTAACTCTGCGACTGCCGACTTTAGCTTTAGACCTGAAGTATCACAATTAAAATACTGCACATTTACCTATTTGATACAAATTCGGAGAATTTAGTACTTATATTACTTATATTTATTATGAATACTTTTATGTTGGTCAAACGTATTTTATATATGATTGCGTTTATTGCATTCGGTTTTATGAAATGACTCTCACTCAATAAACGTCAGCTGATTCACTAACTACCACCCTTATCCCGAAATACTAGGTGTCGACCCGAACGCAACCCAAAGAGATTTTTACAGCATGCGATTGATTTAATTATTCGAAACTTATTACAATTCGTAAGCCGTGAATGAATGAGAAAATGAGCGACCGATTTCATTCTCGTATCATTTTGCATATTTTGCAGACGGTCAATCAAATTAATATCAATTCCTTTTGGTTGGGAAAGAGAGACACTGGCAGCGGTCCACTCTACCCATGATTATGGGTTTTGGTCAAATTTTTAATGTCTGTTCATAATTATGTCCGTTCATTTAATGTCCGGTCAAATATGGTCCGATAAGGTATAACTATATCAAGATTTAGGGTGGACGGTTAAGGGTAGAAAGCCCCCAAGTGAGGACCAATCCATCAATGAGATTACAAACACCATGTGGCTGCGGCAGAGGCACATATTAGGTGCGGTAAAAAAATCGAAATTATGCGGTACCGCACCCGACTATAAAGGTAAAATGTGCGGTGATTTTTTCGTAATTTGTGCGGGAATTGTGCGGTTTTCTTTTGCATTTTCTCAAGGACTTTGGAAATTCTAAACGTATAACCGCCGCTCTTATCAAAAATAGGTCTGTTTATGTGTTACTGAGGGTGTAGTTCTTTACTAAGACCATGATTGAACCTTTATTGAGATTCAGTTATCTGAGAACAGTGACTTGATCTGGTAGAGATCAGGAGACAGTTATTTGAAGACGCCTCTTGATAGAGTCGATCAGATCCCATGCGTGATCGCAAATATGTGACACGCTTGTTGGCATTGATCGTCAGTACTTGTGAACCATTTGATCCAAGATCCATTAAGCCCACTATAAAGCCAACGCTACCTACTCTATTATCACCAGAGGCAGAAGTTACGAATGATAACTGATACACTATAATCGAAGTACGGTAACGACGAGGGTTCCATAACGGCCTGGGTCACGGTCCCGAAAGGGCCTGGGTCACGGTCCCGAAAGGGCCTGGGTAACGGTCCCGAAAGGGCCTGGGTCACGGTCCCGAAAGGGCCTCGGTCACGTGGCCTAAGCATGAGTTCCAAAAGGGCCTGGGTCATGGTCCCGAAAGGGCCTGGGTCAGGGTCCCGAAAGGGCCTGGGTAACGGTACCGAAAGGGCCTGGGTCACGGTCCCGAAAGGGCCTCGGTTACGTGGCCTAAGCATGAGTTCCAAAAGGGCCTGGGTCATGGTCCCGAAAGGGCCTCGGTCAGGGTCCCGAAAGGGCCTGAGTCAGGGTCCCGAAAGGGCCTCGGTCAGGGTCCCGAAAGGGCCTGAGTCACGTGGTAACTGGGTCACGTGGCCTAGGTATGAGTTCCAAAACGGCCTGGGTCACGGTCCCGAAAGGGCCTGGGTCAGGGTCCCGAAAGGGCCTGGGTCAGGGTCCCGAAAGGGCCTGAGTCACGGTCCTATAAAAGGGCCCGACATTTAACATATTTTGGTTTTTACACTCGAAAATCTTAACGCAAAAATTTCAAAATTATGCGAAATTACGCGGAAAATGCTAGATTATGCGGAAATATGCAGATAATTACAAAATGTGCGAAAATGTGCGGAAAACAATAAATTATGCGGAAGTGTGCGGGAAACGGTAAATTGTGCGATCCCGCACCCATCGCACCTAATATGTGCCCATGGGCTGCGGACTTAGATCAGCAACTCATTAGAGGACCTAAAACTAATCTACAGCCTAAAAACCTCAACAAGATGGAGTCCCGTGGCCTTAAATGGTTAGAAAGAATGATCAAACATGAAAAACTTACAATAGCAAGTTGAATAGTTTCAGCTGACAAAGGTGGAGCCGTGTTACTAGTGGACCCAGCTATGCTAAAGCGAAGAACACAGGAAAAGCTCGACAACCCCCTATTGTATAAAAAGCTCGCTAAAGACCCAACGCAAGACCTACACCAGGAATTATTTGATTTATAGATCGAGGGAAAAAAGAAAAACTTTGTTATACCAAAAGAAGCTCAAGACATCATGGGTATTACCAACAATCTGAACAGTGATGGTACATTTACTAACAACAAGAGTACTTCTACCCACTTCAAACCTGGTAAAGCTTATTTCTACCCCACTCTAAAGATCCACAAGCTTCAAAAGGAAGACCTTAAACCAGGAGTCGAGCCCCCCTTCAGGCTCATCACGGCACTCCAGGATGGAATCACAAAACGCAGTGATGTTTTCCTCGCTAACCAATACCTGAAGGATCTTGAAAAAGATTTCTGCTCTGACCTTTTGACTGATTGCACTGCAGATGCCCTTCAATGGTTGGATTTCGTGGATAGTGAACATTCCCCAGTACAGAAGAAAGGCTTCAGATCGTTTACCTACGACTTTAAGGCCTTCTATGACTCTTTAACACCATCTCTCGTCATAGAGGCCTTGAGGTCCGCTGTGTCATCATGTAGAGAAGATTGGTCTGAAGACTTCTGCCAATGGCTCACACAACTGGTGGAATTAAGCCTCCGATCCTCTGCTGGGGTGTTCGATCAAAATTGGTTCATACAGCTCATCGGTATCCCTACGGGTGGATCACTATGTGTCCAAATCGCAAACATAGCAGTCTACTACCTAATGAACAAATGTGTTTATAGTAACCCAGAGCTCATGAATAAGATCGTATCAGACAGGCGTTACATTGACGACGGAGCAGGTTTGTTTGAGGGAACTACTGATGAGTTCAAAATTTGGATTGCAGATGTTAACAAAGCACTCCTCTCCTATGGCCTAGTCATTGATGAATACCAAATAGAAAATCCTGGTAAATACGTATCTTTCCTTGACATAATGTTCACCTTCGATTCCTTAGGATCCCTCCAAACGGATTTGTTCATAAAGCCAACAGACTCTCGTTCATATCTACATTTTAAAAGCTCCCACCCTAACCATATCTATTCCGGTATCGTGTAATCTCAATGCTTTAGACTCAGAAGGATCATCAACTGCCAAGAACGCCTGAAAGAACATCTCAACAACCTCAAAAAAGCCTTTCTTGCCGCATGTTACCCTAGAAAAATGATTGAGAACATCAGTAATAAGGTCCTCAACACAAAAAGATCACTGTCACGCAAAGTCCAGGCTCCTGATGACCAGACATCATTACATCTTCCAATCAGGGTCATATCTACTTATGGTAGTGATGATGATCTGGTGTCTGTGACTAAGAAGTATGAAGAACACCTCTCAAGAACGAGGAGTTTCAGTGAAAGTGACACTGTTGAAACATCCCAAGAGACCTCCTCAACATCTGCCACGCCTAGGAAGAAAATTTTCAGTTACACAAAGAAAACAGGGTCAAGCCTAAAATCTCGCCTCGTCAAATTGAAAGAACTTGCTTTAGGAGCTAAACATGGCCCAACCAGCAAATGCGATGTGCCAAGATGCAAATGTTGTGAACTTGTCAAAGGCACCCATGAATTCAAAGTGAACGGCAAGAAGGTTAATGCTTCCCCTGGAAACTGCCAGAGTTACAACATCATTTATCTGTTCCCATGTAGTGTCTGTGGAAAGGCTTACGTCGGTCGCACAACTCGCTATCTACGGGTTAGGACTGGAGAACATAGGGTCAAATATTATAAACTTTTAAATGGTGATCAGGTAGATGAAACAAGTGATGAATATAGTTTGGGTTAACATTTGTTGGATCATGGTTTTAAACAAAGGGAAGATTTTAACAAAATTTGTAATGTGTCAATTATTGATAATTCTAGTCCTAAACTTTGGAAGTCCGTGAACATAAATATATTCAACTACTCAAGACTTTAAAACCTTTGGGAATTAACACTATAAATCCTTTTGGCCTTCCCTTACTCCTAACATCTTAATTTTAACTTTATACCCGTTTTAAGAGTGTTCAGATTTTTAAAGGAATTTTGAGTTTTACTAACTTTTTACAATTTCTAGGGCTTATATGTCACTGAAGATGACGCCTTGCAACATGTTTGACAATAGCCTGTAGATTGATAGTTTGATCTCAGTATTTACAACAATTCATCTAGTTTGATTGATTTAAAGGGAAACAAATTCCTCTGTGGACAGTTAGAATTAGGTCAAGGTGGTTAGCTGTAAAGGTCCAATAACGCTAAATTTGATAGATGTTTATACGGAATTTCGAACTTTTTGGGAATGATTTTGAAAGAAACAAATGTTGTCATCATTGGTTTAACGGTTAGAAATTATCGCCGATAACCGATAGTGACTTTTTCACAAATTATCGCCGATAATATCGGTTGCAAACCCTATAATTGATACAAATTCAGAGAATTTAGTACTTATATTATTTATTATAAAAACAATTTTATGTTGGTTAAACGTAGTTTTATATATGATTGCGTTTATCCCATTTGGTATTGTGAGATGGCGGGAGCTATATCGGACTATTATAATAGCTGTAAGATGTTATTTCAGAATTTTAGGTTTTATGGTAAAATTTACAAGTAAGTTTATCAATACTCAACCTGGGCAATAATCTTCATCTGAACCATCTTCACAATCTGCTGAACCATCACAAAAAGAATTGTCCTCAATACATTGCACTCCATCCGCACAACGTGCCTTCCCTTCCTCACATTCCGCTCCTGGGGGATTAGTTGATGTTTATAATTATATTTAAAGAATATAGAATTATGGACTATCATAAAATTATTATAAAATTAGTATGGGAAAAGCGAGCGACCGATTTCGTTCTCGTATCATTTTGCATATTTTGCAGACGGTCAATCAAATTAATATCATTTCCTTTTGGTTGGGAAAGAGATACACTGGCCGCAGCAGTCAACTCTACCCATGATTATGGGTTTTGGTCAACTTTGTTTCTCTTTAATACAATTCACCTGTTACAACAACTTCAGCTATATTTATGTTCCCTATACTCTTGCTGAGCTTTACAGTGTCCCCGTCAGATTCACAGATCATTGTGTAGATCTGGTCTGCCTGCTCTAGTCCGTATGTTAGTTGGAGTGTCCCGCAGGAGCTCTGTTTTACCTCTCCTTGGTACACTGACACATCAACTTCGTTATGACCATCCACACACATCTTAAAATTAGCATCATTCTCTGCACACCATTGACTTTCAGGACGGTTTTGGTACCAGTCGGTATAAAATTGGTGGTAGATAAGGACATTGTGGATAAAGTAGGTTCCATCAAACTCTAACTTTATCCAGCCTGCTCCGTTATCAGTGACAGTAGCTGCTACAGTTGAGAGGTCTTTATCGATTGCATGTGTTGCTGCAAATTGTTCCTCGTTGAGATAAAGTGTTTTTCCTTGTGTAACCTTTGTGGGGGTCAACTCTGCGACTGCTGACTTTAGCTTTAGACCTGAAGTATCAAAATTAAAATACTGCACATTTACCTATTTGATACACAATACAAATTCAGATAATTTAGTACTTATATTACTTATATTTATTATGAATACTTTTATGTTGGTCAAACGTATTTTTATATATGATTGCGTTTATTGCATTCGGTTTTATGAAATGAATCTCACTCATTAAACGTCAGCTAATTCACTAACTATACCAAACTTATCCCGAAATACTAGGTGTCGACCCGAACGCAACCCAAAGAGATTTTTACAGCATGCGATTGATTTAATTATTCGAAACTTATTACAATTTGTAAGCCGTGAATGAATGAGAAAATCGAGCGCCCGATTTCATTCTCGTATCATTTTGCATATTTTGCAGACGGTCAATCAAATTGATATCATTTCCTTTTGGTTGGGAAAGAGATACACTGGCAGCGGTCCACTCTACCCATGATTATAGGTTTTGGTCAAATTTTTTTCTCTTTAATACAATTCACCTGTTACAACAACTTCAGCTACATTTATGTTCCCGATACTCTTGCTGAGCTTTACAGTGTCCCCGTCAGTGTCACAGATCAGTGTGTAGATCTGGTCTGCCTGCTCTAGTCCGTATACGTTAGTTGGAGTGTCCCGCAGGAGCTCTGTTTTACCTCTCCTTGGTACACTGACACATCTACTTCGTTATGACCATCCACACACATCTTAAAATTAGCTTCATTCTCTGCACACCATTGACTTTCAGGACGGTTTTGGTACCACTCGGTATAAAATTGGTGGTAGATAAGGACCTTGTGGATAAAGTAGGTTCCAGCAAACTCTATCTTTATCCAGCCTGCTCCGTTATCAGTGACAGTAGCTGCTACAGTTGAGAGGTCTTTATCGATTGCGTGTGTTGCTGCAAATTGTTCCTCGTTGAGATAAAGTGTTTTTCCTTGTGTAACCTTTGTGGGGGTTAACTCTGCGACTGCCGACTTCAGCTTCAGACCTGAAGTATCACAATTAGAATACTGCACATTTACCTATAATTTGATACAAATTCGGAGAATTTAGTACTTATATTACTTATTTTTATTATGAATACTTTTATATTGGTCAAACTCAAACGTATTTTTATATATGATTGCGTTTATTGCATTCGGTTTAATGAAATGACTCTCACTCAATAAACGTCAGCTAATTCAGTAACTACCACCCTTGGCCTTATCCCGAAATACTAGGTGTCGACCCGAACGCAACCCAAAGAGATTTTTACAGCATGTGATTGATTTAATTAATCGAAACTTATTACAATTCGTAAGCCGTGAATGAATGAGAAAATCGAGCGACCGATTTCATTCTCGTATCATTTTGAATATTTTGCAGACGGTCAATCAAATTAATATCATTTCCTTTTGGTTTGGAAAGAGAGACACAGGCAGCGGTCCACTCGACACATGATTATGGGTTTTGGTCAAATTTGTTTCTCTTTAATACAATTCACCTGTTACAACAACTTCAGCTACATTTATGTTCCCTATACTCTTGCTGAGCTTTATAAACAGTGTCCCCGTCAGTGTCACAGATCACTGTGTAGATCTGGTCTGCCTGCTCTAGTCCGTATGTTAGTTGGAGTGTCCCGCAGGAGCTCTGTTTTACCTCTCCTTGGTACACTGACACATCTACTTCGTTATGACCATCCACACACATCTTAAAATTAGCTTCATTCTCTGCACACCATTGACTTTCAGGACGGTTTTGGTACCAGTTGGTATAAAATTGGTGGTAGATAAGGACCTTGTGGATAAAGTAAGTTCCATCAAACTCTAACTTTATCCAGCCTGCTCCGTTATCAGTGACAGTAGCTGCTACAGTTGAGAGGTCTTTATCGATTGCATGTGTTGCTGCAAATTGTTCCTCGTTGAGATAAAGTGTTTTTCCATGTGTAACCTTTGTGGGGGTTAACTCTGCGACTGCCGACTTTAGCTTTAGACCTGAAGTATCACAATTAAAATACTGCACATTTACCTATAATTTGATACAAATTCGGAGAATTTAGTACTTATATTACTTATTTTTATTATGAATACTTTTATATTGGTCAAACTCAAACGTATTTTTATAAATGATTGCGTTTATTGCATTCGGTTTTATGAAATGACTCTCACTCAATAAACGTCAGCTAATTCACTAACTACCACCCTTATCCCGAAATACTACTACTAGGTACGTGTCGCGACCCGAACGCAACCCAAAGAGATTTTTACAGCATGTGATTGATTTAATTAATCGAAACCTATTACAATTCGTAAGCCCTGAATGAATGAGAAAATCGAGCGACCGATTTCATTTTCGTATCATTTTCGTATCATTTTGCATATTTGCAGACGGTCAATCAAATTAACATCATTTCCTTTTGGTTGGGAAAGAGAGACACTGGCAGCGGTCCACTCTACCCATGATTATTGGTTTTGGTCTAATTTGTTTCTCTTTAATACAATTCACCTGTTACAACAACTTCAGCTACATTTATGTTCAGTGACAGTAGCTGCTACAGTTGCGGGAGGCACATGTTTTGGCAATATTCCACCATACAAAGCCAACTTTCGTGAACATTTTGATATGGGCACGTGATTTCCTGTTCCCGTATTTCTTTTAAAGTGCGGCAATTTTCAGAAAAAAATTCGAACGCGAATTTAATTCGAACAATACTTATTAATACGTTTAGTGCGAAATTCACAGCATTGGTTGTCGCTATCCAGCGTTAGTTGTCGACATTGACAACTTGCGCTGGATAACGCTGGTTATGCGACATTGTCGCACCCGACAGTTTGTGATGGCCAGCGCAACTGGCCATCGCAGAAAACAGTTCGATAACTAGCGCTGGATAGTTGTCGACAATAGTTGTCGACAACTAGGGATAATGATTAATCACTCTACACTCGACTGTCACGTGACTTTTTAACTCATTCTCTTGCTGGTTCTGAACGACTTTTCGAAACCCTAACCCTCTAATCTGATCCCAACCCAAACCCTAACCCAATCCTTAACAAAAACATATGCTGAAACCCTAACCCTAACGAGAAATTAGACTAACTTCCTTATACGGTCATATCACGTGATCGATACAGTTTTTCGCCAATATCTCGTCAGGAGAGCATTTTAACCCTATGTCATGGGGGGTGATTCGGAATCAGCGTCCGAAAATACATCTATTGAAGTTGGTTACAACCATCTGGGGCCCTTTTAGAACAATCTCGAAGATCGACTGTAGAGTGATTTAGCACGCTCGGACAACTAGCGCTGAATAGCGACAACTAGCGCTGATGGCGACAATTCTAGCGCTGGATTGCGACAATTATCGAAAATTTATATTTTGAGTTGGATATCTTTTACCAGCGCTGGATAGCGACAACTATAGCGCTGGATGGCGACAACTAGCGCTGGATAGCGCTAGTTGTCGCAATTACACTATCGCAAAAGAACCCTTATATTTATTATGAAGTTTTTATTTTGCGCTAATACTTTCTGAACTTTGGGAAAAGTCAATTTAATTTTTAGTTGTTATGTTTTTTCTCCGTACTGAATTATCGAATATAAATATAATAGGTTACTTAACGAACCTAGACAAGGATCGGAGTTGCAATTTTGCGATTCTGTCAAACTTCCCTCACAATCAGCACCACCATTATCTGGGGCTGGGTTATTACAGCTTCTTTCCCTGGTCTGTTGTCCTTCTCCACAAGAAGTTGAGCACTCTGACCATTCTCCAAACGCACTCAATCCTCCATCAACTAAGTTGAAAAGCTGTGTCATATATCAAATATAACAGATTTTATTTTGCGCTAATACTTTCTGAACTTTGGAAAAAGTCAATTTAATATTTAGTTGTTATGTTTTTTCTTCATACTGAATTATCGAAATATAATAGGTTAATTAACGAACCTGGACAAGGACCGGAGTTGCAATTTTGCGCTTCTGTCAAACTTCCCTCACAATCAGCACCACCATTAGCTGGGGCTGGGTTATTACAGCTTCTTTCCCTGGTCTGTTGTCCTTGGCCTTCTCCACAAGAAGTTGAGCACTCTGACCATTCTCCAAACGCACTCAATCCTCCATCAACTAAGTTGAAAAACTGTGTTATATATCAATTGGTCCGTAATCAACCGTTCACATCTTCGGAGTTATTATTTACCTCCAGATCTTGTAAAGTTTACACTCAAATGCAGGACCGAGGTGGTCGAATACAAAATTGTTTTTTAAAAGCATGTATTACTGGTATGATGCTTAAAGCATGGAATATTTATTGCACGATAACCCATTTGAGGAAGATCACCTGTGATATGAATCTGATCATCAAATTTCGTATTTGTTGTTTTTACACAACTTTCATTATCATAGACACTGATCTAAAGATATTTTGACATTTTTACTGCTTAACGACTGCCTTTTTTGCTTATAGTTATTGTACGAAAAATTAGTTAGAGGTCCAATAACGCTACATTTTATCGATGATTTTACGGAATTTCGAACTTTTTGGGGATGATTTTTGAAGAAACAAATTTTGTCATCATTGGTTTAACGGTTAGAAATTATCGCCGATAACCGATAATGACTTTTTCACAAATTATCGCCGATAATATCGGTTGCAGACCCTATAATTGATACAAATTCGGGGAATTTAGTACTTATATTAGTACTACTTATATCTATTATGAATACTTTTAGGTTGGTCAAACGTAGCTTTATATATGATTGCATTTATTGCATTTGGTATTATGGGATGGCGGGAGCTATATCGGACTATTATAATAGCTGTAAGATGTTATTTCAGAATTTTAGGTTTTATGGTAAAATTTACAAATAAGTTTATCAATACTCAACCTGGGCAATTATCTTCATCTGAACCATCTTCACAATCTGCTGAACCATCACAAAAAGAATTGTCCTCAATACATTGCACTCCATCCGCACAACGTGCCTTCCCTTCCTCACATTCCGCTCCTGGGGGATTAGTTGATGTTTATAATTATATTTAAAGAATATAGAATTATGGATTATTATAAAATTATTATAAAATTAGTATGGGAAAAGCGAGCGACCGATTTCAGTCTCGTATAATTTTGCATATTTTGCAGACGGTCAATCAAATTAATATCATTTCCTTTTGGTTGGGAAAGAGAGACACTGGCAGCGGTCCACTCTACCCATGATTATGGGTTTTGGTCAAATTTGTTTCTCTTTAATATTTAATACAATTCACCTGTTACAACAACTTCAGCTGGTTATTGCGTTTATTGCATTCGGTTTTATGAAATGACTCTCACTCAATAAACGTCAGCTAATTCACTAACTACCACCCTTGGCCTTATCCCGAAATACTAGGTGTCGACCCGAACGCGACCCAAAGAGATTTTTACAGCATATGATTGATTTAATTAATCAAAACTTATTACAATTCGTAAGCCGTGAATGAATGAGTAAATCGAGCGCCCGATTTCATTCTCGTATCATTTTGCATATTTTGCAGACGGTCAATCAAATTAATATCATTTCCTTTTGGTTGGGATTGAGGGACACTGGCAGCGGTCCCCTCTACCCATGGTTATGGGTTTTGGTCAAATTTGTTTATCTTTAATCAGGGTGGGCCAAAAGTCAGTGTGCAAACGTTGGGTCTTATACCTCCGCCGTGTTTTATATTTGAGAGCTGTTGCTTTGCAGAGTGGGGATGGGACAATCAACAGAGACCTGGATGTCTGTATTCAGAAGGCTAATGGCGCCTTTCATCAGCTCTGGAACATTTGGAATAGCAGAACTATAAAGACTCCAACCAAGATCAGGATCTATAGGGCTGCTGTCCTCACCATCTTGTTGTATGGAGCTGAAGTCTGGAACACCACCAAAAAGCAGATGAAACGCTTCGAGGTTTTCCATCAAAGCTCCTTGAGAAGGATCCTTAGGATTAAATGGTTCTTTCATGTGACCAACGACGAAGTTCTTAGGAGGGCTGGCATCAAGTCAGTTGAGACTTTCATCAGTGCTGCCAGGCTACGTTGGTATGGACATGTAGTTAGAATGCCAGACTCTAGACTACCGAGGTTTCTGTTGAACTGGAAGCCAAATTATGGAAAGAGGTCAAGGGGCAGACCCCGTAAGAACTGGAAGTCCTGCGTACTCGAAGATGCTGCTAAGTTTACAGGTGTTGAAAACATCGACAACGACACAACAGAAGCTTTGGCTACCAACCGAGTACAGTGGAGACATATGTTACGCCGCCAACGCGATGTGTGTGATGCAGGCCACTCCAACGACTAGGAGGAGACCTTACCATGTAACATGTAACATGTATGTATGCTTTGCAGATGGCATACTGTACTTACTGGTTCGAAGATTCCGTTGTCAAAATTTGAAAATACGAATATTTTAGACCACGCCCATTCAATATTAAAACACCAATATTGTTTTCTCTCAACATGCTGAACGCCTAATTTTTTCAGAGACGGTAGATTATCAAATGTTGCATATGATCTGAAAACATGAGGCAAAACGGATTAGAAATGACGAAGTTATCAAGCATTTTGTGTATCTCGTTAACAAAATTGACTGGGTGATTATGTGACACCGTGACACGACACTTTAATTGGGCACCCTTAACAATTCCCATAATACTGATATCTGGATATTATCCGGTTGGAAGAGACAAGGACAAGTGAAACAAGGAAGTTAGGAGTAAGGGCAAATTTTCGGCGTCAACGCCATCTTCAGGCTAAAATTGTTATAAATGTTAGTATATAATAAATGCTTCTATACTAGTTAAAATGCTAAATTAATATTACACACACTGAATACAGGTTACATCAAATGGTATTGTACATTACATTGAAAATAGTGATGTACACACGTTTTACACTCTGTCCAAGTACATAATATCTACTGAACAGCAGAGTCGTGTGCTATTTGTTTAAATTTGTCTTTGAATATGTTGTAAAAGAAATCCCTTAAGCTTCTCGCACTCTTCTTTGTTATTGATACTAGGTTTAAATAAATTAATGTAGTAAGCTTCTGTCACTTTACGTTTAATGGTGCTATATAAGTTAATTTCTAAAATATCGAAGGAAATATCTGGTTCTATGTTATCGTGAAACTCTGAATAATGAGCAGCCAACGCATTATCAGGACAGGTTAAAGGCCTGTTGACTGCTCTTCGATGCTCTGAAAATCTATCGTGTGCTGTTCTACTCGTTTCCCCTATATATAGCTCTTGACATAATTTACACGTAACTTTGTATATGACACATTTTGGTTTGCAGTCGTGATTTGTTGTGATGAGTGGACATATGATACAGTTTGGTATGTATATTCTCAACGGCTTAGTGGCTCAAAAACGGCTTAGTGGCTCAGTTGGTTAATCCGCCTGGTATTGCTTGAGGTACCAGGTTCGATTCCCGACTCTGTCACTAGCCGTGGGGTGAGCGTCGTCGACGCTCAGCTAAGGATCCTGAGTGGTCTATGCAGCCCCCCGGTCCACTCAGCCAAATACTCGAGAAATCGGGTGTGAGGGTTAAATGAGGAGCTGCCCATTGCAGCAAAGTCTCGGGCGAAGAAAGTATGGTACACACTACCTTAACCGTCACTGGCCTAATGTATAATTGAATCCTTCGGCTTCCTGTAATTGGCTGGTTACACACTTGTGTAACAATGTGGCTGTTGGAATGTCCGAAGTAAAATAAGTGTTGAGATAAAAATGGTGCAGTGTGGTTTGTCGTGTGGTCGTGATGAACATAAGATCTCTGAGAGTTTCTTACCTGGTGTGAATATGAATTTGACCGCTAAGTTGTGTGAGAGGGCAAATTGAGTGACTTCTTTGGAAAATGGCTCGTTGATGAATGGTAGAGTGCATGTTACGTGGTCGGTATCTTGTATGTTTGATGATGAAGGGTTATGACGTGTTGTAGGTGAGAGAGGGTGAAGTCGTCCTGTTTTGTTTATACGTCGTGGGTCTTGGTAACCGTTGTTGACCAACAAGTTGTCTACTATCTTCATGGACTCTTCTTTATACTCTGGTGTTGATGAGCAAAAAGCAGCCGTTTTGTAGAAGTTCTTGATGGTTGCTACTTTAGTTCCCTCATTGTGGTGGCTGTTGGCGTGCAGTGTGATATTCTTTTTCTGCTTCTTTCTGTAGAATTTGTGGTGTAGTGTTCCCTGTTCGTCGATCTTTATCTGGGTGTCGAGGAATGGGGTGAAATCCTGACGGCTTTCCGGATAGTCAATTTCCCATTTGAGCAACTGGTCTGGGTCCTCGTTTGAGATGGACTCCACTATCCTCAGAGCTTCTTCTTTGGAGCTGGCTAGACTCCCGGCATCATCCACGTATCTCCGGTAGAATGAGACGTGTAAATCAGTGTAAATCGATCTTCTCTCGAACATATATACTCGTACTATCGCTCCTATTGGTGATGGTTGGCACCCCATGAAGAGACCAATTTTCTGGAGGTAGAGTCTTGAGTGATATGTAAAGTATGAGTTGGTGAAGACGAATTCAAGGATCTTGTGGATGTGCGTGAGTGTTAGACCCCAGGTGTCGAGGTCTTCCCAATGTTCTTCGGTGAGTGTAATGAGGTCTTGAATGCAGCCACTGATGTAGATGTTTGTGTACAGTGCTGTGACGTCAGCTGTGAAGAATGAGAGACCTGAGAGTTGTTGATGTGACATGTTTTGAAGCTCTTCTAGGTGAGTGTGTATATTGCTCAGGTGAGATGGAACATGATTAAGCAGAGGAGATAGAATAGATTTAACAATCCAAGCAAGCTTCTCAGAAGGGGAATTTATACAAGACACAATTGGACGTATTTTACAATTAGAAATAATATTTACATCTGAAACTAAGACATTACAATCAAATTTATGAGTTTTCTGTATTAAATAAATAGTCGGTAGTTGGGTATTATGTGATTTAAATAAGTCTACTGTTTTGCTGTCATAATTACACATCCTACTTATCTCTGTCCATAACACATTACTCTCAGTCTCTAGTCTCTCAGTAACCCTGTTGATGAGGCGGCTGTAGGAGACTTCTGAGGGGTTTGCTATTGGTTGGATCCGATTTTGTCGCGTGGTGGTAGGTGCAACGTAGGTGTACGCTTCTTGCGAGGTCATGTCTGACAGATGTTTCTGCGTAATCTGCTGTTGTACTCCACTGCTCATAATCACAAACTCACCCCCCTTGTCGCTTCTCGAGAAGTGGAGTTCTTCTTTTCTTGCAATCAAGGATTTGAGTCCCTCCCGTTGTTTTGCTGTTAGGTTAGAGGGTACTTTACTGTGTTCTAATCTGGTGTTAATGATGTAACACAGTTGGCGGAGGTGATGTTCCATGGCGAGGTTGGTGGTGGGTGGAGCACCAGCAAACGGTCGTTGAAATGGCACGTTTTTCGACTTAATAAATGCGAAGCTGGTCGGGCATGTATCATCTGGGATCTCATCTGAAAAACGGGGGGTGAGTTTGTGATTATGAGCAGTGGAGTACAACAGCAGATTACGCAGAAACATCTGTCAGACATGACCTCGCAAGAAGCGTACACCTACGTTGCACCTACCACCACGCGACAAAATCGGATCCAACCAATAGCAAACCCCTCAGAAGTCTCCTACAGCCGCCTCATCAACAGGGTTACTGAGAGACTAGAGACTGAGAGTAATGTGTTATGGACAGAGATAAGTAGGATGTGTAATTATGACAGCAAAACAGTAGACTTATTTAAATCACATAATACCCAACTACCGACTATTTATTTAATACAGAAAACTCATAAATTTGATTGTAATGTCTTAGTTTCAGATGTAGATATTATTTCTAATTGTAAAATACGTCCAATTGTGTCTTGTATAAATTCCCCTTCTGAGTAGTGTAGCTTGCTTGGATTGTTAAATCTATTCTATCTCCTCTGCTTAATCATGTTCCATCTCACCTGAGCAATATACACACTCACCTAGAAGAGCTTCAAAACATGTCACATCAACAACTCTCAGGTCTCTCATTCTTCACAGCTGACGTCACAGCACTGTACACAAACATCAACATCAGTGGCTGCATTCAAGACCTCATTACACTCACCGAAGAACATTGGGAAGACCTCGACACCTGGGGTCTAACACTCACGCACATCCACAAGATCCTTGAATTCGTCTTCACCAACTCATACTTTACATATCACTCAAGACTCTACCTCCAGAAAATTGGTCTCTTCATGGGGTGCCAACCATCACCAATAGGAGCGATAGTACGAGTATATATGTTCGAGAGAAGATCGATTTACACTGATTTACACGTCTCATTCTACCGGAGATACGTGGATGATGCCGGGAGTCTAGCCAGCTCCAAAGAAGAAGCTCTGAGGATAGTGGAGTCCATCTCAAACGAGGACCCAGACCAGTTGCTCAAATGGGAAATTGACTATCCGGAAAGCCGTCAGGATTTCAGCCCATTCCTCGACACCCAGATAAAGATCGACGAACAGGGAACACTACACCACAAATTCTACAAAAAGAAGCAGAAAAAGAATATCACACTGCACGCCAACAGCCACCACAATGAGGGAACTAAAGTAGCAACCATCAAGAACTTCTACAAAACGGCTGCTTTTTGCTCATCAACACCAGAGTATAAAGAAGAGTCCATGAAGATAGTAGACAACTTGTTGGTCAACAACGGTTACCAAGACCCACGACGTATAAACAAAACAGGACGACTTCACCCTCTCTCACCTACAACACGTCATAACCCTTCATCATCAAACATACAAGATACCGACCACGTAACATGCACTCTACCATTCATCAACGAGCCATTTTCCAAAGAAGTCACTCAATTTGCCCTCTCACACAACTTAGCGGTCAAATTCATATTCACACCAGGTAAGAAACTCTCAAGATCTTATGTTCATCACGACCACACGACAAACCACACTGCACCATACCAAACTGTATCATATGTCCACTCATCACAACAAATCACGACTGCAAACCAAAATGTGTCATATACAAAGTTACGTGTAAATTATGTCAAGAGCTATATATAGGGGAAACGAGTAGAACAGCACACGATAGATTTTCAGAGCATCGAAGAGCAGTCAACAGGCCTTTAACCTATCCTGATAATGCGTTGGCTGCTCATTATTCAGAGTTTCACGGTAACATAGAACCAGATATTTCCTTCGATATTTTAGAAATTAACTTATATAGCACCATTAAACGTAAAGTGACAGAAGCTTACTACATTAATTTATTTAAACCTAGTATCAATAACAAAGAAGAGTGCGAGAAGCTTAAGGGATTTCTTTTACAACATATTCAAAGACAAATTTAAACAAATAGCACACGACTCTGCTGTTCAGTAGATATTATGTACTTGGACAGAGTGTAAAACGTGTGTACATCACTATTTTCAATGTAATGTACAATACCATTTGATGTAACCTGTATTCAGTGTGTGTAATATTAATTTAGCATTTTAACTAGTATAGAAGCATTTATTATATACTAACATTTATAACAATTTTAGCCTGAAGATGGCGTTGACGCCGAAAATTTGCCCTTACTCCTAACTTCCTTGTTTCACTTGTCCTTGTCTCTTCCAACCGGATAATATCCAGATATCAGTATTTCAATCATGAGACTAATAAACAGCGAACTACTCCGTTATTTGAAATTCCCATAATGTTTAACGGGGTAGTTAACGGGGTCACCTTATCACGTGATTAGGTAAACCAATCACCTGATCACACGTAATGAATAAACTCGTTATGCTTCATATCTCGGTCATCTGAGAAGCTACAGTTCTAATTCTTTCAGGACAAACGTAATTCGAATGGCCTAACACAATTCAATAACATTTAGCTTGATCCGACTATCCAAACTATCAAATAAATGTGAAAATGAACCTCCATTTGAAAAAAATGAACGCGAATATTTTTCGAGTTGACAAATTCCTCGAACCAGTGGTGGTATTAAGTCATAACAGAAGGAAGTATTTCAATTGGGCACTCAGTGACTGAGCTATTAAGGCCAACGTTTGCACACTGACTTTTGGCCCACCCTGTACAATTCACCTGTTAAAACAACTTCAGCTACATTTATGTTCCCTATACTCTTGCTAAGCTTTACAGTGTCCCCGTCAGTGTCGCAGATCAGTGTGTAGATCTGGTCTGCCTGCTCTAGTCCGTATGTTAGTTGGAGTGTCCCGCAGGAGCTCTGTTTTACCTCTCCTTGGTACACTGACACATCTACTTCGTTATGACCATCCACACACATCTTAAAATTAGCTTCATTCTCTGCACACCATTGACTTTCAGGACGGTTTTGGTACCACTCGGTATAAAATTGGTGGTAGATAAGGACCTTGTGGATAAAGTAGGTTCCATCAAACTCTAACTTTATCCAGCCTGCTCCGTTATCAGTGACAGTAGCTGCTACAGTTGAGAGGTCTTTATCGATTGCGTGTGTTGCTGCAAATTGTTCCTCGTTGAGATAAAGTGTTTTTCCTTGTGTAACCTTTGTGGGGGTTAACTCTGCGACTGCCGACTTCAGCTTCAGACCTGAAGTATCACAATTAAAATACTGCACATTTACCTATAATTTGATACAAATTCGGAGAATTTAGTACTTATAGTTATATTACTTATTTTTATTATGAATACTTTTATATTGGTCAAACTCAACCGTATTTTTATATATGATTGCGTTTATTGCATTCGGTTTTATGAAATGACTCTCACTCAATAAACGTCAGCTAATTCACTAACTACCACCCTTGGCCTTATCCCGAAATACTAGGTGTCGACCCGAACGCAACCCAAAGAGATTTTTACAGCATGTGATTGATTTAATTAATCGAAACTTATTACAATTCGTAAGCCGTGAATGAAAGAGAAAATCGAGCGACTGATTTCATTCTCGTATCATTTTGAATATTTTGCAGACGGTCAATCAAATTAATATCATTTCCTTTTGGTTGGGAAAGAGAGACACTGGCAGCGGCCAGCGGTCCACTCTACACATGATTATGGGTTTTGGTCAAATTCGTTTCTCTTTAATAATTAATACAATTCACCTGTTACAACAACTTCAGCTACATTTATGTTCCCTATACTCTTGCTGAGCTTTACAGTGTCCCCGTCAGTGTCACAGATCAGTGTGTAGATCTGGTCTGCCTGCTCTAGTCCGTATGTTAGTTGGAGTGTCCCGCAGGAGCTCTGTTTTACCTCTCCTTGGTACACTGACACATCTACTTCGTTATGACCATCCACACACATCTTAAAATTAGCTTCATTCTCTGCACACCATTGACTTTCAGGACGGTTTTGGTACCACTCGGTATAAAATTGGTGGTAGATAAGGACCTTGTGGATAAAGTAGGTTCCATCAAACTCTAACTTTATCCAGCCTGCTCCGTTATCAGTGACAGTAGCTGCTACAGTTGAGAGGTCTTTATCGATTGCATGTGTTGCTGCAAATTGTTCCTCGTTGAGATAAAGTGTTTTTCCTTGTGTAACCTTTGTGGGGGTCAACTCTGCGACTGCCGACTTTAGCTTTAGACCTGAAGTATCACAATTAAAATACTGCACATTTACCTATTTGATACAAATTCGGAGAATTTAGTACTTATATTACTTATATTTATTATGAATACTTTTATGTTGGACAAACGTATTTTTATATATGATTGCGTTTATTGCATTCGGTTTTATGAAATGACTCTCACTCAACAAACGTCAGCTAATTCACTAACTTCCATCTTTATCCCGAAATACTAGGTGTCGACCCGAACGCAACCCAAAGAGATTTTTACAGCATGTGATTGATTTAATTAATCGAAACCTATTATAATTCGTAAACCCTGAATGAATGAGAAAATCGAGCGACCGATTTCATTCTCGTATCATTTTGCATATTTTGCAGACGGTCAATCAAATTAATATCATTTCCTTTTGGTTGGGAAAGAGAGACACTGGCAGCGGTCCACTCTACCCATGATTATGGGTTTTGGTCAAATTCGTTTCTCTTTAATAATTAATACAATTCACCTGTTACAACAACTTCAGCTACATTTATGTTCCCTATACTCTTGCTGAGCTTTACAGTGTCCCCGTCAGTGTCACAGATCAGTGTGTAGATCTGGTCTGCCTGCTCTAGTCCGTATGTTAGTTGGAGTGTCCCGCAGGAGCTCTGTTTTACCTCTCCTTGGTACACTGACACATCTACTTCGTTATGACCATCCACACACATCTTAAAATTAGCTTCATTCTCTGCACACCATTGACTTTCAGGACGGTTTTGGTACCAGTCGGTATAAAATTGGTGGTAGATAAGGACCTTGTGGATAAAGTAGGTTCCATCAAACTCTAACTTTATCCAGCCTGCTCCGTTATCAGTGACAGTAGCTGCTACAGTTGAGAGGTCTTTATCGATTGCATGTGTTGCTGCAAATTGTTCCTCGTTGAGATAAAGTGTTTTTCCTTGTGTAACCTTTGTGGGGGTTAACTCTGCGACTGCCGACTTTAGCTTTAGACCTGAAGTATCACAATTAAAATACTGCACATTTACCTATTTGATACAAATTCGGAGAATTAAGTACTTATATTACTTATATTTATTATGAATACTTTTATATTGATCAAACGTATTTTTATATATGATTGCGTTTATTGCAGTCGGTTTAATGAAATGGCAGGAGCTATTATATTGGACTACTAGAAAGGGGGTGCACTAGAAAGGGGGTGCACTAGAGGGGGTGGGGTGCACTAGAGGGGGGTGCACTAGAAACCATCAGATCTGGCTGGGAACCCTTATTTACTGAGCACTGTACTATTTTATTTCACCGAAATCGTACGGTAAATATTGGCTTTACTGTTGAAGTCCCCAATAAATCTTGAAACAACCGAAAACAGAATAAAATCTAGTATTAAGTTATTAAAAAAGTAAATCGGTATTTTTGGAAAACCCAGCGCTAATTTATGTCTATAAATTATGTGTATGATATCTTTGTTAAGCTTTTCGATTATAAACAGGAGCTTTGTCATGTTTTTACTTCGCATCAATTTCTCATTATGCTCCAGACTCTGTTAGGGATCGTTCACTTACTACGTAAGGAAATGTATTTTTCAGGGAAAAGTTCACGCAGGTCCCTTATCAATACATAACTGTCCAAAATTTCCATGGCAAAGGCTGTTTACGTTTCCATCTATGCAGTTTTCTGCTATATATATATCAAAAGTTGATTCCTTTGATGCTGTCACTGCTTTTATTGCTACCAATCCTGTTGAAAATGTTTGACTTAGAAGTTTAACTCAATTTTCTTACTTTATATGTGGAATTATGTCTTATCCCTGCCAGCAATGAAATACAGTTATTCTGCATGATTGTAAATATTCTTCAATAATAAATTGTAGTATTGTGTACTTAGATTGTGATAAAAACATCAACTCCTATTATAATGAAAGTAAGTTGGTCACCATTTAATATTAGTGTTTTTCCAAAAGTTTACGTTTTATCTGATTTAATTTCTTAAATAGAATTTACAAATCTAGAGAGCAAATAGGCTGTACATTTCTCTCTCTCTCTCTCTCTCTCTCTCTCTCTCTCTCTCTCTCTCTCTCTCTCTCTCTCTCTCTCTCTCTCTCTCTCTCTCTCTCTCTCTCTCTCTCTCTCTCTCTCTCTCTCTCTCTCTCTCTCTCTCTCTCTCTCTCTCTCTCTCTCTCTCTCTCTCTCTCTCTCTCTCTCTCTCTCTCCTCTCTCTCTCTCTCTCTCTCTCTCTCTCTCTCTCTCTCTCTCTCTCTCTCTCTCTCTCTCTCTCTCTCTCTCTCTCTCTCTCTCTCTCTCTCTCTCTCTCTCTCTCTCTCTCTCTCTCTCTCTCTCTCTCTCTCTCTCTCTCTCTCTCTCTCTCTCTCTCTCTCTCTCTCTCTCTCTCTCTCTCTCTCTCTCTCTGTTCTGGTCAACGGTTTCTGGCCTCTTACTAAAAAGATGGAGGCCTTATCACCGTGCCCACAGAATGCAACTCCTGCTAGCTGCACGCCAGGACTCCCAAAGTATATACGAAATCATAAAATAATAAATATCAATGCAACAGACCCCTGGAGTCTTGAAGCTGTCACTACCTGTCTCAGAGCAAACCCACTTCCGTTGTAGTACTTCTTCGGGCAGACAAGGGACTTCCGAGCAAGGTCAAAGCCTGGGAGATATGTCTCTATGCGGAGATGGGCCTAGGTTGAGTTCCTAGTATGGGATTTAGCGAAAGTTCCTGGTGAAGAATCCTAGGAGGTTACCCAAAAGGGTTTTCCCTATCCAGTCTTGTCGACTGTTCCACAAATTTGAAGATATGATTGTAGTTTACTGTTGTTAAGGTAGAGTTTACCAATCGTCCTCATTCTGAACGTCATGATCTGGATGCACTTGCAGAGGAGGTGCTGGGATGTTTCTGCTTCTCCTGAAAAGTGTTCACAATCTTGCGTCGTTTGCCACACTTTAAATGCAGCTTGGGAATCTGAGAGGAATTTATGATTGATGGAGATCCTAAGATATTATTAGTCCAGATACTTGCCATGTGGTAACGCAAATAGCGGGTACGATTTCCTCAATGAACCTGAAGAAGGAATATCTGTCCTGAATTGATACCATGTAACGTCGAGCTAACAAATGAATCAAAAGTTCGAGTAAATCGTTAAACGTTGTATGTCCTATTTGCATCCCCTAAGCATTGCATTGATGTTTATTCCTGGTCCGGTTAGCTTTGCGTCTCAGAACTATAAAAGAGGTCCACTATGCTTTGGTGAGCTATGCTGTCCACCAGGGTACTGTAGATCTAAGGGTTCCCCGTGTAATGGGGCAGGCTGTGATAAAGCATCTCTGCAGGATTTCCGAGATGAACTGTTTTCGAGTGTTGAGAACTTCCGCTGTAGAAACTGAATAGAACCAGTAAGGATGTCAGTCAAACTCTGCTGCTACTAGATGATTGTAGAGCGTCAGTCACACTTCAATAAAGAGTGTGGCAAAGCTAACCCGGTCCCCTGAAAAGTGGTTACTGGAGGAAGAAGTGCCAGGAATTCTCGCTATCAGTGTGTCCTCGTAGTCAGAGTTGAAATCCCTAATTCTGTCTTATCACGAGCCTGTGTCTAGCGTGTGTCAGCCCTTACGCATTAGCTGTCTTAACTGAAAAGACCCGAAAAGTGGTTACTGGAGGGAGAAGTGCCAAGACTACTCATTATCAGTGTGTCCACTGTCCTTGTTGTCAGGATGAGCGAATTGGAATCCCTAGCTCTGTGGTGGGTGACTTCGATGGGACCTGAAAGCTGAAAGAGAATTTTCTGGTGATTTAATAGCTCTTAGAGCTAGGTATCTGTGTCTAACGTTTCGTCATTTGTGTGTGTACTATCTTGTAACCTGATATCTGAAAGAGAAATTTCCTGGTGCTTGGTAGCTGTTAATGATGACTTCCTGGTTCCTATGGGAACTTTGAGTTGGCAAGTCCCAACCTTTGTACTCAACAAGAGAGCACACCACCCGTTAGTGCCAACCAGGTCACACCACATGGAGGTTCGGAGAGGATTTTGTGACCCTGCCATGCTGTACATTTCATCATAAAATTAAATTTCAATCCGGCAATCTGGCTATGTACAACCCTAATCCCTCTAAAATTATCATTGAAGACAGGCAACTCTGGCATGAACGACACAACCAATAGTTCTTTAATTACTAATTAGCTTAATATTTTAGCAAGTTAACTACTTATAACTTGTCTTAGTCTAGCTCAGTTTGTGACGCAGTAGTTGTCATGGTAATAAGGGACCTATAGTCTAAGCTTTATCATCTTATCGCTGAGATTAAAAAGGTTAGTTTTATTTTTAACATGATATTTTTAATAACAATAACATGCAGAGGAATGAACTAATGATGTCATTTTCACTGTGACCATGCTTTATAAGTTTACTAGAAAAGCGAAAACCCTTGGTCACAGAGAGAAAGCTAATAGTATTCTTTGGTAGTCAGATTTTATAGCATCAACAAATAATAAATATCCATCACAACCGAAGATACAGCCAATTGAAATATTTAATATAGCTCCACTGAACACCACCTAATAAGTAATAACAACAAAATACGATCAAAATGCCCTTCTCGAATCCTTGCACGTGCACGTGCGTGTAATAACCCTCGTTACCATGGTTACTAATACTAATTACTATGTAACTTCCTATTTCTCATCTTATGTGCACGTGGGCGGTCGTACATAAAAAAGAATTCTTTGAATTTTAATATAGATAATAGATGTAAAAAGTTATTTAACATTACTTTTACCTGGACTGCCGTGACACATCTTAAGCGAGAAAGCTAAGATAACGACCAAACACGTCAAACTTTTCTTCATTTCAGAATTTCTCCATTCTAAAACGGTAAGAAATTATGTCCTCTGTATCAATATCATGATAATGATATAGCCATAAGGATCACCTCATCGTGGCGGAAAATCGGCTAAATGTCTTTTATCATTAAAAGTAAAAATCTCCCCTATCTAGGAGTCTTTGGATCTTAGCAAACTGTTCCCCACCCTTAGGCTTATCAAGGAGAGTGGAGCTTTCCAAGGAAAATAAATCAGACGGAATAATCTCGGGAAAGGGAGGCACTAAGTGGGTATGAATGTTGCAGGGGAAAGCGTCATTCGTCCCGAACGCCTGAACCTTAATTTTGCGCTATAGATCTGGATAGTGGTGTGGAGGTGCATGAACCGAATTTGTTTTGACACGTGACAATTGTCCTTGGTTTTGATTGGTCAATGCTGGAAACCACGCAATGCTGTTAAATTCGCACTATAAAAAAAATATAGACGTATTATTCGAATTAAATTCGCATAGTATTTTTTTTCTGATCAAAATTGCCGCATTTAAAAAAATCTAATCGCGTGCCCACATCAAAATTTTCAATTTCACGAATAGAAAGTGGGCTTTGTATCATACATACAAAGTTTGTATGTTGGAATATTGCCAAAACATGTGCTTCCCGCAACACGTGCGTGGTTACTGGTTAGTGACTACTGACTAGCGTGGGTACTGACCACTATACGGCCTCTATACGGCCACTATACGGCCTTTATACGGCCTTTATACGGCCACTTAAAAGATATTTTACATGGCCTTTATACGGTTTTTAAAAGTTTCAATGTTATAGGCACAACATATAACTAAACCGTACTACATTAATTGCAAAACAGACACTGCACTGTACATATATACACTGTGTACAGTTTGAGTTACATGTTCTCACATCACACTCGGGTATATGTGCACATTTTCACTGAAACTCACCGTCCCATACAAGTGTTAGTTTTGTTTTTTGCAGAAAGTATCGCTGTAATGGCCTAGCTCTGTATAGTCTCCTATAAAATGTACCCTAGCCTTATTATACAACTGTTATATACCTTACTCGGGAATATTATAACTGGGATAAAGTGCATGGTGGGTTTTGGAAAATTCCGCCATATTTTTCCCGGTCATTCATTTTCCCAGTCATAAATTAACCCGCTATAAGATTCCCGAGTAAGGTAAACTAATAGTAATACAGTTTGATGCTTGGTGGGTTTTGGAAAATTCCGCCATATTTTTCCCGGTCATTTATTTTCCCAGTCATAAATTAACCCGCTATAAGATTCCCGAGTAAGGTAAACTAATAGTAATACAGTTTGATGCTTGGTGGGTTTTGGAAAATTCCGCCATATTTTTCCCGGTCATTAATTTTTTCCAGTCATAAATTAACCCGCTATAATACTCCCGAGTAAGGTAACTAGGATAACAGCAGTTTGATTTAAAATTAATCTCAATTGGTTAACAAGCGTAACATTTCGATACAATTATTACTTCATACGCAAATGAGTTCCGGGTTCGCGTAACGGTAAACTTCCGCTGGCAAAGTATTTCATGGTGTGGCCGCTTAATTCTTATTTGTTGGTAATCGTTTTTTAATTTAATTACATGGACCGTATGGGTAACGCCAGCGGCGGAGAGACGACCGCATCGCCCTCCGTTATGTTTACCTCATCTGCAGGACGATCCCTGTTTTCTACACTCCTCATCAGCTTCGCCACCTTTAACATACGTGGCCTCGGTTCTTGTGATGATCCAGACGACATCCACAGCAAACGGGAGCAACTGGGTACCGATTGTCTACGGTACGGCATAGATATCTGCGCTATTCAGGAGACTAAGGTTGTAAAACCGGATTCTTGCAGTGTTAGCAACGGATACAAACTTTTATTTTTTTAGCAGAAAAATTGCCGGCACTATGGACTCGGTTTTGTTATCAGTCCCCGATTTATTGACTATGTGGTATGCTGGAACAGTATCAGTGATCGAGTAAGCTTTTTGGACCTAGAACTCCCTACAAAATCTGGAAAATTTATCAAATGTAGGGTGGTCAATGTATATGGGCCACACAAATAACTTGCAGAAAATTATCAACAACTGTCGATTAATTTTTACGGCCAAGCTAGGGACGCTCTAAACGTCCCTACTAATGTTGAGATATTTGTTTTGGGGGATTTTAATTCAAAGTTGGGAAAAATGACTGCTTCAGATAAGGACTTTGGTTTTGGTTGTTTCATGAGAAAACATGGTATGGGTTTGCGCAACGATATGGGAGAAAAATTGTTAGACTTCTTATCAGAATATGACCTCTTTGCCTCCAACATTGGTTTTTATCATCCTGCTCGACATACGACCACCTACACTGGCTGGAGGAAGGACTGGAGTGCCGGGCGAAAAAGTAAAAATACGATCCCGGTCTATTCTCAGATCGATTTCATCCTGTGTCGGAGTAGGTCGAAGCCAATGCTACAAGATTCTAGATCTTATGCACTATGCAGGCACCTTGACATACTCTGATCAAAAATTTTTTTGTCACTAGAGTAGACTTTAAGGACATCTGTCCTTGCTATAAACGCCACTCCAAGTCATCCTTAAAGTTCAACACCTCTGAACTCACCTCGAACCCCACCATTCAGGTGAAATATCGTCAATCCTTAGATGATAACTTAAGTAACACTGTTCCTGCTCTGGATCCAAATTCAGACTTGAATGGCTTACTTGAGTCCATAAAGAATGCTGCAGAATCGTCAATTGGTGTCATCAGACACAGGAAACGTAATCGCAGCGACGATGATGAAGTAAAAAACTTATCTAGCCAGCGTTACTTGTTGAGACAGCAGCTTTATAATAACCAGTCTTTAGACAGAACCTCACTTAAAGCATCTATTAACCGCCTCACCAATCAGATCAAGGCTCAAGCAGCGACTTTCTAACATACGATCAGCTGCTGCTGATGCTATCTGTAACACTATCAGTTCAACAACAGATAGTAAGAAAATTTTTGAAGCTATTCGAACCCTGAACTTACCTAAAGCCCCTTCTAGTATTGGTGTTCATGATGAGCAAGGGTGCCATATTGCAACAGACACTGGTAAAGCTGCCGTAGTTACTAAGTACCTTGAGCAACAACTTACTCGTGATGAAGCACCTTTAGAACCTTTTGCAGGACCTCCTCGCCCACTAGTTAAGCCATTCACTAGTGAAGAAATCGGATCAGCTGCCAGAAGTCTCAAAAATGGTCGAGCTAACGGCCCAGATGGGATTCCTAACGAGCTTCTCAAGTATTCTACTGGATCAGTACACAGACGTTTTGCAGACATTATCAATAGAAGCTTCGAGACCAATTCCTACCTTGACCCCATTGGACAGGCAAACATTACCCCCTTACAGAAGCCAAATAAGCCCATTGGTCAAGTGAAGAATCTACGACCCCTCACTCTCTCAAATGCTGTTAGAAAAATTCCTTCAATGGCAACCTTGAAGAGAATTGAGAATAAAGTCAATGCCTTCACTGGTCCATGGCAATGTGCTTACAAGCAGGGTAGATGATCATGTGCTGACATTGTATGGTGCCAGCGTGTGATGTTATCAGTTGTCCAGAGGAAGAGGTGGGAATACCATCGTATGGGGATCCTTTGACACTATACGACGATCTACCATTCTCGATCTTCTTGTTGAGTGTGGCTGTGATGATGACGAAGTCCGTTTGGTAAGAATTTTGCTTTCCAACACCAAGCTCAAAGTCAATGTCAACGGTACACTATCTGCACTCTGCTGAATTCCAGAGTTTTCTCGGTGCATTCCAAGGTGACTGTCTGTCTGGATGCTTGTTCACACTTGTCTTAGCGGGTGCCTTGCGTGACCTCCGTAACAGGCTTGAAACTGCAATGAATAGGCCTAACCCACCTATCACCGATATCGGTCTTCCACTTGACAGTAAGTATGCTGATGATATCGACTTCAATGATAAAGATAAGGACAATTTGAGGGAGCTATTGCAACAGAAGTCCTTAAAAATTGGAATCTCTTCGTTAACGAAGACAAAACTGATTTCACTCATGTGTACTTAGCTGAAAAGGGAGCTAAAGACGATCAGGGTAAGCCAATTGCAGGGAACGAGCTCTGGAGAAAGAGTATCACGCTTGGCTCCATGCTTTGTAGTAAGGAGGACATCTCTAGAAGAATATGTCTGGGATATGCCGCGTTCAACAAATACAAGAAAGCTTGGAACCATAAGATCCCTCTGAGCAAGAGGCTACTGTTGTATGAGGCTTTGGTAGTATCCGTTTTAATGTACAATTCATCTTGCTGGGCTGCCCCAAAATCAGTGTTGGAAAAACTAGATATTGCTCACAGACGTAATCTGCGATCAATTTTGAATTACAAATACCCTCACATAATTTCCAACAAGAATTTGTATAAACGCTGCAATAGCGAACCATTGTCAGCTAAAGTGGCTCGTAGTCGGTGGAGGATGCTCGGACATGTACTGCGTGGGCCTACAGATGGTCCAGCCTATTCGTCGCTTGTTTTTCCTGTTAACAATAACACCTTACAGCTTCAAGGGCGGCGTGGAAGACCGCAGTCAAACCTTTTCTCACTGATTCTATTTCTACAAGACCTTAGTGTTCGAAAATTATCGTTGAATAATTTATGTGATTTGAACTATTTAACGTTAAGTGCTCAGAATAGAGTTAAATGGAGAAGTATGCAAATTGCATGACTTTTGATTTGAGAAAGATTAGGGGACAGAAATGTTTACTTTGTTTACTTTCTGTTTCTTAGAGCTTTTGTTTATAATTGGGCATTGATACAAATTAATCCAACTGCCTTCTTAAAGGTTTCAATTAAGAAGGCTTGAAGATATTTAATCATTCATGGTATATCCTCGCGGAATGGTCTTAAAATCGTAAAGTGCAGTCATAATATTTACAGTATTTTTGGTCATAGAACAGACAAGGCTGGTCGGTCGGAGGTCGGTCGGGCGCCGGTCGGCGGTAGGTGAACGCCGGTCGGAGGTCAGTCGGAGGTTGGTCGGAGGTTGGTCGGAGGTCGATCGGGTGCCGGTCGGGCGCCGGTCGAGCGCCGGTCGGGTGTCGGTCGGAGGTCGGTCGGAGGTCGGTCGGAGGTCGGTCGGTCGGAGGTCGGTCGGAGGTCCCACCACTTCAACAGAACAGGCTATACTAACACTATCGAAAGTACAAAAACTGAACTGAGGAAAAGAACAACTCACCATTAGAAAGAACAGCTCTTGTATCTATAATTAACAGTGCTTATCAATTGTGCTTGTTGATGATGTTTTAACAAGAATTGCGCCGGTTAGCGGACGCCATGCTTTTTTTTTAATTTAAAGTTACAATGAACGATAGTTTCATGTTGGTCAAAATATTAAATAATAAGCAGTTACATCACTGCTTATAATGTGATAACATTATTTTCACAACTTTGAGTTGTGAAAATAGTTTTATCCAACGAGTTTGACGAGTTGGATAAAACGAGTTACATACCGAGGTTTGAGTTTGACCGAGGTGTGTAACTCATGTTGGGCTCATGTTATAATATCATAAGCAGTGATGTAAATGCATTCTCTGATGATCTACGAAATGATGCTAGCGAATGCAGTATTTAGTTTTACATCGGAAATTAACGACCGATAATATTACTACATATACAATATAACATTCCAGAGTCAAACTTTCTAGACGACACATCCTTATCTTTTAAAATTGTTACAAGTCACTGAGATGTTGCGAATTATTTTTAAAACAGAAAGTGGCATAACTTATGTTCTGATAGAATTTTTGCTTCAAAATTTTACTGAATGTCAATAACAAGTAGTCAAACATTTGTAGTAAGTTTTGTGTGAGTGTGAGCTTATTTGACCAATTTAAAATAATTAGCAACATCTCAGCGACCTGTAACCATTTTAAGAGATAAGGATGGACCAGGGAGACAACAATAGTTATCTCCCTCCTATTTACCTGTTAATCACAGCCTAAATGTAGTACCAGGGAGATAACAATAGTTATCTCCCTCCCAGTTATTGCACCCCTATTTAATGCATTATATTAGCGTAAACTTAAGAGTAAGATAACAACTTTTACATTATTGACAGTTACATACTGATCATGCTAGAGAATGGTTCTTTATTCATAATTCTTGGGGCGCTACGGAACACATAATGGAGGGGTTGCCATTGTCATAGTGTGCTAAATCACTCTACAGTCGATCTTCGAGATTGTTCTAAAAGGGCCCCCGACAGTTGAAACCAACTTCAATCGATGTATTTTCGGACGCCGATTCCGAATCACCATGACATAGGGGTAAAATTCTCCCCTGACGAGATATTGGCGAAAAACTGTCTTGATCACGTGATATGACCGTATAAGGAAGTTAGTCTAATTTCTCGTTAGGGTTAGGGTTTCAGCATATGCTTTTGCTAAGGATTCGGTTAGTCTATGTAATAAGCACCATGAGTTGGCACAGAATTTTTTGTCTCTGATTTTGATAAATTTGGTACCAAAGGTTGCCTCTAAGTGTGAATAATGAAAATTCACCGTGTAGCACGATAACGTCGAGCTGTATGTGGGCCTTTTGTGCATCGCAAGAGTGTAAAAAGGACGAAAAATGGGTAATTGATTGCTTAAAATGCCTGTAAACCCTAACATATTGAACATTTTGAAATAATTCATACAGGATCGTAATGAGCTTAGTCAGACGCAACTTTTAGTACCAAAATTATAATATTTGAAGCACAAAAATTTTCAATAATAATTTTTCTTTAAATCTTAAAATATTAGTACCAAAAGTTTCGTCTCGATGAGCTTATTACGATGCCATAATAATTACGTGATAATAACTGAAAATGTGAAAGTTATAGGCCTAGGCCAAAAACTAAAAATTTGCGCGAAAAAAGCACGCGCGGCGAATTACAAGCTGCAAGCGCCGTGTAACGTTTTTAGCGAAATTAATTGCTACACGGTGGATTTATTTTATTCACATTTTTAGACAACATTTGGTACCAAATTTATCGAAATCGGAGAAAAAAAGTTATGTGCTCGCGCTTTACTTGGCGCTTATTACACTGACTATTAGGGTTATGGTTGGTCGAATAGTCGTTCAGGACCAGCTAGAGAACGGGTTGAAAAAGTCACGTGACAGTCGAGTGTAGAGTGATTAATCATCATCCTTTTCAATCGATAATGTAATGGGTCGGTACGTATCAAAAGATCCCACAATTAACCGTTCAGAATGCGTGGGGCAGCGGCATCTCCAATCTCCAAGCCACAAGCGCAGCTGAAAAGCATGTGCGCTGCGCGCGAATTAACTTCCCACGTTATTTTGGCGGCATGGTATCTGCATGATTCTTTTCGCGTGCTCCAATCAGATTCATTTTCAGGTTCTTCGCGAAAGTTCTCTGGAAGACTAACTTCTAGCATCCAGGGTCACGCCGGAGATTTCACGGATTGCACGGGTAGGTATGCACTATGCAGTATGCAGTCACCAGTCTAAACACTAATTTTCGTATCAATAATTCCATTTAAAAATAACTGAATTATCTCCTATATTATTATATATTATATATATGGGGGGGTATGCAACGACCATTAATGACCATTAATGACCATTAATGACCATTAATGACCATTAATGACCATTAATGACCATTAATGACCATTAATGACCATTAATGACCATTAATGACCATTAATGACCATTAATGACAATGTCAGTTTTGTCAAAATTTCATCTACTGACATTAATGGTCATGTTTTTTCCGGCACTTCTTAGAGCGAAAAGGACGGACGCCTGCATCACTTAGACCCTACCTTAAGTTAACTGACTACAAGTATATGTTATTATTTTACATTTACAATTAGAGATTCGAAAGAGAAAACTTAGAATAGAATCTTCCGTGGTTAGGCAGACCTTCCAGAATATCACTTGAGTGGATTCCAGAGTGAGTTAGGGATTACATTTATTAAGTTCGAATGTAATGAAGAACAAATTTTGCGGCCACGGGATTTAAACCAGATAACAGTTGGTGACTTATAGTTATCAATAATAATAATTCAAAGGGCAATTTAGGAGTATCAGATCGTATCAATAGTAAAATAACAATCAATAATAAAATAATAATAACACGGGTATTAAAATTAAATACTTCGTTCCCGTTCCGGGGGGGGGGGGGGGGGGGGGGGGATCAGGTACCAAGTGCCGGACATCACGTCGACTAAGTGTAGTTTTGGATATTTTTCACTAGACCCACCCACCCCCTTTGCGGTACTAACTGTTTTTTTGGATAATACGTAAGACACCCACCACTTTTGCCGCATTTTGCGGTACTAACTGTCGAAAAATCGTGGTACTAACTGTTTTTTGGTATATAGAATAAGATACCCACCCATAAATTGCTTTAAACAGCTCATTAAACATTGGAAATGGGAAAATTATACCCACTATTTAGTAGGGGTTTTGTTTTCAATGTAGTCGAATTAGATAAAAAGTTACACAAAAAATTTACAAAAAACCCAAAAAAAACTCAAAACCCATTCCCAAAATTGAAATTTGAGGTAAAATGGTTTTTTTTGGGGTTGGACACCCAAAAAATGAACCCCTTAGTACCATGTACTAACTGTTTTTCTGGAAAATGGGCAGTAGACCCACCAGTTAGTACCATGTACTAACTGTTTTTCTGGAAAATGGGCAGTAGACCCACCAGTTAGTACCATGTACTAACTGTGTTTTTGGGAGAAAAAATGACCCACCCACCAACGTCATGTCCGGTACTAAGTGTATGATCCCCCCGCCCGTTCTTATATCAACGTATAACAGAATGGTGCTTGGCACTCATTCCGAAACCGAGGTCCGAGCCTCTATTAGGCGAATATTAATTCGTTTTCTCAAACGAGACTCTGGCAATCGATGTAGGGGGCTGTGAGAAACTTTATAGAAGTGATACAAAGTGATCATAATTGTAAATTTCTTGGACATTTTCCAAGATAGTTCAGAATTTCAATTATTTAATGACCATTAATGACCATTACTGACCATTAATGACCATTAATGACCATTAATGACCATTAATGACCATTAATGACCATTAATGACAATGTCAGTTTTGACAAAATTCGATCTACTGACATTAATGGTCGTTGCATCCCCCCCCCTATATATGTATGTGACCAGGCAGCAGGCTCCCAGAGGAAAAACCAGCGCCTACATTCTACAAATTCCATCACGTACGACTTGAATCCAGGAAATCTTTTTCTAATGATGAGCAGTTAAAATAACTGGATTGCTGAAATGCTGTTGATATTAAAATATATTTAATTATAAGTTATAATTTTTGTGATAAACTAAAAATTAATATAAAGAAAAAATTAATTTGATTAAAAATAACGTCCAGTACTGAACATTTTAGATTGGAATAATCATACTTCAAATTTAAACAAAAATAATAAATTAATATACGTGAAAAAATTCTGAAATGTTCGATACAGTCGTCAAGTTTCCGCGATCTTCATTCCATTCTGTTTCTTTTAGCAGGAGGGTAACCTTTGCTGACCTGTTTTCTGGATAGGGGAATTTGTTTCAATTTACTGAATGTATCGGTGTCATTTTAAAATAATCCTGTACCGTGTTGCCAGGTACAGGATTAAAAAGGATCGTTCACATATTAAGTTAGCCTACTTTAGATCCCTCTCTGTAAACCACGTTAAACATAGCTGGCGTGTAGAAATTACACCAACGTAATCTTTTCCAGACCCCCTAGCTTGACTTACGTAAAATGTGAATGATTATCCCTAATGCTACCGCAATCGGTCGATCGAAAGATTCTTCGAATTGCCTTATGAAAAGAATTTTAAATCGTTTGTAATGTGTTTCACTCGTTTAGAAGCCATTTACAATACAATGTATGATTGGATTAGCCCAGACTTTTCACATTTTCGAGCGACCGAGGAGACAAACGCTGACGTTTCCAACAAGTAAAACAGTTCATTACATAAAATATCAACAAAATAATATGTAACGAAATTCTACAAGATTCAACTTCATGACATCTAGCAATAAATTAACAAGGACGTTGGTCACTGTTTACTGTTTAGTGTTTTCGTTGGTGGTCACGTGGATATATGGAAACTGCTATTCCTAAACAACAAGAAACTCCTAAAACATTAACAACAATTAGGAGCTAGTTAATTTAACGATTTGGTTAAGTATATATAATGATTTTATCAACATTGTCCAGTCATCAATGGTGGGTGTAAACTGTAAAGTTCATTACTTTTCGCTGCTTTCGAAGTATTCTTTGGATCCCTGTACGTCGGGTTTGATTGTGTCACTTCCTGGATTCCAGCCTGCAAAAATAACATGTTTAGAATTCCTCGAATCATTAACTGAAATTCTGGTAACTATTGGGATTACTCAGAAATTCGAATTTGATACTGCAGAAAAACGTGACATGATCAGGACTATTTGGTTGCTATCGTACGCGTAGGAATTCTAAAAATCCAGTGTTAGGAAATCTAAAAGAATTGTAATCTCAAGGAATAGCGCCCTATTATTACGCTGTTACCGTAACCTAGTTCAGTGTAACCGTACGAGATGAACAATAATGGGACAGAGTATTGTGATTGTGAGCAGTAGCTCATTGTTATGATATGACTTCACAACCTCTTATTTGGCTACCCTCCATATATTATCCCTTCCGAATTCCAATAACTGTAACTTCTACATATTTCGGGGATATATCTACAGGCTTGTGTAGTGTGTGTGAGGTGCTAGGTTACATATTATTTACATAATGTCTGAGGTTTAGATTCCCTGAATACTCAGCTTATCTCTAACAACGTACACTGTCGGTTTAAAAATACATTATATCAGAGTTCCAGGGTACAAGCTAAAGTCACACGTTAGTATGGGACTTAGTATGTGACTTCCGTTTTAGTATTATAATATTATATTATAAAAAAAGTAGGAACAATAATTATATTATCGGAAAATTGAGTTTATAATAAAAAAGAGACGTATGATCTTATAAAACAAACCATATCTTGTCAACAGTTAAGAAGTGAAGCTTGAAAGCTTTCCTGTACTGTATAATATTATATATTCTTAACAGTGACCTTTAGTGAACATTAAACAACTAACGTGAATGAAGCAATATAAGAAGGTAATATTTTATATTTTTTATAGTTTCAAAAACACTAGTATTATAAATATTACGCTTTATTTCTTGTATTTTAATTTTTCCTTTAATTTTCTCGCTCTATACTAACAGTTACAAGTTAGTTATCAGTTTAACAAGCGTGTGTTTAACATTACGGATGTGCAAAAATAAAAGTAGTAACTATAAAACTACTGTTGCATTACACAATAATGTGAAGAATATAAATCTTGAAACGATAAATTCTAAATAAGAAAAATACTGATATGCAGCAGGAGATTATCATTTATCAGTAATTTCTACATTATCAGCCATATCACATTGCTAGATGTAAAGCTGCCACACAGCTATGTTAAGATATTATACCTTTGTGTATGATTAATGAAACATGTGTGTTTGCGGTATGTGACTTTGATGAAGCATGTTTGTCAGTGGGGGTAACAGGGGGTTAGCACAGCTTACACTCCACATTCCAGCAGCCCTATATTCCTACATACTCTGACTAGTTATAATATACAGTGAACCAGAGAGGGGGAGGGGGTGGCACAAGTTTTTACAAGAATTCTTAGGGAAACTTGAAACTTCCTTGTTCAGCGAATAAGGTTCACGCTTTCTATTAATTTTTAATACATATATGTAGGCTACGACCCGATTTGTCTTAATCGGCCAAGTCAAAATGCTGAGAAAAGTTTCTATTTTTGGTTTCTACGGCTTTACTTTTTAATTTTCTGTATTTCCTGTAATTTCTTTAGCTAAAACACAAAATTGGACTAATATAAATTCGAGGAGTCTTAATCCTCCTCCTAGCGTCCTAAGGTTGCGTTTATCTTCCTTGTTTGCGACTTGTATGCATTTTAAGCAACTGTAGGCTAAAACCCAATTTTGTCTTAATCGGCCAAGTCAAAGTGGTGGGAGAATTTTCGTTAATGGTTTCTAGGGCTTTATCTTATAATTTTCTGTAATTCCTGTAATTACTTAAGCTACAAAAGAACCGCCTAGCATCCTAGAGCGGCGCTTATCTTGTATCAAACATGTAGTAACAGCAGACACAAAACCGCCCAACGCAACGGCATAATGATTGCTCAATAATGGCTTGATATCCAAGATTAAATTTACCATCATAATCTACAGAACCAAAAGGAATGTCACACTCTTAGGTACAACCCGGATATCAGTCACTAGAATAGAAAGGGTAGCTTTTACCCCGCCCTCTACTACTATACTATCAAAACTAATAATCCCAGTAAATCTGTGTACATGTGTTTTTCTGTCTGTCTGTGGGTAATTTCCGAACGGCTTAATCAAGAAAACGGTAAGAGTTATGGGGCTGGTTTTTTCGATATAGTGCCGAAAAAGCCAAATGATTAAGGTTTTTGAAATCGGCCGGTGGTAAGTGGTTTAATTGATGGTTTTGTACTGCAAATGTGATATTAAAGTGACTCACTTTTTGTCCCTCTCTCACACATTCTCCCCATTTACAGCTCCCCTAATTACTGCTTTGTACATAATTAGGTAATTTGGCAGTGGAGCCTATTAAGTATTACTATATATTTGATGCGTATTACGTGATGGGCGCTCATAATTGAATTTACTCTAATGCGGTCGGTTTCGACTGAACAAGCTTTAACTTTTGCACTGTTTATGCTTTTGCAATTCAATTGCGATAGTGAAGTCCCGGCCGTATGTATATTAGTATTTAACTTTTTCTCATTTTAACAAAACTTTTCTCATTTAACACCACCATTCATAGGGACTTCAACACGCTAAACTACACACAAAGGAGGACAATAAAAGACTGGTTCAACCAATCAGGACACAGCATTTCACGGCTGTCCAATCAGAGGGGGTTATTATCTAACACGGTAATAGTAAAAAGGTAGTTAGGGTACTAATGCCCTTATCTTGGAATGAGACAATGGACACATAAATATTTGAGACATAATTACATAAATTATGAACAAATATATTTTATGTGTCTAACGAACACAATTAACAGGTATACGTTTACAATTAATGGTTATTCGTCTCTGCTCTGTAATAATCGTAACTGATTAATGTGAAAAATTAAATTCGTGGGCTGTTTGCAAATGTGCCGAACTTGAATTCCATGTGATGCATCACTTTGAGTAGTTGGGCAATGTGAAATTTGATAGTAGAGTAATGTTGAATTTAACTTCCAGCGAATTAATTGGATCATGATCCAAATTTTAATGAACTGACTAATAAGTGTGATGGTAATATAAGTTGCGAAACAAGGAACCCTCTAGGCTCTATAAGAGGGTTCCATTGTCAATACTAATAATCCCAGAATGTGTGTTTGTGTGCGGTTTAATCAAGAAAACGGTAAGAGTTATGGGACTGTATTATATATGTATATAATCTGTTACCATTTTACTGACACCACGACATCAACTTTAACACAACTTTTCGCGAAAACCGTGAGAGATATACCATCGAAACTTTTTTGGTTGGGTTGAATGTTTTTATTGCCTTTTGACCAGTATGAAGAAATACAAAATTGGCCAAGGAATAAGAACTTTAGGTTTAAAGTTTGGAAATTTGGACCTCCAAATGGTGTAAAATCACAACATAAATAAATATTATTTTATCTTGACACCACTTTAGGGTTAGACGGGTTTCTGCTAGTATATATAACTTAAGACTAAGGAACAAGTAACCAAGTTGATGACTTCAAAATATGCAAACGAGAGAAATGAACAGCAAATAATTAGCGTAAGGAAACAATTATCAGCCATACAGCCGGTCTGTGCTCCACTATTTTACATGATTAATTAGTGATAATTGAATAATTAATTAGTGACAATTAATTAATTAATTAATGATATAATTGAATAATTAAAGATAACTGACAGTAGACAGAGTGAGAGCAGGGCTCAGTGAGTGCTTCCTTATATATTATCATCAGGGAGAAGCTCAGAAGGTGTGAATTTAGTTGACTGATTTATGAACTCCCTCCACCATGGTAAGAAATTTCAGAAAATTCAATCATAATTAATCAGTAATAATTGAATGATTTCAGATTTAAACTTTACTTGTTCTGACAGGATGGCTGTACAATCAAAGTAATTTTGATTATTCTGGAATTTTCGTGGAGTGGTCGTTGTTAAGCACGGCGAAGCTAGTGCACGAACAAAATACTAGTGCCGATTGCTAGATTTTTAAAACATCATTAACAAGCACAATTGATAAGCACTGTTATAGATACAAGAGATGTTATTTCTAATGGTGAGTTGTTCTTTTCTTCAGTTCAGTTTTTGTATTTTCGATAGTGTTAGTATAGCCTGTTCTGTTGAAATGGTGGGACAAAGTTAAATAATTATTTAACCTCATGTTTTTTTCAAAACTTTAACTGAGATCTGTTATTATATCATATTATAGGAGATAAGTTGGCAGTTAAAGGTAAAAATACTGTACATATTATGACTGTACTTTACGATTTTATGACCATTCCGCGAGGCAGTTGGATTAATTTGTATCAGTGCCCAATTAATTAAATTAAAAAAAGATTACCAACAAATAAGAATTAAGCGGTCACACCGGTCACACCATGAAATACTTTGCCAGTGGAAGTTTATGGGAACTCATTTGCGTATGAAGTCCTAATTGTATCAAAATGTTACACTTGTAAACCAATTGAGATTAAATTAAACTGCAGTTATATAACAGTTGTAATATAACAATTGTATAATAAGGATAGGGTACATATTATAGGAGACTATACAGAGGCCATTACAGCGATACTTTCTGCAAAAAACATAAAACTAACACTTGTATGGGAGGGTGAGTTTCAGTGAAAATGTGCACATATACCCGAGTGTGATGTGAGAACATGTAACTGTACACAGTGTGTATATATACATTGTACAGTGCAGTGTCTGTTTTGCAATTAATGTAGCACGGTTTAGTTATATGTTGTGCCTTGACAATACAACAAGTTTTCCAGTAAAAAGAACAGAAGAAATTAGTCAAATCCATCAATAACATATAATCAATAACATGTTATCAGTAAAAAATATAATCAATAAAATGTAACATGTAACTAACTAAAGAACAAGCTAACTCATAAATAACTAAAATAACTAACAAGCTGCACTGCACAGGATGTTTGGCAAGTACAGCAAGGTAGTGTACGGTACAGCAGCAGCAGCAGGAACACTAGGACTAGTCTACTTGGTGGGCAGAGACACCAGTCCCCCAGTCAAACCCTTCCCTGACATCAAATCTAAACACTCTCTCGTAGCTAAACATGTGACTCTGGACAAATGGAACAAGCTCAGTAACATCAAGACAGAAACCTCAGGGTTCACTCTTGATCAGGCCATCGCGTGCGCGGTTCAGTTTGATAACCAGCATTGCGGGATCTACGCGGGAGATGCTGACTCCTACAAGGACTTTGCTCTGGTGTTCGACCCCCTGATCCAGGAATACCACGGTATCGGACCTGATGCTACTCATACCTCCGACATGGACGTGTCAAAGATCAGAGGCACCATCAACCCAGCCGCTCCAGTTCACTCCACTAGAATCAGGGTAGGACGCTCTTTCAACGGGTTTGGTCTGTCTCCCGGGATCACCAGAGAACAGAGGTTGGAGCTAGAGGGACTGCTGAAGAACGCACTGGAGGCACTTGACGGAGAACTGAGTGGTAACTACTTCCCTTTGCTAGGTATGGACGAGGCAGTGAGACAGCAGCTGGTGGATGACCACTTCCTGTTTGTTTCAGGAGATAGGAACCTGATAGCAGCGGGGATGGAGAGGGACTGGCCGGAGGGTCGGGGTATCTATCATAACAAGGACAAGACTTTCCTGGTGTGGGTAAACGAGGAGGACCAGACAAGAATCATCTCAATGCAGAAGGGAGGCGATGTTAAAGAGGTATTCTCCAGACTTGCTAGCGGAATCGAAGCTGTCGGCAAGTCTGTAAAAGATGCATCGGGCAAGGAATTTCTGATCGACCCCAAATATGGCTACATGCATTCTTGTCCCACAAATCTTGGTACAGGCATGCGCGCATCTGTGCACGTGGACTTACCAGGCTGGACGAAAGAGGGCCCAGGTAAGTTGGAGGCACGGTGTGAGCAGCTGAACCTGCAACCCAGAGGTACCCGCGGAGAGAGCGGTGGACAAACGGGGATTACCTACGATATCTCCAACAAGCACAGGCTAGGATACAGCGAGGTTGAACTTGTACAATGTATGATAGATGGAGTTAACAGACTCTTCTTGGAGGACTTGGTGTTGCAGAAGAAACACAATATGTTCTAGAATGTTACTTGTTAGATTGTTATATACAGTTACAAACTTGCTCATACTTCCCAGACACCTCACCTAATTGTGACTGATTGCATATTTCTTCACGCCACAGTTTACGTAATTAGAAGTTGTTCAGGAACGTTGATATAATTGAAGTGAAATGTGAATTTGATTTGTTAAATTGTTAAATGTAACTATGTACTTCTTTATCGTTTCATCATAATATTATGAACTTGAAACAAAATTTTCAAAAAACCTACTCAAGTTACTCGTTACTTTTTAACTTTCTGAAAACTTGAAGTCTTTGCAATTTACTACTTAGGAATCAAAAACAGCAATAAGTACACGACTCCCACTAGACATTAAAAAGTTCAAACAAACCAATCTTTTAATCAAATATTGTTTGAAGTCTGCCAATCACACGAACACCATTTCATTGTCTAAATATTCCACCATATGGTAAATTATAATGTAAGTCAAGCTGGTGGACTTCACAAGAATTTAATCAGCAAGTACACTACGTTAGCTCACTCGTGGTCTGCCACAGGACATTTTATTAATCTACAACTTTGTGATATTTAAACGACCAATTTGTCTGGTCAAGAAAAACCGGTCATATAGCAGCAATGTAACATACGAAGATCTATTAGCGAGCCATTAAGATGTGTCAGAGTTTCAAGGATAAATGTTCATGAAATTACAGGTCAATCTGTCTAACATTTAGGCTAGTGTAACAGAGCGGCCAGTGTAAACCAGTGTAATATTATGCAGCCCAGAGTTTTTGGGCGGTATAATGCAGATGTAGCGCTGAAGTCAAATGAGCCGACGCGGACGGTCTCTGAAAGGGACTATTAACCGCATTTAAAGGCGTCTATAGTGCTATAGTACTGTGCTATAGTGCTAGAGTACTGTGCTATAGTGCTAGAGTACTGTGCTGGGGGTGATGCAACGTCAATTAATGTCAATTAATGTCAATTAATGTCAATTAATGCCAATTAATGTCAATTAATGTCAATTAATGTCAATTAATGTCAATTAATGTCAATTAATGTCAATGTCAGTTTTGCAAAATTTTGGAATACTGACATTAATTGACACGATATTTTTCGACCAAAGATTATGTAGTTCTACCATATTTTTAGCACTTAAGAACGTTTATATTATCAATTTATTCACTACTATCACATATGGAAATGTGAAATGTGAAAAAATTAAGATCATTAAACAATAAAACTAAAATAATACGGTTTTCCGAAATTTAATTTTCTTAAATGGGCGTGGCCATCCAAGGGCGTGGTTCTCAACATCATCAGAACTTAAAACCCACATTAAACGAAATGCCTTCATGACATTTATATTTGAATAACGAATCTTAAACAGCTAACAGTACTCCTTCATACTAAAAAAGCCGATTCTAGATATTTTACCTGTATAAGAAACCAATAAAATATGGGCGTGGCCGGTGGGGACCGAAGATGGAAAAGTTGGAAGCTGAAATTTTTTTTGGTGGTCTTTGAACCTAAGGATCAACAGATAAGAACATACTCATAATTATTCAAGGACATTTTGTTTTTTTAAACCGGTCTAACTTACATAGACGTGAATATCTTGAATATTTATCAAATAATGATAATCTCAAATTTCAAGACAAATTAATGTCAATTAATGTCAATTAATGTCAATTAATGTCAATTAATGTCAATTTATGTCAATTAATGTCAATTAATGTCAATGTCAGTTTGGGGTTTTTATGGAATACTGACATTAATTGACGTTGCATCACCCCCAGCACAGTACTCTAGCACTATAGCACTATAGCACAGTACTCTAGCACTATAGCACAGTACTATAGCACTATAGACGCCTTTAAATGCGGTTAATAGTCCCTTTCAGAGACCGTCCGCGTCGGCTCATTTGTGCTATAGTGATGTGCTATAGTGCTAGAGTACTGTGCTATAGTGCTAGAGTACTGTGCTATAGTGCTAGAATACTGTGCTATAGTGCTATAGTGATGTGCTATAGTGCTAGAGTACTGTGCTATAGTGCTAGAGTACTGTGCTATAGTGCTAGAGTACTGTGCTATAGTGCTAGAGTACTGTGCTATAGTGCTAGAGTACTGTGCTATAATAGTGCTAGAGTACTGTGCTATAGTGCTAGAGTACTGTGCTATAGTGCTAGAGTACTGTGCTATAGTGCTAGAGTACTGTGCTATAGTGCTAGAGTACTGTGCTATAGTGCTAGAGTACTGTGCTATAGTGCTATAGTGATGTGCTATAGTGCTAGAGTACTGTGCTATAGTGCTAGAGTACTGTGCTATAGTGCTAGAGTACTGTGCTATAGTGCTAGAGTACTGTGCTATAGTGCTAGAGTACTGTGCTATAGTGCTAGAGTACTGTGCTATAGTGCTAGAGTACTGTGCTATAGTGCTAGAGTACTGTGCTATAGTGCTAGAGTACTGTGCTATAGTGCTAGAGTACTGTGCTATAGTGCTAGAGTACTGTGCTATAGTGCTAGAGTACTGTGCTATAGTGCTATAGTACTGTGCTATAGTGCTAGAGTACTGTGCTATAGTGCTAGAGTACTGTGCTATAGCAATAAAATGGCGGCTAAGCCAGTGATATCTTCAGCAGAACCAATTTGGTCGGTAACCACAATTCCACAGTCCCATTCTAATCCCGCAGTTAATCAACTCTTCTTAGAGGACTCCCAATAGAAGAACACCTTGTTCTAGAATAGAATAAATAATCTCCCTCCAGGTTATTCTAGAATGTTTCACGTAATAATCCACTGTTCTGATCACGTTAGAGAAGTAGAGTCACCTAGCAACACATCATACGTCTTCACTTACACCAATCAGAATATACGTTCAACGCATTATAACGGGTTTGTGTGGATAACCTAGTTTTACTAATGAAATCAGGATATGATCTAATTTGGAGATATATCGTGAATATTGGATTACAATTCACTCAGGATGGGATGTAGGAGAAAAGCTACCAAATTTTCGCCATAAATTTGTGTAGATTTTGTGTAGATTTTCGCCACGTTAGGTCTGAGAAGTGCAACACCATAATTTTACCGAGTAGAACTAATAATGTATAGTTATAAGTTCAGCACTAATAATATGATACAATAAGTGAATTTAGCATCCTCACGTCATCTTGATGTGTAAGTAAAGCTCGCATTCCATCTCTGCCATGAAGGCGCTGTGTTAATATTGATTTAATGGAATCTGGTTAAGGGGGCAGGGGGGGGTCTTCATGGAAATTTTCTCAAAATCGGTTTTTTAGTTGTTTCTGATAGAGGGGAGTGATATCTATCAGATGCTTTTAATCCGATAGAAAAATATTGTTCCTAGCCGAAATTATCGCCGGTAAAAGGTCAGCGCTTGTGTGTAATTGTATTGCGCGAGCGATTTTTGATCGCGTGCCCTGAAAATCGAGTCTAAAAATCTATCTTCTCCTACATTTTTTTAGCAATCACCCTCAAACTTTCAGGATATGTTCTAGGGATCATTTAGAAGAGATAGGCCTTTAAACATTTTTTATTCGATTTTAAAAATCTTGGACCTCGAAAAATCGTCAAAAAACCAGGTCCAAGATTTTCAAAATCGAATAAAAAATGTTTAAAGGCCTATCTCAAAATTTTGCCCGGACAATCTCTTCTAAATGATCCCTAGAACATATCCTGAAAGTTTGAGGGTGATTGCTCAAAAAATGTAGGAGGAGATAGATTTTTAGACTCGATTTCCAGGGCACGCGATCAAAAATCGCTCGCGCAATACAACTACACACAAGCGCTGACCTTCTACCGGCGATAATTTCTGATAGGAGCAATATTTTTCTATCGGATTAAAAGCATCTGATAGATATCACTTCCATCTATCAGAAACAACTAAAAAGTCGATTTTGAGAAAATTTCCATGAAGACCCCCCCCCCCCCTGCCCCCTTAATATTGGTTTATTTTCGTCTAACGTAATGTGAATACACAATGTGAATAGTGTATCGACTATCGGAGTGATTTGATGAGATTGAAATATGTATCTAGGGTTTAAAAAGGTTTTAAATTTTTTTTTTTTTTTTTATCTAGACACTTATTTTACTTCGGTGTATTCCAACAGCCACAATGTTACACAAGTGCAACCAGCCAATTACAGGAAGCCGAAGGATCTTTTTGGCCAGTGACGGTTAAGGTAGTGTGTACCATACTTTCTTCGTCCGAGACTTTGCTGCAATGTGCAGCTCCTCATTTAACCCTCACACCCGATTTCTCGAGTATTCGGCTGAGTAGACCGGGGGGCTGCATAGACCACTCATGATCCTTAGCTGAACGTCGACGACGCTCACCCCACGACCAGGCAGTCAGTGGGTTTCGAACTCGCAACCTAACGATTGTAAGACAGGCGTTCTAACCAACTGCGCTACCTGGCCGTTTAAATATTTCCTAACCATTCTGAAAGCGACCTTTCGAGCTCTCCTAGAATACAACAATTTGCCTTATCTTTAATAAAATCTTAACAACTATTCAGCATTCATTATATTACGATATTTAAAATACAGAATATTTGAAAGATAATATTTGATAGAAATCCTTTAAGTTATATGTTCACAAGGCACATACAAACAATACAGTCCAAATCACACCTACAATACAGCCTTTATCACACCTCCTATAATCACACCTCAGTAATCACACCTCAGTAATTCTCACACTCCCCACCGCATGTTGGAGCCACACTGAATCGCCAGACAAGACCGATGTAAATTAGCACGGACTACAGAGTACAGATCATTCGTGTAGACATATTGTACACAACATCTAGCCAATAATCCGCACAAACAAGTTTACAGTAATCAGTATTCAGTATACACTGTGCAGTGTGTAGTCAAACTTTAGTCTGCCCTATTTGTCAGACAGTCTGTATTTCCACAAGTCATAGTTTTAAATGTGAACTAAATATTATGCGAACACGAAACAGCACCTCTCGACTAAGCGGATATCAGGGTTTACCGCACCGTTTTGCATTCCCTGGAGAAGCCTTGTAAATTGAGGATAGGGTTCCTCGTTATTATCAGATACTCCATTTCACCGTGTAATCACCTACAACTCCAGATGTAACAAGACTGGTGGGATATAATTAATACTGCACCCTGGCGAGACAACTCTCTAGACATCTTGTGAGACTGTACACATAATTATTAATCACACATAATTATCAGGATCATTGTTCAGTTATACATTATTATATCTACAAATAACTTGGGTACACAGGTCACGGGCTAGAAGGAGAAATGTGGTGACAGTCTTCACTGAGAACTGGTTGTTGAGTAAGCCTTATAAGGTCATTATAACCTAATTATAATATAATTATTACCATAACATAATCATAATAACCGTCTAGATATATAATGTAACTGTGATTAGTGATAGTGAGCATGGCTCCAGGAGGCAGGATATCCCTCATTGACTATGGATAACATATTGTATATATAATAATACAGGGTGGGCCAAAAGTCAGTGTGCAAACGTTGGCCTTAATAGCTCAGTCACTGAGTGCCCAATTGAAATACTTCCTTCTGGTATGACTTAGTACCACCACTGGTTCGAGGAATTTGTCAACTCGAAAAATATTCGCGTTCATTTTTTTCAAATGGAGGTTCATTTTCACATTTATTTGATGGTTTGGATAGTCGGATCAAGCTAAATGTTATTGAATTGTGTTTGGCCATTCGAATTACGTTTGTCCTGAAAGAGCTTCTCAGATGACCGAGATATGAAGCATAACGAGTTTATTCATTACGTGTGATCAGGTGATTGGTTTACCTAATCACGTGATAAGGTGACCCCGTTAACTACCCCGTTAAACATTATGGGAATTGTTAAGGGTGCCCAATTAAGGTGTCGTGTCACGGTGTCACATAATCACCCAGTCAATTTTGTTAACGAGATACACAAAATGCTTGATAACTTCGTCATTTCTAATTTGTTTTGCCTCATGTTTTCAGATCATATGCAACATTTGATAATCTACCGTCTCTGAAAATATTAGGCGTTCAGCATGTTCAGAGAAAACAATATAGGTGTTTTAATATTGAATGGGCGTGGTCTAAAATATTCGAATTTTCAAATTTTGACGACGGAATCCTCGAACCAGTAAGTACAGTATGCCATTTGCAAAGCAACAGCTCTCAAATATAAAACACGGCGGAGGTATAAGACCCAACGTTTGCACACTGACTTTTGGCCCACCCTGTATTTTAATAATATTTTAATAATATTAGTAGACTAATTTCCTCTAAAACATGCTAGTATTGTTCTGTGGCTGTGAGCAAGAAGCTTTGGTGCAAGCACGGGAGGGGATCTGCCGCATTTTGCCGCATTTCGTTGAGCAGCAAATGCGGCTGAACCTCTCACGCCCAGTAATGTGTTGTGCGGGATACTGAGTACTGATTGTTCTGTGTCAGCTAACTTAACAATTACTTGATACTCCTTCTCTCTCTCTAGCTCTCCTCGCCATGTAATCAGATAGTGGTACACCCACTTCATAAAATGACCCAGCATGACGAGCAAACGAAATCAGCTCATGTGATGTGGTCTGATTCGGAGTACGTGGTCACATTGAGGATAACTAATGTCATTAGGGGGCGTACTGAGGTGCTGGTATCTTTAACGTATCACGCTGGCGCGATAAATTACATTATTGTACATATCTTTAAAGTTAACTGTTACGGAAGTCGGTGTTATCTTTCCCTAACATGGCTTGTGTAATGTTAACTGTTCATGTTAGGGGGGTTGCCGAATGCCGGTTGGCCAGGTGACAATAGTTCATCAAGTTAAGATGTTACTTAATCTCTTTAATGACAACTACGACTACTTCTCAGTCGGTAATAGATAATATAAACTAATTACACCACTAATGATCTATTTATTTCACGGAGGTTGTCTGGCTGTTACAGAAGGAGTATACATATATTTATATAGGTAACTATATTTATTTAAGTAACTATATTTTTAAGGGTAACTTTATTTATTTAAGTAATTAACCCAATTGAGCTGTTATAAGTTCCACGTACCTGCAGGACACACTTCCCCGTATTTGTCAGTGAACTGGAAGGCTTGAACCAATCGCAGAGTCTCATCAACAGATCGTCCTACTGGCAAATCGTTAATAGTGGACTGTCTCAGGATACCATTACCGTCGATGATAAACAGACCCCTGAATTAATAGAAGGAGTTAATTTCAAGACGGCATTTTATTAAATAATGAACTGTTTTTTAGCTGGCCGAACTGTGCGTACTCTGACTGTATTCTATGAAGACGATAATTTGCCACGGCAGAAAATAGCGGACATTGTAAGAGGCTGAATGTTGGGTACTGTAGTGCACAATAAACACCACAAACCAAGATGCTGGTACCTTAATGTAAATGTGTGGACTACCTTATAGCGTATAATTAGATTGTTAATGGACGGCGAGGATTGGGTCAATAAAACTCGTATTTATTTGTCCATTAAAAGCCAAGGGTGGCCTTGCCAAGGGTGGGCTTGTATGTGCTATGTTTAAGCAACTGAATATGTACATTGTCATGGTATGTATGGTTCAGCAGGGGTAGAAACCCTTGGTTCTAAACTAGAGCGCAGTGGAACAGGATAATAAATATTAAACAACAGTAGCAACAAGTTGACTTTCTATGTTTGGATCCGGTATAATACATTCGAACTACAACTCTTGAACTACATTGCATGTTATCAAGTCAGTTTCATATAATAAGCTGACCTGAGAGAGCATCCCTCACCCTCCAAGTAGACCCCGTAGTCCTTGCTGAGCGAGTGTGTCACATCAGCAAGCAGGGGAATGTTCATCTTACCTAGTCCCCCAGCTTTGCGGGACTGGTCACACCTGTTATAATATATAGGTAGTGAATAGGTTGTAACAACACCTGGAGACACAATTCTAGTAAATATCTCATTAATCATCAACACTTATGTTATGTATCAAAATAATATACATGCCTATTGTTCTTTGGACAAACATGCAAACACTGACGAATAGTTTGAATTGAAAGTTAGAAGTAGCACACGAAATAAATTCACTAACCAAGCATAGTGGCTATATACAGAGTCACAGCTGGCAGCCAAGACTGCACAATCCAACTTCTTGAACTCTTCAATACGGTCACTAAATGCTATAATCTCCGTGGGGCAAACGAACGTACTGTTGAGAGGCATAATTGTTATCCATGAATAATGTAAAAATGTAAAAATCTGTACAATTTATAATATCTATCACGATTTTGTCCATACAAATGTCATTATCCAACGGAATTTCCAATATTCTTAATTCTACCTGACATAAACAGGGAAATGAAAATACCATTATCTACTCATGATCTTTTGAAACATTTTACTCACAAGTCCATTGGGTAGAAGAATAAGACCACATATTTGCCTGAGAAAAACGTTTTTTACAACTTCAATCAATAATCATTGTGAAATGTCTTCAATACAGGTACAAAGTTTATAGGGAATAAAATTGCAGTCTTCAAGTTACTAACCTTTGTATTCAGATAGCTTCACGTTCTCAAATTCTTCAGAGGGAAGAAGGGCAGCCACATCGAATTCAGGAGCAGGCTTGGTGACAAATGCTTTGGCCATAATGCCTATTTAAATCTGTTTGATAGGCTAGGTATTTACATTCATGTCAATTTATATGGTAGTATGTTTGTTTGGGGACCAGCTTTTCGTGCAATGGTTAATGTTTACTATAATATTGAAATATTACATTAGAATTAGATAGATATGGATATCTGTAATAGAACATAGCACTATATCCAAAAATTGAAACACTGTACCGTAGCACAAAACATAAAAAGTAAAACTACTGGCAAAGCGTCCTCAGAAAAATAAAACCCTAGATATACCTAGCCTTGATGAGACCTGCTTCGCGATTGCTATTCAGCGATGTGTGCTCCACAAGTCACCACATACTTGAGTTACAATCACGGTTGCAGTTTATAACTCACAATTAAACGTTCCTCGTTATCGGCCGAAATCAACAAATACATGCATCAGCCATACATTTAAATCAAAGTAATTAAATATAGATAGCAAAAACACTGAATTTGACACCTTAACCTTATCTACACTGAAAATCTTGCCGTCTCTAATATAATGATACTTTGTTGGCTGAGCAGTGATCATTTCCTTTACAAGTTTCTGATAAGCTGCTCTCTCCTCCTTGCTTCTGTCAGGTGTGATGTACCATGTGTGGTACGCTGTACATTTAGATTTCTTCAGATTTCTTGTCGGTTATTTTTTATCTGCAAAGCCAAAAAATCACATTTTCTCCCATAACTTCAAAGGGAAGTATTTTAGGGTGTTTTGTTGTTCATAACTCATATATAAATGTGCTAGTTGCGGTTATTTTGCGCCCTTCAAAAAGTCACTAGCACATTCCTATCAAAATTTTAGAAAAATCAGTAAATATGAAAAACGAAAAAAGTGCCTAAATTTGTTGTTTGGCTTTGAGGTCAAATAGATCTGAAGATAAATGAGTAAAAACATTTTTTAGGGCATCAAAAACTGCGCCAGAATTCAAAGAACAATTTCATGTCAAGCATCAAATCAATCTGATCTTCCATGACTGACTTTTTGGTTAAAAAAAGTCTGAAAAGGACAATTTTAACTTGAAATCCACCTGCGGCTGATGGAAGTTGGGGGACTGTTTTGGAGCTGGAGAGCGTCCAGAGGCGGTTTACCTGTCTGATTGATGAGGTGGGTACTCTTCCTTACAGCCGTAGACTGGATATCCTCAATTTGACAACGCTGGCAGAGCGGCGAATACGTGGGGACCTTATTGAAGCTTTTAAGGTAATTAATGGTATGACTGATTATGGTTCAGACTTGTTCAGACTAAGCAGATCATTTCTTAATCTGGTTTCATCCAATATATGTAGTAAAAGTGTGACAAAGGTCAAGAATATCCAGAAGTCCTTTCTCCCGGAGCGAGTTATTCCATATTGGAACAAACTCCCTCCGGATGTCAAGAACTCTGTGACAGTTTTGGGTTTTAAAATTAAATTAGAAGGATATAAGATAGATATGATTTCTATAAGTATTACAAATGATTGCTTTTTTTGGAATGTTTCTAATGAAGTTTTAATAAGAATTGAGGGAGCCAATTATGTCAGTAATAAAGAGAATTAAAAATAAATGATTGACCCACTCATAAGAGCAAAACAAGATTACCAATAAAGAGAAACATAACAATTATCTTTGGTTCCATCCTTATGTGGCAAAGAAGCGTTTTATAAATCTTTATTCCACTGGAAAGTTTTTAAAATAGGATAATGTTTTTGATAAAATTGTTTTTAAATATTGTATTTGATAAATGCTCGCGCTCACTCAAATTGCCTTAAAACGGGTTGAGAGTAGAATTGACAACTACACCATGCCATGGCAGAGTGCTTACAAGAGAGGTAGGAGCTGCTCTGACATTGTGTGGGCTTAGAGAATGCTCATATCTGTTGTGATGAGGAAGAAATGGACATTTAGCAAAATGGGTATTGATATGAGTAGAGCTTTTGATACCGTAAAAAGGGATACTATCATCAATGTTTTGAAGGATGCTGGTTGTTCGGAGGACAACATTCGCTTAGTTCAATCAAGAAAACAACAATTTCAAGAAAACAACAATTTTATTTAGTATCAATTAAAGCAGACAAAAATATATTTTCTATATATATAACTAGCACGAACTTTAGATCAGATATCTTAGGGGACTTGGAGTAGCAAGAGATTGACTAGAAGGTATATACCTTTTACAAAGATACGTCGAGAAGAATCCAGGGTGATACAGGATCGGAGAGTGCAGACCAAAAGTTTACGCACCCACCTTTGCCTCCTGAGTTCTTGGTTGGATAGAAATTTATGCAAACTTGGTCGTTTATACTCCAAGTCCCTTTCTTAAAAGAAGTAGTATTAACTATGTCTAGAGTTAGCTTCGTTCAATAATAACAATATCAATATAATCAATATCAATACCAGATAAACCTACCGAATAAATTATTAAATATCAATCAATTAATTTATTCCGATAAAAAATTTTATAAATTTAGATATTTAGTATCTAAAAACATTACAACAAATGGTTAAAAAGCGCCCAAAATCGATTTGAAAGATTTTCTGTCTATAGTACAATCATGATAGTAATAGTAAGTGTGCGCCGCTGCAATTAGACTTGATTACTGCAATTTAAAATTGTTTGGAGTCCAAGTATCTTTTAAGTCAGCTGCCTGTGCTTGTATTAATAGTGCTTTTGTTCTCAGTTTTATCAAGCTAATGGACGTTTCTAAGCAATTGCTTGAAGTTAAAATTTTTTTTTTTTTTTTTTTTTTTTTTTTATGAACAGCGTTCCAAAGCTTGGCTGCATTAAACAAAAAGGTATTTGATTTATTTAGGAGAATAACCATGAGACTCGTTGCACGGTTTGAAATGTTGATAGCCTCATAAAGGGAGTATGGGCAGTGGTACTTGATAATCTTAGAAAATACCATCTATCGAATACTCTCCTTAGAGTTCGTGTTAACTCCTCACTGTCAGAAGAGTTTGAAAGTTTACTCGGAGCCTTTCAAGGTGACAGTTTATCTGGAAAGCTATTCACACTTATTCTTGCAGCAGCCTTACACCACCTCAGAGCTGTATCCGGGAGACCAAACCCACCAGTATCAGAACTAGGTTTTCCAACTGAGAGGGAATATTCAGACGATTGTGACTTTGCTGACGAGGACATCGAGAAACTGAGAATTTTCCTTCCTACAGTGAAGGAGATTCTCAAAGACTGGGACCTCCAAGTAAATGAAAGTAAAACTGAATTCAGTACCTTCTACCTGGCGAAAAAATCTGATAAAGACACAAACAGTCAGCCATTAGCTAATAACGAACCATGGCGAAGTAACAAGTCACTAGGTTCCTTACTCTGCACTGAGAAGGACATTCAAAGAAGGATAATCCTAGCTGAGATTGTTTTTAAGAACTTTGGAAAAGTATGGTTGTCCGGTAAGAAAATTTCCCTTGAAAGAAAGCTGAGGTTATACGATGCTCAAGTTGTATCTGTATTGATTTACAACTCAAATAGTTGGAGTCCTAAGAAAGCAACCATGGAGAAAATGGACACACTCCATCGTAGACACCTCAGGTCCATTTTAAACATCAAATGGCCTAAAGGTATGATAAGCAACAATGCATTGTATGAACGGTACAACGTTGAAAAGTTATCCAAGCGTATTGAACACCAGCGGTGGAAGATGTTTGGACACATTCTCAGGAGTATGGAGAACACTCCAGTCCAAACGGCTCTCTCTTTTGCAATTGAATCAGATAATTTATTCATTGGTAGATTGGGGAGACCTAGAATGAACTTGTGATCGGTTTTAAGAAGTGATTTAAGTAGTAGAAATTTGCAAATGGACAACTTGCATGAATTGAACGAAATTAGAGATAAGCTGCATGCAACAGATGTTGGGAAAATCTTTTTCAAGGGTACAGTTTACCGCATTAAGATATTTTTAAGAATCATTTTTGTCAGTAAGATCCTGTTTTATAATGATAATAATTTGATAAATAATTAATGTTGGTGGGGAAATACTTATTATATATTTTTTCACATAGTGCGATGATATTTTGTAAACATATGTGATGATGTGATGTCATAAATTTTACTTTACTTTACTTTGACGATGTCAATTCATCGCAGCACGGTGAGGCACAGTAGCGCATCTCGCCGCGCGATCTAGCGAGTTGGAAAACTGAAATTCCCGTTACTGTCGCTGTGAGAAGCCTCATTGAGTGCGCGGCGCGGCACAGTAACGCATCGCGTTACAACTGCTAAGGGTATAAAACTATTAATATTTGTTATTGACAAAATGGGTTTTTACACTGAGCACCTATATCATATATGCAGCAAAGTGAATTGGCTTCTTTTACTACTTAGGTCTAGAGCTTAGAGGGTTTTTATAAAATTTATTAAGATTTATTTATAAAATTTTTATTTTGAATTTTTATATTGAATTTTTATATTGAATTTTTATATTGAATTTTTATATCGAATTTTTATATTGAATTTTTATATTGAATTTTTATATAAGGTCATTGCTATATTATGTGTATATTGTTTGAATATATAACTATTGTTTGTAAAAGATATACCCAGCTAATTGCTGATCTATGGCTCATTCGCTTTTGTGTTTTGTTTTTCACCTATAATTGTATATCAGCTAGTGTATTGAGAGAATCGAGTATTAGACTATCAATCAATAATTTTTGGTTTCTACTGTTATGTTTAGAGTATGTTAGAGTGGCGCTCTAACAAAACTTTAGGATCGTTGATGTGCACTGTTAAGGATATCAAGAATCGAATATTCCTTGGTAATGTTGCCTTTAGTAAATTTCAGAAAGTTTGGATGAAGAGCAAGATTTCAGTCCAAAGGAAGATCAAAATCTACGAGGCACAAGCAGTCTCTATTTTACTCTACAACTGCAACTCCTGGGCTACAACACTAGCTTCGTTGAATGAACTTGATATTGCTCATCGCAAACACCTCCGAAGAATCCTCAACATCAGATGGACAGATGGCCTACTGGGGTTATTTCTAATGAGGCACTCTATGCTCGTTGTTATGTCACTCCCTTGTCTGTGAGAGTCTCTAAGTTTCGATGGAGAATGTTAGGACATATCTTAAGAGGACAGGAAGACTCACCAGCATACACCTCTATGTTATTTGTTGGAGGACTTCGCCGCTTCGACGCGCCGCGCAAACTAGCATTCTTGCTTCGCATCGACGATCGCTTCGCAGAGCAACGATCTCGACGGATTGACATCGTCAATCAATGTTATTTGCTATAAATTGTGATATTTTTATGGAAGGGAGACGGGGTAGACCATGTTTAAACTTATTAGATGTCATTAGAAAAGACTTGACTAGTAGAAATCTTGATATTAGACTTAAGAATTTGACTGATTTCGAAGACCTTAGATTTTTAGCTTTAGATAGGGAGGAGTGGAAGAAGTTAGAAGATGGTTGATGTTTTTGTTTTCTTTTTTATGCGTTTTGATATCTATAAGGTGCCTAGGATGCTCTTTTAAAGAGATATTTCGTACTCTGAAAGATTTACTACTACTACTACTGTTATGTTTAGTTGTTAGTAATGGAAAAATTGAGAAAATGTCAAACAGTATATAATTAAAGTAAAAGTAAAGTAAAGTAAAAATTATGACATAACATCATCACTAATGTCTACAAAGTATCATCACACTACATGGAAAAATAACTATTTCTCCATCAAATTTAAAGGTAATAATTTATCCAATATTAATCATGAATAAAAACAACATTACAAAATTTAATTTATTCATACTTCCCAGTGGAGTAAAGATTTATAAAACGTTTCTTTGCTACATAAGGATGGAACCACAGATAATCATTGTGTTTTTCCTTATTACTGATATAACTGGTACCTTCAATTCTTGTTAAAACTTCTTTCGAAACATTCCAAAAATGAAAGTCATTTACAATACATTTAGAAATCATATTCTTTTTAAAACTTTCCAATCCAATTTTAAAACTCAAAACTGTCAAGCAGTTCTTCACCTCCGAAGGGAGTTTGTTCCAATAAGGAACAACCCGCTCTGGAAGAAAAGAACACTGAAGATTCTTGACCTTTGTCACACTCTTACTACATCTATTGGATGAAACCAGATTAAGACCTGATCTGCTTGGTCTGAACAAGTCTGAACCATAATCAGTCAAGCCATTAATAACCTTAAAAGCTTCAATAAGGTCCCCACGTATTCGCCGCTCTGCCAGCGTTGTCAAATTAAGGATTTCCAGTCTACGGCTATAAGGAAGAGTACCCACCTCATCAATCAGACGGGTAAACCGCCTCTGGACGCTCTCCAGCTCCAAAACAGTCCCCCAACTTCCATGAGCCGCAACTGGATTCCACAATTGGACACAATACTCTAGATGAGGTCTTATCAAAGCTTTATAGATGGCTATCATTACACATTTTTCTCTAATTATCAAATTCCTTACAATCCAGCAAATCATTCGATTTGCCTTGGAAATACATGCTTTTATCTGTTCATTCCAAAGCAGGGAACTATGGGTAATAACCCCCAAATCTTTTTCCTGATCAGATACTTCAAGTTCTACGCCATTTACTAAATAATTTAAGTTAGGGTTGCTATTAAGATTAATATGAACAACTTTACATTTAGCAGGATTAAACTTCAAAAGCCAAATACTCTCCCAGACTTCCAGTTCTACAATATCTTCAGCAACACTGCTGTGGTTAGCTGCATTACCAATCAACTTGAGGTCATCTGCAAATAATTTAATCTTATTCTTGACTATATCAGGTAAATCATTAATATACAGAATAAATAGCAAAGGACCCAATACTGACCCCTGGGGAACACCAGATAACACGTGTTTCACCTCAGACCATTGTCCTTCTACACAAACCCTCATGGTTCTGTCTGTAAGAAAATCTTTAATAACATCTAAAACTTTTCCTTTGACCCCAAACCCCTCCAATTTAGATAAAAGTCTAAAGTGGGGGACAGTGTCAAAGGCCTTACTAAAATCAAAATACAGTAGATCAACAGGATCACCTTCATCTAAAATATCAAGAATATTATCAAATGTCTCTAAAAGATTAGATAAGCAAGATTTGCCCTTAACAAATCCATGCTGATGCTTTGATATTCGTTCTTCTAAAAAATCCAATAAATGTGCCCTCACCAACTTTTCGTACACTTTGCACAAAATACAAGTTAAGGAAACTGGTCTATAGTTTAAAGGATCTGATTTAACACCCTTTTTAAACAATGCTACAACGGATGCTGACTTCCACACCTCAGGAAGCGATCCCGTTTCTGAACACATTTTAAATAATTTAGTGACTGCTTCTACAAAGTTGTCATCATAAGCTAACGATTTTAATAACTTTGGATGAACACCATCCGGACCTGAACTCTTAAAAATATTAAGCTTTAAAAGTTGCTTCTTAATATCAGCACTGCTAACTTGCAAATCACTAATAACATCTTTATCATAATCCAAAGTGTCATTTTTAGGAAGAGGGCCAGGTGGCTCACACACAAACACTGAGCTGAAGGCACTTGCAAGTACTTCAGCAGACTCAGCAGAACTATCTGTGCGTGTACCATCTCCTCTATCTAAAGAAACAACACTTGACTTAACTTGACGTTTATTACGCAAATACGAGTAAAAAGATTTACAATTCTGTTTTAAATTAGATGTAATCTTCTTTTCATAATTTACTTTAGCTTTAATTTCTGCCACCTCAAAAATACGCTGCTTGCTATTTGCACAGCTAAAGTTAATAGCCGAAGGATTAATATCAAATTCAGCCCATGCTCTGTCCTTGTTCTTCCTCATTCTTTTAAGTGAAGTTGTACTCCATGGCAACTTGACAGGCCTGTTGTCGAGATAAACAGAAGCAGCTGGGACAGCTGTGGCAACAGCCTCCAGTTTACCATGTAGTTCAGTCCACATTTCTTGAACATTATAATTTGTAGAACTATAATCCCAGTCAATGTTATCCATACTAAACTTCAATAATTCATCAGACGAAATCTTACCCCAGATAGGTTTTACAGTTTTCTCTTTAGGACTCTTATCAGTATTCGGCGAAACAACCAGTTCGACAAGTATCCCAACGTGATCACTCTTACCAAGCGGTGAAACAATCTTACAACCGTTGACAAGAGCATCATTTGTATACAAAACCTGATCAAGGAGGCTCTCCTGGAGAGTATCTTTCACAAGCCGTCTTCTGGTTGTTTCGTTGGTAAAGTACCATGTTAAACCACTGTCATTAAAAATATCCATATACTTCTGTTGAATAGTTAAAAATTGATTTCTACTAAAGATATTATTATTTACACTTCCATTTACCCATGATACAGTAGGTAAATTAAAATCTCCTATAAGGATTGCTTCAGAATTGTTCTTTTCACTACATATACCCTTGATACAAGATAGTAATTTATTGTTCTGTTTTAAATTTAAAGAAGTTGATCTATAAATACAACAAATAGTAATCAATCCACCAGATGTGTTAATACTAACAGCTAAAGAGTCTGGTGCACTTAAAAAAGAGCTTACTAAAGAAGCATTACAACTGTTCTTGATATAAATGATAGAACCACCACCCCCACTTATAATATTGGTTGAATTGTCAATCTTAAAATCTCTATCCTTTCTAAACATAGTAAAACCTTCAATAAAAATTTCAGCATCTAATATGTCACTACTAAAATGAGTTTCTGTTATGCAAATCACATCAATAGATTTATATACTGGTAAAATACATTTAAGTTCATCAATTTTATTAAAAAGTCCATTAGCATTGGTGTAAAATATATTTAAGCCTTTACTGATTCTCCTTTCGTCTTTTCCAACCTGTTCTTCTCTGCTTCCAACTGTCTCTTCTTCCTCTCCTTTCTGGCTAAAAAATGAATCTCGCGGTCTGATCTACACTGGTCTTGATTGATCCAGTAGGACGATTCCTTCCAGCCTTTACCAAAGTCAGAGTAAAAATTTACTGACTCTTCGCCGACTGTCTGTATGATGAGAGGTCGACAGTAGTCATGGTTGTTTGGATCAACTTTTCCAGCACGATGGCAGCTAACAATGTCGTCTTTCTTCATCTTGAGTGTTTCTACGCAGAAAGAGACATCATCCTTCTGACGCTGCTTAGGGTTCTTCTCCTTACTCTCAGGAACCTTCAGAACACATAAGTTATGTTTCCTTCTGTTCCTTTCAAATGCATCAGTGTGCATCTTGGACTGCACTTTAGCAATAACATTTTCTGATGACTGGGAGTTGCTCAGATCTTCTATTACTGTCCTCTGAGATTTTGCTGTAATTTCTGAGTAAAGTTGCACAGCTTTGTTGACAGTTTTATCTGTGCTTCCTTTAATAGCTTCCTTAATCGAGTTAGTCAGGGCTGGGGTCAAATGTTGGAGTTCCTCTTTAATAATAGCCCTGACAGCCCCGTTTTCCTTAGTGTCAGCTGAGGTATGAGGCGCCACAAAACAGTATGGGCACTTCCAGTTTGTTAGATTCAGTAACATCTCGTTTTTAAGGCCAGATAAACCAACACAACTCAGGTGCCAAAATAATTGGCAAGCTTCACATTCAACTGATAGTTCTTCTGACATGTAAACATCACATTGGCAGTATTTTTCCTCTGGCACTGGGACATTATCAGAAGATGAATCCTTAGGGGGACTCGTCTTGACTCCACGTTTTTTTCGTATCGACACCCTCTCGGGTACATTGTTACTTGCCATCCCTCAAATTATTTGTTATATAGTAGTGTTGAAAGTATTAAAAAAAAAAATTAATTATATACTGTTTGACATTTATGCAATTTATTCAATTAATTTTTATATATTCAAATCAAGCGTTACATTTCAGCCATGCAAATTTACAATGATATATTTTGATTTGTAGGTTTATAACCTACCAGGACGCGCGCCGAGTTGGACTCGTCGAACAAATATTTTACGAGTATCACCCGTTAAATTTCGATTTACTAATTGATAAATTGTACTGCAATATAAGTTGCTTAATGTGTGGCTGAATGACAATTAACTAAACAAGAAAAATAAACTTGATTACATAATAATTAATTCGGCTGAACCATACATAGCAAGAGCCACATTAACGTTGGGCCGTTTACCAAATTTGCATGACAAACAATAACAAGAAATCAAACATATCATTAATAATTATAAGTATTTTGATCATTACAATTCTGTCACAACTGAGAACAAGAAAAATAGGGAGACTAGCAGACAGGAAATCGGACGGACAGAATTATAACCAACGAAAAACACATTTCTGGGAATCATATGAGAAGACTGATGAGCTAATCTGACCAGACTGTATCGGCAGTCCAAAGGTACTTGATCAGTTTGGCCTTAAAAGTATAAATCCGCTCTGACTGTCGGATATATACTGGTAGACTATTCCATTTCAGCATAGATCTATGAAAGAAGCCATTTAGAAGGCATACGAGCAGGGCACAGAAGTACTCATGTAAGTTGAATTAAATCAAGTGATTTAATCCCTCGAAGCTCTTCTCCTCAGGTATCAGGTTGAAGGAGACACTGTAATGAAAACATCATCCATCATTAATAATAATAATAATAATAAATTAATGTTATTTTGATACAGCACCAAAAGGTTAAATAATTTAAATTTAACCCTTATGCTCAGCTGTAAATGATACCTAAATGACAGTAGAGATCGTGCATCTCGCCTTGGACTGGAGTAAAAACGGAAGTTTATAGCTGCAAGTTAAATCCTGACTAAATAAGGCAGAAACACCTTTAACAAGAAGATATCCAAGAAAGGTTAGCAGGTTTTCTAACAAAACATATGAAAAATAGATGATGACCACAAGAAATCTATGTATGAGACTCATGAGACTAACAAAAAGATATACAAGATAATAAAGATGAAAAATCATAAAATATTAAAATTTCTGTAAGAATCTATAGAACTCCAAATATACAAACAATCTGAATACTTCAATATACAATACAAAATTATTAAAAAAGCTTACTGCAGAACAGTAACTGATGTTACAGAAAATCCAATACAGTCATGTCAAATTATCTGGGCAACATACAAGTCTAGAGACGGTGTAATAAACAGAGTGGTTGAAGATGCTAAAATACTAGAGACAAAATACAAAGAATAAGGCAGCTTTCTCCTGGGTGCCAACCTAAAAAATGTTGGTGTCCCGGGATAGAGCCTCCTTTTCTGACCTACACTACAATTTTGTTGGCAGACACAGTGAAACACGGAAAATAACAATATCTCGAATGTTGCCCGAAAATCCTGAAAAATTAGTAGCCTAAAATAATTTAATTTAAAGCGTAAAATTGACCTGCTATAGGATGATGATTTTAAAAATCTTCTGATAATGTATTATTTACTCAGTACATATCAAAGGACTTTCTAAACAGATGAGCTTTTAGTTTTCCCTTAAAGTCATTGATGTTTACACATTTCCTGATTTCTTGAGGAAGGTTGTTCCATAATCTTGGAGCAGATGAAGAGAAGGCTCTTGGTGGACTGTTTATAGGGCAATGAAGAGACACATCTCTGCCACCACTGGGATTGTACTTGACAAGGTTTGACAGGTATGGAGGTGCTAGTCCATGGAGCAGTTTGAAAGTTAGCAGGAGTATTTTAAATTCAATACGTTCTTGTACCTTGAGCCAATGAAGTTCTTTTATGTAGGGCTCAACTTCTTCTCTCCTCTTTAGACCTTTAACTAAGCGACATGCTCTGTTTTGCAGAGATTGTAGCTGTTTCAAAACAAAATGATTAGTACCATAGTAAAGTGCATTGCAGTAGTCAAGGGAACTAATAACAAGAGATTGTACGATGATTTGCATTTGATCTTCAGAGAGGAATGGTTTCATCTTTGCAATATTCCGCATCTTGTGGCTGTTTGCAGCTTTAAGCTTCTTTATCTGAGGATTTAGAGTCAGAGAGGAATCCAATGTAAAGCCAAGGTTTTTGGTAACGTTAACAAGTCTTATACAGACAGAAGATTTTAGGAAGACACCACCAATTTCTAATTCTGACAATAAACGTTTTGAACCAAAAACTATAATTTCAGTTTTAGTTGGATTCAGAAGAAGGAAGTGATTCGTCATCCAGGTCTCGATTTCTCTAAAACAGGAGGGCAGGTCTTCGCTGAGGACTTGATATTCTGTAGCGGATGAAAATGACTTGTAGATCTGGTGATCATCAGCATAGCCATGGATCAATTTTTCAATTAAACAAATAATCAAAGTTTTAGCACATTTTACAGCATAAAATTTAAACAAATGAAAACATATAATGCTCTTAGTGGTAAATGGCCGTTTGTTCTGAGCTGTATGATTTTTTGACAATCAACTAGCGGGGCAAGGAATGTACTGGCTGGTAGCTTTTGTACACACCAAAACGCTAGTCTGGTTGATTAATGACCAAATTAGAGGCGTTGATAGGAAGGCATTATAATTTGTGGGTGTTGGAGGGAATTATATTTGGCATGCATTATTCTAGCAGCTATTTTGTAACAAATGGTCTTTACGATTATTAAGGACGGTAGGTATTTTGGGTGTTCAATGGGGGCCGGGGGTTTAAATTTAAGGGAGAAAAAGAAATGAATATTGGGTTATAATATTAATCATAGATGTCAACCCTGATATAACTATTGTACTAAAAATTTGATCATAATGCTTAGGGTCTTTATTAGAATTCAAATTGGATATAAAAATAGGATCTCTTTACACTACACTTACTCACTCACACATCACATTTAACTTGACAGAGGAATACGCTGGCAGAGTATGTCGATTTGGTCATGAAATTTTGGAGGTCAGGTGGAATCCCTGCAGGAGCCTACGAAAATTTAAGGTTACAAATATCAAAGTCTTTATTTGTCCAGTCATACACGGCATGACAATGCTGGTTGGAAAGTAGTGAAGATTTCAGTTTGGATTTCAGGCAAGAAATACTAACAGAACAATCAAGGATTTTAAGGTTAGGGGTTATTATATTCCATATTTTCGTTGACCTCGTGTTATGGTTGTCTGGGGGATCCGGTTTATTGATAATAAGCATTGGTTTCCTGGAAGAACGAGAATACTCTTCGTACATAGACATAGGAGTAGAAAACTTCATGATCTTGAATAATTCTATGTAGCTATGGTAAGTATAAAGATTTTGTACTGTGAGTATCTCGTTGTTTTTAAACAGAGGTTTAGTGTGCTCCTTTTTATAGAATTTACTATCAAGTTTCTGGTCAGTAAATGGTCTGGTTCGAACACACGTTTTGAATTTATCCAGGTAGGCTGCTCTATCACCAAACAAGACCCTCAGACAGTACTTCTGTGCAGTGAATATTGAGCTTATACGATTTTTAGCTGCCCCACCCCATGCTGATATGCAGTACGACAGATGGGATTCAAAAAGAGTGTAGTATAACTGTCTGTGGAGAAATTCTGGGAGGGAGCAGCGTAGACGACACAGAGTTGAGGTGGCATGGTTAAGCTTTCGTTTTAGGGCTATTATATGTTCTTCCCATGTTAGATTTTCGTCAATGACGACTCCTAAAAATCTAGCTGACGTTACTCTTTTGATGGGGTAGTTGTCTATATTCATTATGAATTCTTCTTCAACGTTTGCTTCAGTACGTGACTTAGGTCTAAAGTGAATGTAGCAGCATTTTGACATGTTTATGTGAAGCTTGTTAGCCCGCATGTATGTTTGAAGGTTTGAAAGTAGGGCGTTGCTGCGTTCATATGCTTCTTGTGCAGTTTTACCAACAACAAATATGTTGGTGTCATCCGCAAAGGTGACAAACGATCCCAAGCTAGAGCTATTAGAGATATCATTTATGTAAAGTAGGAATAGAAGGGGTCCGAGAATTGACCCCTGGGGAACCCCAAATTTTATTGGAAGTAGGTCGGACTTTTCTCCTACAACATCAGTGTACTGAAATCGATTAGTTAGGTAGCTCTTGATCAGATCGTTTGCCACGCCACGGATGCCATACCTTTCTAGTTTGGTAAGTAATGTTGAGTGATCTATAGTATCGAAAGCTTTGCTGAGGTCGATGAATATGCCTAACACATGGTGCTTCAATTTGATGTGCTTAGATATGAGGTCAACAGAGTAGTTTACTGCATGGGAGGTTGAGTGCGATTGCCTGAAACCAAACTGAGTCTTAGATATTATTCCCTGAGAGCTGACAAACGAATAAATCCTAGAATATATGATTTTCTCAAATATCTTGCCAAATATGGACAAGGTGGATATAGGACGGTAGTTTTCTATTTCTTCTGGATTACCTTTTTTGAAGACAGGTGTGATTCTGCCAGTCTTAAGTATATCAGGATCAGAAATTGCTTTGATTTTACAGAAGAGTAAATTGAGCGGATGTAGATATTGAACAACACAGGGCCAAGGACAGAGCCCTGTGGGACACCAAACTTTATTACAATTTCTTCAGATTCTAGGTCACCTATCTTGACTTTTTGACAACGACCACGGATGAAGCTGGTGAACCATTTCAAGGCTGTTCCCGCAATCCCAATCTCACACTTCAATATATTGATCAGTTTGATATGGTCAACTGTGTCGAATGCAGCACTCAGGTCTAAAAGCATTACAACTGTTGCTGTGTTTTCATTAGTGGCTATGAGGAGGTCATTGACTATGGTAATGAGGAGTGTTTCTGTGCTTTGATGCTTTTTGTAACCAGACTGGTGGTCGATGTTGAGATTATTCTTGGCTAGATGTTCATTGAGGCATT